ACATATTTTTCACATGTACCTGTGTCTACGTTGTGTGCCCGAGAGGGGCTGATGATGCCTTATGCTCTCTGGACTATTATTTGTTGGATGTGACAAAAAAGCCTCAGCACATGCCTGATCATTTTCCAACTGCATTCATCCCACTACGAACACGCGCCGATTAACCCACAATTAAGTGTAATTCGCTGTAAGCTATTTTTCTACGTCGGGCGTCAGAGCTTCCCGGCGGAAGCTGCTTCGTCGACGTGGCTCGATATGGCAACAGAAATTGTTTTGCAGCGGTATCGATCAACCAGAGGGGTTCGACCATCAGCGCCGTTTCATTATACGATGCCCATCGTCGTGTGCAGCCGAACAAGTGGCCACTGCCTTGGCGCTGAGTCGTACAGCTCAGGAAATAAATTTTCGCATCCATCCATCCATTCTTTTTTATGACTGGAGCTTTGTACTAGCGTTTTCCGGTTTTGTAAAGTTAATCGGTTTAAAAGTAGGGGTACATCGTGAAACGTCGTTCGTATGTGTGCACTGTTTCATGTCGGCTGATGGCTGTCAACGAATATGTACGTGGCACGTATGGGTGGATTCGTGGTGGTGTTCGTCATTCTACTCTCCTGCCTTTCCCCGTGTTCTACGGAGAACAGTTGCAAACGTTTGCTAGCGCAGGCCTTTTTATTTCCGTTTACACGTCAACGGAAACCGCGATAGGGCAGCGATTTGTACGTGATTTCCACAGTCGCATCTCGTGGTTGGCCTCCGCATCTGTTCACGCAGCAGCTTTTTTCACTTAGCATTGATCTGCGTGTTCCCGGGGCAGGCTCGGCGTTTTGACGAATCGAAGCTTTTGGTGCCGTGAACTCGGCACGTGTTCCTATTCTGGCCCTCGTCGTATGCACTCCACGTTGACAGCTTCGAAATTCTGTAGCGTCGATCCCTGGTAGTCCATGTAATTGGAACGCTTCTGCATGACGTCCGTCGGTGCGAACGTGATGCCACCTCACGTCGACGAGAGAAAGCTAAGTAAAAAAAACATACAGAGTTCCTTGCTTCCTTAACTGATTTCTCGTTTGAATCGGTAAAGAACTGAACGCATGTAGTCAACACAAAGCGCGAGAGCACTGAGCGTCTGTACTTGTGGGCAGACGACCGTGTACTCGTAAGATAATGAAGTCCATGCATTCTGCCCATTTTTTGTACATATTTTGACGTCATTTCCGTGACGGAAATACGTCACTGAAATCTTGGACTCCGGCTAGAACACTTTCGTGTTAAAAAAATACTTTCCTTCAGTTCAGCCAGAAGATTCTGGCAATGAATCTTGCTCTATGCAAAAAAAAAAAATGCGCACGCTGGAATCCCGTGCGCTTTGATTTCTGCTCCGCGGTCTCCGCCTGGTCTCCGCCGCATCAACCGCCGCCGGAATCCACACTCAATGCGCCCAACGCGGTATAGCCGGGTGCTCAGGCGATACTCGTTGGTTTTGCTTGGGAGCGCGGTGATTGGGACGGCCTGAGAGAAACACGCCGTGCGTCCGCCATCTCGGGGGCCTCGGAGATGGGCATAGAGTTTCCCAAACTTTAGGAGACTCTGTGGAGATATGCATATTTGGATAACGGGCGTTATTTCGTCGTCCTGATCGTGCTGTATTTACAGTCTCGTATGCTGTCTTCATTGCAACGAGAGTAACGTCCGAAGGACATTCATGTCATTGTGTTTCAACCTTCGCAAACGAAACCGCGAGAATTTCTATGCTTCCTCTATATTGTTGCTGACATACTAAACTAACGCGCAGAAATTGAATCCCGAATGACGTTTTCGTCGAGAACGTAACGCGACGGATGTTACTCTGTGCGCGCCTAAGCAACGTCATGCTTTCTTTTTTCTTCTTTGCTTCTACACCAGCTGATGTTTGTTGTTACACGTGAAAGTTGTCGATTTTAAAAGAAAAAAAAAAGAGCAAAAGAAGAAAAGAAAGTCGCGGCTTATCCATGGAGTGAATGATGATGAGTGGGGCGAAGCTCCGCAGGGCTTCATCGGTAAACCGTGAATCCGTCCGTCCGCCCGCCGCGCTGGTCTAGTGGATATAATGTATACTCGGCTGCTGACCCGCGGGTCGCGGGATCGAATCCCGGCTGCGGCGGTTGCATTTCCGATGGAGGCGGAAATGTTGTAGGCCCGTGTGCTCAGATTAGGGTGCACGTTAAAGAACCCCTGGTGGTCGAACATTTCCGGAGCCCTCCACTACGGCGTCTCTCATAATCATATGGTGGTTTTGGGACGTTAAACCCCACAAATCAATCGATCGAATCCGTCCTTCTGTCTGTCCGTCCATCCGTCCGTCTGGGCGAACTAGGGCAGACAAACCTAAAAAAAAGAATGTCCTCTGGGTGAGCTGCATGCGGTCTGTCGCTTATCAGTTCGTGCGCATTTCGTTTGATCCGCTTTTCGCAACGTCGGTATAGGAGCACGGCGCTGAAGCTTAAATTAAAAAAGAAACACAATCCTGCTGTTGTGCGACTTCTGATTGGTTAATCAGTCTCGCTCCGGGATGATGCGTCAGCTGACACGTAAAATTCGCAGTTGTCCGAAGACCGTCGCTGGATCGGCATGCTGTATGGCGCCGCGTTCGAACAGTGAGCAACGATAGTCTTTCTACGTAATAGTGAATTGGTATATATTCTACGTTCTTGCGTTTCTGAATTTGTACGCACGATATGCAGTGGCTGTATCTGGCCGTCTGTGTTTACGGGTCATGTTTTTACCCATAGCACGACTCCTTTGCGCATGTGCTATGTGGCCTTTGCGCATAGCGTGGGCTAATGGGCGTTCTTTGTGCAGCTTTTTTTTTTCTCCGTGCTTTAGTTTCGCTAGTAATGTGTCTTTAAAAAAAACGCGTCGTCCTTTGCGTTTCTCACACAATCGGTTTCTCCATTTTCTGTGCTCTCCTTGCACGTCTGTTATAATGATAGTACATATATAGTACGCCACGGGTTCTCGGAATGTGCAATATAACGGTGTTGCAAAATCTTATTTATAACGTTCGTTAGGCGAGACCACTTCGCTTACCAGAAGTGTATCAGAACTGGGTCGAAAACGTGCCTCATTTTCCTGCAGTTCACTAGTGGCAGGTTTTTACAAAACTTGTCGGCGCGGAAATTAGAACAGTAATTGACGAAGAATACGTCTACATCTTAATCAGAGCAGAGACGCACGACTGCTTATACAATGAAGGAAAGAAGTGAAAATTTTAAGGGCTCGTTTCTTTTATTAGCACACGATGTTAATATCAGACAATAATGCCAAAGAAAGCTTAGGGGACGTTATTAGGAGTAAACACAAATGTGAAGAAAGACAAGCAATCGAAAAGATAGCTTGCCGCGTGGAGTGTCCGAACATGCTGCGACCATCGAATAACGCGTCCCATGCTCTACCAAGAGCTACCGCGCCGGCCACTCGCCTGTCCACTTTACTCTTTTTTTTTTCTTACAGTGCAAGAGTGAAGGCTTGAACGGTAGCTGTACTTCTGGTACGAACCCAGCAAACGTTACTGCGCGTGCGTTTGAAGCCGAGCCTGCTCGCACTGTGTCGTCATAGGCAACGGACACGCAGTGCAGTTGGCATGACTTTCTATAGCGACGTGCGTTAACATCATGGGAGCAGAAGCTAGCGTAGTTATCTACTGCACACAGCAGAAGTGACAGAAAAGAGATGGAGCCGTCAGTTGATGATGGAGGTGTGAAGAACGAGGGCTGGAAGGGGTTAGAGAGGGAAGTTCATTGACCTATGTAGGGTACTTTGTTCTACGGGCAATGATAGCGGAATGAGATGAAGACCGCTGTGGACGCGTGCTACTGCAGATATATACCGTGTCTGCCCGAGCAGAAGTCGCGCTTCCCAGCGCATGCACCCTTTCTCGTGGTATGCTCCTTCGTGCAGATCCTGGCGAACTATAGTCGTCGGACCGTGACCACAGCAAGTGGTCGAACTACGCACGAACCTGGTGCGCCGTGCTCCCTACCGGGCTGCAGAAATTGGGCGCCTTTCTTCCTCCTCTAATCACTACCACCACCACTGCCGGTCGCTGTCCGAGCTTAGCAGCTTGTCAGTGCTCGTATCGGTTACGGCTAACCGATTTTAACCAAGACTAGATGGACCCCTCTCCCCCATTCCCCCTTCCTTCACGCACACACAGAGAGGCGCGTTGCCTTCGTGAGCCGGTTTTCGTTCGCGATGACCGTGTAGGAAGGACACTGGCAAGACACTCCCCCTCCTCTAATTCCCGCTTTCCTTCTTCCCATCTTTTCCTTCCTCCGTTCCTCAGCAGGCTCGATCCACAAAGGAAGCATTCTTTTTTTTTCTATAAATACTTCGACCTCATCTCAGTGTAAAAGCACACATGGCTGTGACAGCCCGACGTGTGCCCTTCTGAAGACGCTGGTCGGGTCACGTTTGCTTCGGAATCGCTCGTCGGTGGAAGACCTGCAGTCATGCTGCGTCGTCGCGGATACCAGAGCAGTAGGTTTACCCTCATTCCTCCTGGCATGGTTACCGTGCTCGCCTATACTGACCGTGAAGTCCCGTGTTCGATTCCGGTCGAGGCGGCAGCACTTCGATGGAGGCGAAACGCTCTAGTCCACGCGTTTGTTCTGCGCCATGACAGTCAGTATCTTCAGAGGTGTAAGGAAGCTGGGTAATCTTCACTATGCTTGCTCTGGGGGAGTGGGGGGGGGGGGGCAAAGATTAAGCAGGCGGAAACATGTGAGAAAAGCCCCCCCCCCCCCGTACCCCCCGCTGGCGCCGGCCCCTGGGAATGGTTCAAATTCCCGGGCTCTGATAATCATATCGCAGTTTTGGCGTGTAAAATGTGAGATTTAATTATCATCATCTGTATTATCGGTTGCATTGTTATCATGGCCGTTTTCATTTTACAGAGATTTTCTCGCTTTCGCGGTTAGCTCTAGATTTAACCTAATTGTTGTTCTTCCTTTTTTTCTTCGTTGCAGTAAAATGCCGAAAGCAAGGACCACCGCCCATGAGAGATGGCGTCGACTACGTCAACGCAGGGGAGGAAGACCAAATGGTGAGTAGATTTGCCATTGGTTGCTGTAATAAGGCAACGATTGCAGTGCGAATTAAGGTTCTCATCGACTGGACCGACGCAGTCACCCTTGCTATATATGGTTGCTACAAGCGGGTTTCGGGTAGATAAGGGCTGTTTTACGCATAATAGAGAGTTATGGTATACCGGGCTTACCGTGATACCGGGCGTACCGTGATCCCGGAATCGGAATGCGCACGCGCAGATACGTACGTTGCGCGTACCGCTTACCGTACGCGCGGTATTTTTTTCAGATTTAAGGTAGCGTAGGTGCACGTAGTGTATGTACGTAAACATGGCGGCGCTCTCAGACGCCCGCTTCGAAGTGATTTTGGCGTAGTTGTTGAAAGATCCACCTTGTTCGCAGTAAACGACTGTTCAAAGTGGCTTCGCTTACCTTCAGTTAGCTTCGATGACTGAGTATTACGGATAAGTTGGCGTAGTTTTTGAGATAGCTTCCCATTTCGAACGCGCCTAGGCCTAACTACAAGATCAATGTAAACAAATCGGCAACGTAGATGTTTTCGCGTTTTGTACGTGGTTCATATTTATTTACTTTTATTATCACAAAAAAATAAACTTTTGACAATGCTTCGCGCGGTGGCATAGGCAAACATTCTCGTTTTCTTTAAATTTTAGTGTTTAACTTATTAACAATCTAATAGGTGGCGCCACTATCCCACTTGGTGGCACGTAAATCGCGTAAGCGCTATTTCGCTAAACTATAAGACGCTGCCTACAACGAACGTTTGCTGCACGGTAGCGCCATTCCCTTAACCTACGCTACCACGCTAACGCTATACTATAACTGTCTAATGTCGTTCGGCTGTCACGTGCTGTCGTTTTACACGTGTGCTTGAGCATAGCCTCCTTGAAGTCCGCGATCGCTGAAAAGTCTGGCGGCAAGGGTGAGGGGTAAAATGCTGTTGAATAAGGAATGTAATTGTGAAATAAAATTTGAAAGGCAAGCTTCGCAATGATCATGCAAAATTGAAAATGACAGATTGGCTGCCTTTTGCCGTGGTATCCAGCTTTCTTGACGTGGTACAGGGTGGGGGTGGTAAAGGTACGACGTAACGATTGGACATAAGATTTGCACACAATAAATCGCTCTGTTGTGTGCATCATTCATGTCCCGTCTATTTGTTGAGGTGGTTCTAACACACCCCGAAATGTTTTCGCGCTTTAACTTCTATGCGATGCTAAAGTATTGTCTAGTAGCTAAGGTACTCGACTGCTGATCCACAGGTCGCGGGATCGAATCCTGGCTGCGGCGGCTGCATTTCCGATGGAGGCGAAAATGCTGTAGGCCCGTGTGCTCAGATTTGGGTGCACGTGAAAAAACCCCAGGTGGTCAAAATTTCCGGAGCCCTCCACTACGGCGTCTCTCATAATCATATGGTGCATTTGGGGCGTTAAACATTACAAATCAATCAATAAAGTATTTACGCGCCTTCACATCGATCACCAGTGGCCAAAGATAGCCGTTCTGTATAAAAACATCCACAGAAAAAAACAATTGAAGCATATCCACGGAGTGCATTATGCTGAGTGGGGCATAGCGTCCGTCTGTCCGTTCTTGCTTCCGTCCATCCATGCGTCCGTCCGTCCATCCATTCGTGTGTCCGCCCGTGCACCTGTCTGTCTGCCCGTCCGTCCGTGCATCCATCTAGTGAACACTCCAAGTACCGCCATCTACATCTTTTCATCATATATTCATCGTACACAAGTACCGCCATCCAGCGGGCATTCCAAGGTCTAAACGAGAGGTGGCACTCGCGCACTTTCTTACGGCCTGCGCTTCGTGCCTACTTCCCACCTTTCACCGCCTCCAGTTCATGGCTATATACTAGTTCACTATATTCATGGCACTACGGCCCAACCCTCGCTAAACCTTGCTAAAACTAAGAAGGTTACGCCCAACGAGTTTAACGTGGCAACCCTTTCTGGTCAGATAGTGCTCATAGTGTGTCCTTCTAATACTGTTTTTTTTTAGTAAGCATTGAATTCAAGGCAAATTTTGTTAGAGATTAGGTCAGCAATACTCACCTCTGTAAGTTATTTCATCAGAAACAACTATCTTTTTGTTTATGATTAACGTGCGCGGGTTTCCTCCTCAATTAGAAAGGATGCGCGCGTGCCGCTCCTTTAGTCCGGCCTTGGAGGTGGCCTCCTACTACTACGACTACATACATCGCGGACGCACGACCCACGGCACAGGGAGCTTCGCCCCCAGAATTCATCGGACACGCCTAGTCGTCAACCTTTTTAAACGTTCTTGGATGCAACAGTCGGCTGTTCCTCGGCTGCCAATGTCTCGGATGAAAAAAAAAAAAATGCCTGCATTGTCATAATAATTCTGGAAATTGAACAGTGAGTCTCGTCTGACAGTCGAGATATGGGGCTGGCTTGTTGCCGCTTTTAGAGTTACTGTATATGCAACCTTCAGGTATGTAGAGTAACTCTAGCCGCTTTTAATGAGGGTGCACCCCACCACCCCCTTTTGCCCGTCGTCTGTGTTCACACGCGTCGAGGGGCTCGTGCTTCGTTTTCGCCGGCGTCCTCTTTCCTCCATTTCCGATGGAGGCGGAAATGTTGTAGGCCCGTGTGCTCAGATTTGGGTGCACGTTAAAGAACCCCAGGTGGTCGAAATTTCCGGAGCCCTCCACTACGGCGTCTCTCATAATCATATGGTGGTTTTGGGACGTTAAACCCCACATATCAATCAATCAATCAATCCTCTTTCCTCACACGACGGTTGTAAACTTTTGAGGTGGCCGTAAACTTCCTCTGTCCTCCCATCGAGCCTCTCAACGCGCTCCGACCGCGCCGTGCGGTACTATAGGTAGACCGTAGATAGGCGAGTCTTGCTCGTGACCTGTAGCACGTACAACAGCTGCCGCGCGCTGTTGTCCGCGTGCAGTGGTCAGGTGCGCACTTCCTAGCCGCGTCTCGAATCGCGCTTCTGTGTTGGGCCACACGTATAGCAGCTGCGGAGTGTTCGCCTAGCGCTCGTGGTTTAACGCGGTTCTGACGGCCGGCCGGATTTTTCTTTTTCTTTTTTTTTCTCACAGCGCTGGCGCGTCTGCTGTGCATGTGCGTCGGCCTCACTGACCGCTGATTGGACACATTGCAGAAATTTGCAAGGCGACTTTCCTGTAAGGTTGTTTTCTAACAACAACAACAAAAAAAATGACAGCATATCCACGCAGTGAATGCAGGAGAGGGGCGAAGCAGGGTCCGCACGCCGCTATAGTGTACTAGAATATGGGCATATTCTAGTACACTATAACGCCGCTCCCGCGCCGTTTCGGCCTATCTTGCCGCCTTGCGCGCCAGCCGCTCTGCAGCCTTGTCCATCCGCCGACCTTCTGAACGCACGCTAGAACTGCTTTTCTTTTACTACACCGCGCCCTCTAGCCACTACCCTAGCGTACGGCGCCGCCGATGAACACGCGATCGCCAACGTCTTGTGTGACGTCATTCCTATATTCTCGCGCCCTTGCACATCGGGGATTCCGTCTTCGAGCGCGAGCCGCCGCCGCCTTCGCGCATACTATACTTTTTATCGGAAAACCGTCAACACCCGCTCGCCGTGTCCGTCCGTCGTCTGTCTGTCTCTGTTTGACGCACGGACAGACAGATGAACGGATGGATGCATGGACGCACGCACGGATGGACGCACGCACGGATGGACGGATGAACGCATGGACGGATGGAAGCGCGGACGGACTGGCGAACGCTTCGCCCCACTCATCATCATTCACTCCATGGATATGCTGTGAATTTTATTATCATACCACAAGTAACGCCCTCTAGTATCGTACCATTTGCATTTTTCATCGTCTATGCATTTCGTTATATGTACAAGTAGCGCCCTCTACGGTCGGTTCAAGAACTAACGAGAGGTGGCTACGATTACGACGGAACGCTCAGCCCACGCCTTAAGGAGATTCGCTCCTAAAGCTCTCGTTCACGGAGTACATGGGCGTCGATTTATGTGCCGCAGTCTTTATCTTTTTTCTTCAAGCTACCGTAGCCAGGAAATGGTTTTGTTCGAGAAGGAGCTGGGCAGGGTGGTGCAATGTTCGGGCAAGGACTTTGCTTTGGGACAACACTACATATTCATGATCATTGTGCGACGTAGAAGGGAAAAAAAAGATCTTCCTCTTCCACTGTGATCTTACGAGCACATAGAGCGACCGCGTAGTAATAAAACTGGAGATCTGTTTGCAAAACACTCAACACTGGAAGGTTTTATCTTCTGCATTTTGGTCGGGATGCGGCCTTCATCAAGAATCAGAATGAAGGCCGTACCACCGCCGAAACATTGCAAGTGATACCTACTGTTCTTGCAGTTATGATAGCATATCTTTATACGTTCATCTTTGTCTTCCAATTAAAGCACGATTTACAATTACAGCACACTTAAAGCAGGAAAACGAAAGAGATGTTAGGTTGCTTTTTATCCACTGCTTGTTTTGACTCTGCATCTTTGCATGCTTCCGACCCCGATCATTTACGAGGCATAAACGAAGCACAGTGTACATATATCAATGTCGCTGCATCTTTAGGATTTTTTTTTTTTGATCAGCTGTGGAATACGGCTATGCTGATTCCTCCAGTGTTTGTATTGATGTAACCTTGAACGTGGCAAGGCGCACATGTTTGGAGTATTAGATTGGGTCACACTTCAGAATGTTTATGCTGTTTTTAGACCGCCTCATGATAGTGCGAGTGAACTCTAGGACACTTTGCGGCACTATTTTTTTGTCTCCCTGTTTCTCACACACACGTGTCATAATGTGTCTGGGCGATGTTGCTTGGACCACCGATGGAGCGTGGAAAAAAATAGCATTGTAGTCACACTGCATGATATTAAGATGTCACATTGGCTGAATGGAATAAGGTAACCAAAACAGTCGTCCTTAATGGGGCCCTGCAACACTTTTTTAGCATGTTCAGAAAACGCTGCCGATCGGTAGTAGGGGCTCCCGAGAACACGCGAGCCAAATGTTATAGCGCAGCACGTAGCCTGGAATTCACAATAAATTATCAGTCAGCTAAAGATTGCTTTCTCTCCCTTCGACAAATGACTGAAGACGATCAAAAGTCACTTGTAGAAGGCCATCTATTGGTCATTGGCCGATTTAAACATGGCGCGCTCGGTCGTTACAGAGATCGCCGCGGGAGGCCGTGACTTGTCCTCGCGCGATCGAAGTGCTCAAGGTCACGAAGCGCGCATGACGTATTTTCTTTGCCCCTGCCATCCATCTTTGCTTAGCTTCCAGCGCTTTCGTCGGGACGAGAGAAGAGAGAATGTGATAGCAGCGTGCGACAAATCTTTGTGACTCCGCTCGTACTGGACGGATTCTTAAAATTTTTGCAGAGTTGAATTTGTGCGTCTATAAGCTCTTCAAGTGAATTCATTCCATGGTTACTTCTAAAAGTGTTTCAGGGCCCCTTTATTTATGACCGTGCGTACAAATAACGTTCATGATTTATTACTTTCACGACTATTTAATTACTGCTTTAACTCTTGCTCACCTTTGCTTTGCCTTGTTTCGATAATGCTTCATTTCTCACTTTGTCGGTACTAAGTGTTGTGAAGTCTCAAAATGGCGAACGAGCGCCACCACCACGCTCTTGGAGTGAACGGACACAGCAGACGCGGTCGGAACAAAGCAAACAATACACATTTATTTAACTACTTTTTGATCGACGACATCGTCAGCCGAATTATTATAACATAAATTGTAATTAACACGCTAAGACATCCTCACACAATATTAAACGACACTCAGCAACATGACAAACAAGGCGGTGGTGCTAACGCCTGAACCACCGCGGTGCCGTCCACGGCAGACCCACCGCTAGAGGCAACCGTCCGCGTCACTGCCCCACGCCACAGCTCTCTCGCCCGCCACCAAGGCTTGCCGTCCGCCAGGGGTCACCGCCGGCCAGCGCTATGAACCTATGAACTATCCATGAACCTAAGATTAGCCTAAGATTGAACCTAAAATTAGATTAGAAATTAAGCAACGTGGAATAGGTAGGCTTGCTTTAGGAGCTCACGGGAATACACCAAATCAGGGAGTACAAGGTGATATGGGATGGACATCATTTGAGGGCAGGGAAGCTAGCAGCAAGATAAAATTTGAGAAGCGATTGAGAGAAATGAAGGAGGAGCGTTGGGCTAGGAAGGTTTTCAGCTACTTGTACATGAAGAATGTCGATACAAAATGGAGGAAGCGAACCAGGAAGTTGACTGATAAATACTTAGAAAACAGCAGGTGTCTAAACCAAAAAGAACTATCGGTTAAGAAGAAAGGGAAGGTAACGGAGACTGACATGTGGAGAATGGGCATGATTAAGAAGTCGGCACTAGAGATCTATCGAACTTTTAAGCAGGAAATTGCCAAGGAAAGGATCTATGATAATACTCGGGGTAGTGTAATTTTCGTGCTTCAACACCCCTCATGTAAAACCCCACTCATTGGGGTCTTTGAGGTACCTGTAAATAAAGAAATAAATAAATAAATAAATAGTTGTCACCCCCAAAATACGGCTTCTCTGCGAGACAGGTGCGCCACGCGGCGCAAACAACTTTACGGGGGGTGTCAGCACCCCCACAGTGTTTTTGGATTATCTTTAGTTCCACTGTGTCTATGCTATGCAAATTGGGGAATTTAGTTCTGTTATTTTGTGTCAGCAATTCCTGATTGACCATGTGTATGCTGTTTTTCTTTGTTCAACTGCCTTTTATACAATAAATAACTTCTCACATGTGTTTATTTCTAATTGCGTTAATTGATCTTTGTGAATTCTAAACATGAACCCCCCCTTCCATGTAATACCCCTAGCAGGGCCCTTTAATCCATTAAGGGAACAGTAAATGATGGTGGTGATGAATAGAATAGCCATGCTATCCCATTCGATAGAGTGGCGTCCTTCAGCCTATGATTGCTTTGTGCTGTAAATAACACCCGATTCTTGCGTACATTTTTTGTTATTGTTGTATCGCAGGAGGTGTTTGGGTACCAACAGGACGGATGTCGCACCCTGGCTACCTGGTGTGGCATGCTGTTGACGGCAGGCCTGCTGCGACTGCTCTTCCACTGGCACCCCGCCTGGTGGCTTTACTGCACCCACCGGCGCTGCTCTCTTCAACAGGCCATCAGAGTGTTGCTCGTGGTGTGTTTTCGCTCTTCTTATCACTAATTGAAACAATGCCGTTTAGTGTACCTCCGTCACACTTGGCGACAAGTCCATCTTGACAGTGGAGGAAGGGCTACTGAGTCGGGGATTCTGCATATTCGGGTTTCTCCACTAGGAGTACAGCAGCTTCCGGCCAATATAAATTGCATTTTCTGTTTCACTTGCTTGCAGAGTTAACACACATCCAGAACGTACACCACATAAAAGATGTAAATGGGAGAGACAATCTGATTGTTCAGTGTGCATTGTTCGATTACATTTTTCTTGGAGGACTGAACTGAGAGTTTAAGGCTGCAGGCTGAACCAACACATATCTGGAACACCATGTTTACCTTGTACAACAGGTGGGCAGAAAATGTGCTAAGAGAAAAAAATAAAAAGAAGAAATTCTTGTAAAGAGAACAATAATTTTATTTTCTCCATGACTGCAGTCACTCTTCTTGTTCTCATAATGAATAAAGCAGTGTGCTTTCATTTGCCAGTAAAGTCAAACAAAAACATTAATTGCATCCTATTTTTTGGCTCGCTAGCAAACACACTCTTAAGTTCTGTAGCTTCTACACAAGACATGAACCTTTTGCTTTTAAAAAACAAAGAGCTTTCGGTTTCATCTGCTGGCACAGTTTGCTAAGTTTAGCAGGTAGAAAAGACAAAGGAATGCATTGAAACAGAAGCCCACAAATATTGGCCACCTTTTGTCATTGTACTTAGTCTAAGTTTCATGCAAGAAAATTCACTATTAATCTCAAAGACATTATGCACTCTTCTTTATGTGTACTTGGGAACGTAAGAGTACACTTTCTCTTCATCAAACATCTCTAAATTTTGTTGCGGCATGGCTGACTGAAGCAACAAATAACCAGAAACTTCTTGGGGCCGTTGGTTTGCTGGCGTTATGGTGGGTGCAAGAGATCGTCTGTATGTGTGTACAACTTATTACGACGGGAATCTCCAGTTTTGTGTTCAGCAGAGCATGTGTATCGGGACACAATTTTCGTACACACTCGTACCTCAATATGATAAACCAGGATATAATGAAGCATTGGTTATGACGAAGACAGTGAAGAGTACTCTTGCAATAGACAGAGCACTAGAAATATACCTTATTAACGAATTTTCAGATATGACAAACTTATTTTCTTGCAAGATTCAACTTTGTTATAATGAGGTTTGAGCGCATACTTTTTGAGGTGGAGCATCAGAGAAAACATGACTTAAAGTTAAAAGAACACAGGACAAGTGTCTTGCCTTTTATTTTGTCCTGAGTGTAGGGATGTGTTTTTGTTCTTTATTTCTTGTGTGCTGTGTCGTTTGATTTATTATGACTCTTGCTACTGGTTTTGTGTGTTTTCTCTGCTAGTTAACTCGGCTCTTAATGACAATTCAACCTTACATTCCATTGCCTTTCTCTTATTTGCAGGATCAGTACAAGCAGCTTTTTGTAGAAAAAGTTCAAACTATCCTGCCCTCTGAAGTCAAGTAAGTACGGTCCCTCAGTTTTGTTTGTTCTTTTATATAAGTAAATTTATGTCTTTTGAAGTATGAAGGCAACAGGTTCCTTAATATTCATGCAATAAGAAAAAGAATTATTGAGTGCCTGCTAAATTTAGCAAAGAAGTGTTTCCACGTATCGAATGTAGGCTAATTGCTTCCCTCGTTTCCTATTCCCAGGTCATTCACAAGGGTGGAATTTTCGGAGGCCCTGCTATTTTATTTGAACAAATTTTCTGGATGGATCATTTGAGGAATTATTTGTGTAATCGCAAGTTGGGCAGTTATACTTGACAAAAGATTTTAGGAACTACAGCGGGACGAAATAACAAAATTTAAAATGCATAATTTTTTCCCGAGCATTAAAAATGTGTGCTGTGTGAAAACAACTTGAAATGTCACAGTTTCTTATTGCACTACAAACTCCTTCTTCCTTTGCACGATATAAAAAAAGTTTATATAGAGGCAAGAAAATGTACTGGTCAATTAAGCTAATTCAGTCGCCTGAAATCTGATGCAAATTTCAAAGAAACCGACAGCACAATGTTGCAAATTCTCCAGTAACATTTTCAGCTATATATTGATCATCTCTCTTTTTCTTTTGCAGTGTGTCACTTATGCTATCTGTAACAGGTCAGGCAGATTCCCCTCTGCAAAAATCAAACAAACTTGATGAACTTGTGATGCTGAAACCGGGGGTGAGTAATGACTGCTGATTTTTTTTTTTCTCTTTAATGGTTAGGCATGTGCAAACGCTAGGTACTGTTGACTATGCACATCAGCTTACGCGATGCTAATTAAAGATCCTCAGAGCACCTTGCTATGATATGAGGCAAACTCTATAGCTGGTGGGTGAGTTCACACTTTGTTTTGTGGTGTGCGATGCAGATGTTCTCATCATTTGCAAGTTTACATTAGTGTTTGTCAGAGTTTCATAAGCATACTGCAACTTTAAAAAAAGACGAAGGATGCTCTGAAGCTTTTTTCAATGCCTTCACTGTTTTTTTAAACTGAACTAAATGAACCAAGGTTAAGCATGTCTTGTCAAACACCCCACTCAGGGCTATGCACTTTTGTTGAGAATTGCACTAAGAGAACCATGAGCCTTGGGATTGAATTTATGGCTTGTGATAGCAGCGTTAAATAAAATTTGCGTGAAATCAAACAAAAATTCTGCCTGTTTGTTTTGTCAAGCTGTCAGTCAGATTAGATGTATATTGCAATGAAAACTGCAGTCTGTGAGGTTTTAGAGCACACGACTGCATGATACATAGACGGTTTGCTTATGGAAACAATATCATGGCAAGGACTCACAAACAGCTTGCAAATGCTTTTGGTCGAGTGAAAAGATGTGAAGCGGCACTAGTTGCATATACCGCTGCATTTGTTGTGTAGATAGTAGCGGTTGTGTCAGCAAAAGCCTTCAGTAATACAAGTACTTTATCAACCTTTCTAAAAAGCAAGAAAAGGTCGTATCTTTTTCCCACAACTTGTTCCTTGCGCGTAAATAGTGTGGTGAGGGGTAAAATGTATCTTCGGTACTTAACTTTAAATGTGTACAGCCAGACGACACCACTGCGGGAACCTCTACAACATTGCATAACAAATGATTGCTTGCGTTCTGGCTTAAATACGAGCACTGCAGCACATGGCCTCAGCAAACTCACCTGTGTAACAAAGTATTTTGAAGGTCCTGAGCACTTCATTATGAAATATTTGGACAGTAATTGCCTAGCTTTAACTAATAGTTCTCGCACAGGAAAGGCATCATTTCCAAGCTAACGTTTCGGCATGTAAGACTAGTCCTCGAACAGAAGCTTAGCAACGCCCTGAAGCATCAAGAATGAGTTTTTTTTTTTTTTTTTTGTCAATTTTGGAAGAACGCTGATCTTGATTTGACCATAACAAAGTTATCTGGTTTGTTGTGTTGAAGCTACAGAGGCTGTTGCAAGGTACCTGATGATGACTTTTATTACCTAGCATTCTTTAGCATGCAGTTAAAGTCTAAATAGTATGTATGAGCCCTCTTGCCTCTCGCACTCGTCGTGCAGCCAGAGGTCGTGTATCCATGAATCAAATATATGACCTCTTGCTCAACTTTAGCTGCCATAGCTGCAGAGCACCATTGCAAGTTTTTCGTCCCATTTGTGTTTTGCAAATCTATTATAACAAGTTTGCAGCTTGGAAGCACCCATTGAAACTGGTGAAAGGTTTTGGAACCGTTGTTATCTGAAACTTTTTATCATTTTCAGTCTGTTCTGGTTCAAAATTAAGACTTACAACTCAAGGTTAAGCAGTATACTTACTCTTTTGCAGATTGAGCATAATGTTATGAGAAAATTCACACGATAATCAACCATGAAAGAACTTATTCAGCAGTGCCCAACTACGGACCATTTTACCCAAATTTTCTTGACAACGCTGCTTTCATAAATTACTGAAGGTCTTTTGCTGAGACATGTAGCCTAACTGAACACTGTGCCAGCCTGACCCGGGCGATTCAGGACCCCCAAGCTCTGCATTTCCTCGGTGCCGAGTGACACGTTTGCACGTGTGGGGTGCTGAAACCGCCAAAAGAGCGTTGCAGTATTCATCGTGCTCCTCTGCCATTTCAGGGTTCGATGCAGCCGGCCGAGAGCTTAGTCTACTTTGAGAACAAGAAGATCCGCTACATCTGGGATGCGGAGCTCAAGGCATTTCGCAAGGTTGAGGGGTTTCGATAAAAATGTGACGTGTTCTTACTTTCACCAGCAGAAGGGCCTTTCGCTCCCGGAGCAAGTGGTTAGGTAGTGTACAAAAGTTTTGTTCCCGTTCTGAGTGTGAAGCTCGTTTGTCTCCGATCTTGCCATGTGTGAAACAGTTCCTGAGAACGCAGAAGAACCTGGCTACAATGCCCACCGTGCCAGACATAAAACACATTAGCTAAAGCAACAAAAGGTGCTTGGCATTGCAATTACAGTGTAGTCACTAAGCTGCCCATTGACGGGCTTTATCCCAAAGACTTAATAGACTGACCAGGGTTTTTTCACAAGTGAACATCTGTCTGAAATCCTCTTGTAAATGTGACTAAACATGCTGAACAGTGTTAATGATCAATGAATGGGCACCAAGGATGTTACTAGAAGTTTATATGCCGATGGATGCGCTTACTTTTGGCGACTGCTGCTACTTTATATATCCTCAACTTAAAGTCGCTCATGAACATGTAATCTGGCTTGTAAACTTGCTTTGGCATATATTTGTTAGGCTGTATTTAGAACCAGTAAATCAAAGACACGAGTTTGACATTGGCAAGACTTGAGAAACCTAGTGTCACACTTGCTACTATTTGTGCATCTGACTTTGTGCTACTGTTCTTTCCCTTTTCTTTGCTTACATTCAAATCTGTTATTGCTTGTCCCCTCCTTTTTTTTTTTCATGGCCCTGTAATCTGTGTTTAGAACTGACATGGTGCGAATAGAAATTGCAGATTCCGGCGATCGGAGTTGCATGTGTTATATGTTTTACTGTGCTAAAGTAGTACGACATGTGCTTTTAATTGTGTCCAATGCATCCTTTTAATATAACCTGTGGCACATTTACATTATGTAGTTTTTATATGACTAGCACTTTTCTTAAAGGGCCAATAAAAAAGGCTCAGACACCCCCAAAACAAGCTCACCGAGCAGTGCAGAAGTGGATTGTTCTATACTACCCTGCAACTTCCTTATAGAGTCGAAATTTTTTGCTGCAGCATGTTCACATCGTACGAGTGCGCAGTTAGCTTCGTCACACAGTTTGGAGATGGGTGTTCTTTACTGGCCCTTTAAGTTAGTAATAAAAAGAAACCTTTTGTTTGTGTTGATGTAAGAGCTTCGTCATTTTTGCTTTTTCATTTCATAGCTAATAAAACATTCATAGTTAATAGTTAATAAAAGGGCAGTCAAAGTGGATTATATTTTTACGCTTAAAAATTCATCAGGATGTCTTCGTAAGTTTTCAAACTTGAGAGAACGCGCGTACCTCGATATACTAGTTTTCGGCATATGAAAAGCAGTTCAGAGTAATGTGCATTGTTGTGTTACATACATGCTAAAACCGCTGATGTGGGAGGTGGGCCAGATATATGAAATCTGTTTTCTGGCAAAATATTTAAATGATGACTGCTACAATGCTTTTAGCAAAAGAAAGTACCTTCGCAGGAAATGCATCTAGTATTTTTACTGGCAGCTTGCAGGGAGTTGCACGTACATTTGTACACCTCAAGTAAAGTGTCTGCTAGCATGTTAAGCTTACGAATACTCTGAAGATTAGGTGTTTATGATATTTATTTATAATGTTATTAGTAGTAGTATCTATTAACATATTTGAAATATTTTTTTGAAAACATGCATAATACACGTTCGTGCTTCCCCGCGATACGTAGCTCATCGTGCACGGCCTGAATCTTTCTTTGCACTTGAAGCCTGTTTCTCGTCTTTCAACAGCGCTCATTTCTCCTCTCACCTGTCTTGATTGTTCCCTCCTTATGGTCTTTTTTTATGGAATATTTGCCTGAAGCGACCAATGTGTGTTTTTATTTGCCTTGCTCTCATGTGCTTCTGCCCCTGATTGAAACTGTGCTCCTTGACTTTTTCAGACGAGTTCTTTTTGGGGATAACGTAATTAGTGTCCAAATACAGTCAGTCTTTCGTATCCTCTTTCAAGAGGTTAGTCTTGAATACCTCTCACTTCTCTTTGGTTATAGCGCTCTGGTATAACCTTTGAGCAGTAGAAAAGCTGTCAGTGGTGCATAAAATTAGCCTTGTAAGTTGTATAAAACCATAGGTCATGCATGCTCAGCCTTGTGCTCTTTCTCTGCCTCGCCTTGCTTGCAGTTAGCATTGTCTCGTCTCTTGAATAATAGACGTATAACTAAAGTGGACTAGTGCCACAGTGCCGGAAATGGCTAGTTCTAAACATTGCTGCATGCTCTATAACTGAAGATAGTGGCTAGACCTCAAAACCTGCCTTGATCAATCCTTTTCTGTCAGGAGACAAGGCACAATATTTGCATGTTCATTCTCATATCAACTTATTGACAAGTTACAGATGCCACTTATAACTTCAGAAGTTCATAACAAATGTTATTGGCTTTTAATTGATGCTAATTTGGTGATGCATTACACTTTAATGTATCATTCTACCAGATTTGGTCAATGCTGCTTGAAAAACACTGACTTGCGATAGATGATTGTTAGTTAAAGGGGCCCTCCTACACTATATAACCCCCCCCCCCCCCCCCAGTTCTTACTCCTGATTTGTGTAGACTAAAGTACAGACAGAATAATGCAGCAAGAACGGCAGTGATAATGACACGTAGTATTAAGTTATTCAACTTTGAAAATTTTCAATACAAGAAAAACATGTCTCCTCTCAACTTGATATTCGCAAGGTCACCTGACCTCAGTTCACTCACCCCAACAGGCTTAGGGGCATTGGATGGCTGCCCCAATGAAATGAGCTCGAAGCTCTGTGTAGGGGAAGCTCGCACACTATTGTTGTTTGTCCTTTCCAGCCTATTGTATACCTCATTACCATACTCACAAACGTGCTGCCCGACTTGTCAGAACGTGAGCGGGTGCTACTTTTTCGAAGTGAGCCAGTATTTTCTGCTGAGATGATCAGGAGGGACACTCCATTTCACCACCCCCTCTTGATCTAATTCTGAGAAGGACCTGCAGGGTAGTGGCGAAGTACCGTTGACCCTTCGCAAGTTTGTCAGTGAGCAGCCCGACAAACCACAAGGGTGCATTGCACCCCTTCAACAACAAAATAAAGTCTACCGCATATGCAAAAAGAGGCAGCTCACAAAGGCACCAAAGCAAGAAGAGGAAAGAGGGAGGTCTCTAGTATGTACATCCAACACGCGCAAGCCAAAAATGCCGAGGCAAATAATGGTAGCCAGTGTCTCTATTGTGCTTTTTAGTAGTCATGATCTTTCCTGATGTGGCTGCGTCTGTTTGAGGTTCATTAAAAAAGCGTAGAAAAGAACAATGAAACACGTTAGTAATCTCAGTTGTGATAGCACACCACGATCTCTTTTAATGTTACATTTATCCATTCGTAGGCTTGCAGCCGCCCGCCGTCATTTCCGCCCGCAACAGTTTTGGCAAGCGTCACTACGTGCTGACGCAGCGATGTAGTGATGTTATTGATATGATTAATATGCCAACTCGTTTGATATCGGCACTTAGGCCTATGCTAAAATTATCCCCAGCCGTCGCTCTACACAAAGCACAAATAAAAAGTAGGTGCTTCAAAAGTTTTGGAGGGCCCCTTTAAGTTCTAGCTTAAGGAACAAAGAAGTTAAATAATTCTGCTCAAGAAGTAAGTGTCTGTCTTTATGTCAAAATGTTTGTGTGGCAGTTGTTCTAAGCTCGGCGTTTCTTCATTGCTTTCCTTTGTCTCTCTTCACCCCCCTGCAATCCAGGTTCTCGAGCCTTTCTATGTGTTCCAAGTATTCAGCATAATCATCTGGTTCTCTGATGACTACTACTACTATGCCTCATGCATCATCGTCATGTCTACATTGTCTCTAGTCACAGGCGTGTACCAGATAAGGCTGGTGAGTCTGGTAGTTTTGGCTCGTAGAAGCCTTTGTTGTCTTATCGGTAGTGCATACTTGAGTCAGCAGTAATTATTATATGTGTGTGTTTGATAATGAGACTGAAGCATGAATAAAAAGAGCTTGCCCTCGTATGATATTCTCATTACTGGTGCCACCGGAAAATGGCATTAGCAGTTAACTCGATTGTGTTATTGGTGTACAGTTAGACCCCTTAATAAGAGGCATGCTCCAGACAGCAGTTCTAGTCTTTTATACGAGATATCTCTTATAAGCAGGGGACCTCATATGCATTTTCTTATCAACCCGTATTTTACCATAGGCCCACTGGTGTCTCTTATTAGTCTCTTGTATCAGTGTCTCTTATAAAGGGGTTCGACTGTATTAGCAGCAGCAAAGTCATATATCTGCTCATATACTCGTGTCGTAATATACAATAACGCCACATTGCTTTTATTTTTGAAGTTTGAACTTGTGTGCCTTTTTTTAAAATTTTTCGTTGGCTTTCGGCGCAGTTCTCTTTTCATTTTTTAATAAGAATGTGCACTGTTTGATATCTATAAAGAACGTTGCATGCTGGATTAGCTTTGCTTTAAATTTCGTGGCATGGATTTGTTTATATCATGCAGCACATGCACAACTGCTTCCATGTTATTATGTTGTGAAACCTACCAATCTGATTTAGTAGACGATTTTTTGCAGCACATTATGTAATTGCCACATTTTAAGTTCAGTCTAAGACAGTTCAGGTTGAAAATTTTCACTTCACACACTCCTCGTAAATCATGCCTAACATGTATGAATTCCATGTGATTGTAGTTGGTGAGCTTGCCTTGTTTGTTATCACTTACATGTTCCTTGTTCGCACTTTTACAGAGTCAAAAAGCTTTGAGTGACACCGTACATGCTATGGATGTGGTCACAGTCAAGCGAAGCAAAGGAGGTGAGTGACAACAATTGCTGTATCATGTGTCATTACCTTTATTTTGTAGCATCAGCTAAAAAAAACTTTACCAGGTTCATCCATTGCATACAAACGAGCATAATGGGCAGATATTTCATTAGCCATAATGTCTGTTGAAGTGCAGGGATTCGTGCAAGGTCGTCAAGCCTACAGTGCATTTTTTTTTTTTTTGGCGGGGCGGTGTTTTGTCGAAAGGTTCGAAGATAGTGTGATTGCATAGACTGAGGGAGGAACTCTGCATGGAAAAACTTACTGGACAGATTTTGTTAAGTTTTCTTCTCATATGTGAAACATTTTAGCACAGAAGGAAGCCTCACACATTTCTTTTCTCAGCCATTGCTTTATTTAGAACAAAATGTGATCTTCATAAAAAAACTATTATCGCTCTAAATGAGAGGAAACACTGTCGAAATCTCAATTTTTTGGTAAAGAAATTGGTGCGGGGGAACATCAAACATGTGCGTCGTCATACTTTTAATTTTTTTTTTCAAGTGCCTAGTACTTGAAGGACCCAGCTTGTCCTTTATTCTATCTCATGTCACATGGTCACCCAGTGGTCTATACAGAACTAAAAGAAGGCTAACAAGGCTGAAAACCAGTGCAAAATAAGCTAACACAGTCCATAATAGTATAACCCTTTACTGCCCAGTGTCGGGAACTGGCGACATACCAAAAAACCTCGAGCAAGCAAGTCGCAAAATGCCTGCAATGCTGACCATAAAGTACTCACGAAGAACGTAGCTTTCACTATTGAAAACCTACTGCTGTTTCATTTAAAGTGTTTTATGCTAGAACCAATTGTTTTGTAGCTGATGGTGGAGAGCGTGAAGTGCGTGCAGCAGCTCTCACTTCTTTGTTCTTTCTCGCCTGGGTGATGTAAGTTCTATCTTCAATAATTTTGTTTATTTGGTGTGTACGTACCTAAGATGAGGAACGCGACATATTGCGTAGTTCAGAAGTACGTTTTCTGTTGCAAAGTCCTCGCTTGTGTGACATATGGAGAATTTACAACATACATAAAGGTATGCATTAAAGTTGCATTTTAGGTAATTTAACTGCGGAATCATTGAAAGGTTGCTGTGTAAAGCTGGTAAATAAAGACAAGTTTTATTTTTTGGCAGTTTCACTATTCAGGCATTAAAGCGATAAACTACAGAAATAACCAAGAATAGTTATCAATAATTTACCTAAAACTGCAACAAAAAAAAAACCGTCTGAAACATCTGGCTAAGACCCGCGCCTTGTAAGACGGTGTGTCAACAACTCGTCAAGAGTGCGAATTCCAAGGGAATCATTGGATTGCCGATGCTACGCACTTTCTCAGGTGGTGGAACTGCATTAAGTGCGGAATATAGAAACTACATCCATTACTTACACAAGAACAACATTACCACAAGATTTAGTGTGGGATTTTCAACTACACTCAGGGCCTACACAAAAAAGACACTGGTGCAGAATTTAGTGCAGGCATTGGGATCTCCACCGACACCTACACAAAAATCACATTAGCACTATAATTAGCTGCAGTATTAGCACTGAATTAGAGTTAGATTAGTGCTACATTGAGTGCGGGATTCTGTATTACATTTGGTAATCTGATCTCCGCTTGCCTTAAAGGAGTGGTGCCACCAAATTTCGAGGCTAACTCAAGCCTGCTGTGGGTTTCCTTTGTATGCAATGACTCTCCACACGAAGATCGGATAAAGCAAACGCATAAAATATATTTTAATTCACTTTTAAAAGTGTACCTCAATGCCCACTCTCAGGATCTAGACCCACCGCTTGCGCAGAAATACTGACGTTTCAGAATAGGAGAAGCAACAACAGTTGTCGTGACATCGCATCAGATCTGTAGTGACGAGTGTGATGGCGTCCTTTTCATAGAAACTTTGTGCGTCCGTCAAGGACACTGGGTGCTTTCAAAGAGACACTCAACGCGTCTTTGTCTGTCAGAGACACCGCGCGCGTCCAGCAGCGGGGCTGCCTCCTGCTCCTTCAGCGTATCGGCGCCTATAAAATGCCAGCGCATCTAGTGTCGGCAGGCTTCCTCATCCACGTCCTGTGCATACGTTGCAAATATAAATGCTTTGTTTCCTTCTGGCTGCCTTTTGGCTTGCAACTGCCTCGATGCTACTGCCTCTGCCTATGGCTACTGTCAGCGCGATTGTTTTGCTGGCATTTGTGTGGCACATGCTTATGGGAGCAGACGAAACTGAGCTCGATGAGCGTCACAGCTTTGTGTGGTCACATCACCAAGCCACCTATGCATCGACGTCACTGCCCAACTCGGCGCTGCGAAGCCGAAACCGAAAATGGCTCACATAAGTAGAGCAATATTAAACTATTTAGCAAAAATACACGAATCTTGGTGCGTGTGTCATGCTTCTTGGAGATGAAGGAAACGCTTATAGCAAAGAACACGCATTCCACAAATTTGGTGTCGCCCTCCCTTTAATAGTGGCTCTTAATTCTAAAAGCATAATTGTGCTGACACTGCCTGAAGTATATTAATCTTTTATCTGCCAACACCATGGTGTACTCGTCACACAAGTGTGTACCAATATCGCCAACGACGAGTCACACTCGGCCAGCTCGATGTTTCGCTCTTTCCACTGCCAAAGACGCATCACGGTCGTCAATTCCTTTGCTTGCAATTTTTAACTCGGATGGCGGTTGTCAATGGCAAACCGCATTTCGGACCTTTCATGCATGCTTTAAGCCTGGCAATAGTCATCACATAATGCCGCTTAGAAAGAAGTATGCCGGTGGTGACAAGGGCATTGGCAAGAGGGGGCAAAAGGGGCACGTGCCCTCTCTCAAGCCACATCGGCACTCTCCTCCCAAGCTACACCAGCACTCTCCCCTATCCCAGCTACGATAAAACATGGGTTTGCCTCCCCCCCCCCCCCCCCCCTTAAGACAACATCCTGCCAACACTCATGGGTGGCAGCAATGCTCCAATAAAAAGAGCTGCTTCTTGAAACAGTACGGAAAGCAGCGTTAGTGGCATCATGGAATTTGTGTCTGACAGCCTGCGATTCGAACATTGTCTTTACCCCATATACTATTGCTTCAGATGACAAGAGATGACGACGATGCTTCAACGCCATGCTTCACGATCTACACCAGAAAGCGATTAATAGTCACAAAAGCCTTTGTTGTGATGAAGTGACGTCTTTGCAATTTTTAGTGCGTTACCATGTATTGCATCAAATAAATACTTTGAGTTTCGGTACAGTCTGACCCTTCACCATGGCATGCATTGAAGAAAAACTGCCCGCAGAAGCATTTTTTTATTTCAATATTGATTTTTGTGCTAATTCTAAACACATATCAGTGACACAATATATTGCCACGTTCCATTTCCCAAGTTTTTGTTATCATCCCAAAACACCACACGATTCTCAGCGCAAACCGCGCCTGCAGTTTTCTAGAAGGTTCCGGACTGTAGTAGATCATTTCGATAAGATCACGCCCACTGTGCGAACGGTACAGATTGTTCTGGAACTTACGCCACCGCCAGCGATAACGCTAGAACATTCGGCGGCAAGAGTATAAATGCCGACGCGCTTCGCCGCCTGTCAGTTGTTGATCGAAGGCCGACGCTCCGTTCGCTGCTATCAGTCCGAGACTGCTATCTGTGCGAGACTGCTGCTGTAATTGGACTTTCCTTTTACCGGGCACAGGTTCGCCCAAATAAACAGTTAAATCCCAACACGAAGTCTCCTGTCTTCGGCCACGTCACGACCCCGTGACATCTGGTGGAGGTGCTGCTTCGTTCAAGTACCGGACGCCCCCGTCAAGCCGTGAACCCAGCCCACGTCGCAGAGAAGACACCGACGCCAACCAGGAGCAGCGAACAAGCCGCCGACAGCAAGGGCTACCACCGGAGTACGGGATTCTAGAAGACAAGGCGCGGAAGACCAAGGCCATGACCGCGACTGCAGCGACAATGACAACCGCCGCATCCCAGCCCACGATGGTCATGCATCAACCCAGGGAACCACCAATTTTCTATGGGTCATCGTTCGAAGACCCGGAGTCCTGGCTAGAAACATACGACCGTGTGGCCGCCCTCAACCACTGGGACAACGAAGAAAAGCTCCGTCGTGTGTACTTCTACCTGGAAGACACCGCAAGGACCTGGCTAGAGAATCGTGAGTCCACGCTCCGAACGTGGGATGTCTTCTGCGGCGCATTTCTGCAAACGTTCGCGAGCGTCGCTCGCAAAGAAAGGGCCGCTGCTCAACTAGAGACCCGGGTTCAGCTACCAAATGAGAAGGTTGGAATTTTCACAGAGGAGATGACCCGCCTATTTCGTCACGCTGACCCAGACATGCCTGAGGAGAAGAAAGTTCGTTTTCTCATGCGAGGGGTCAAACAAGAGCTCTTCGCGGGACTAATGAGGAATCCACCGAACACCGTCCAAGAATTTGTATCTGAGGCGACCACCATCGAAAAAACCCTTGACATGCGCACCAGACAGTATAATCGTCGCCTGACTCCAGATTGCGCTGTTGCTCAAACCAGTGACTCCGAAAACCTGCGTGAAACGATCCGAGCGATCGTGCGGGAAGAGCTGCGCAAACTGTTGCCTTCGGCGCAGCCTCAAGTGGATTCGATTGCCGACATTGTGCGAGAAGAAGTCCGGCAATCGCTTCGAATTCCCCAAACACCGCTGCCCGAGCCAGAAACTATGAGCTACGCCGCTGCAGTGCGCCACAACGCTCCTCCGCGTCCACGCCAAAACGCCGCCCCGTCACACTTCCGTCGCCAGACGCCACCGCCGCCACCGCCACCACCACCCCCACCGACGTCCTACCGTTCCCCAGCGGCCCAGTGCAGGGTGCCGAGGAAGACTGACGTCTGGCGCACCCCTGACCACCGCCCGCTCTGCTACCACTGCGGCGAGGCCGGGCACACATACCGCCGTTGTCAGTACCGACAGATGGGATTGCGTGGCTTCGCCGTCAATGCACCGCGTCCACAGCCAGGAGAACGACCACGTGACATCGCCGACTACCTGACAGGAACTCGGTGGACACCACGAAGCCCTTCGCGTTCGCCGTCGCCCAGCCGCCGCACGTCACCGCACCACCGGCAGTACTCTGACCCAACGCGGGGCCGGTCTCCTAGCCCGTATCCGGGAAACTAAGGGCAGCAACCGGTGGAGGTACGGTTGCTGTGCGACTAACTACCGAAGATCCTCCTCCGACGACGACGACGCGACGGAGCTTTCCAAACACAACGCCAAACAGGCAAAGCCCTGACGGCGAAAGCTCACTTACCGAAGGTGGCCTGACGACGCAACATGGAAGCAGCGGGACAAGCCGACGCAGCCGTGACCCGACGCCACGCCCCAACTGTAATGCGAGACGGCGAACTAGCGACCTCGACGTTCTTATCGACGGCCACAGTGTGACTGCTCTCGTCGATACTGGAGCCGACTATTCTGTCATCAGTGGGTCGTTCGCCGCGAAGCTAAAAAAAGTTAGGACAGCTTGGAAAGGCCCTGAAATCCGCACAGCCAGAGGTCATCTCGTAACGCCTGCAGGAATCTTCACAGCGAGAGTCACCATTAACGGCCGTATTTATCCTACAGACTTCGTAGTCCTACAGCGTTGCTCGAGAGATGTCATCCTTGGCATGGACTTCTTATGCCTCCATGGTGCTGTCATCAACCTAAAAACAAAGTCGATAACGTTATCCACAGAAGAAGCACTACCGCCGCGCATGCCGTCAGGACACCATGCCTTGAATGTGCTGGAAGAACAAGTCACCATTCCGCCTCGCTCAAGCGTCATTATTTCAGTCAGCGCTCCTAAATCACCTGACTTGGAAGGCGTCATTGAAGGCAGTCAGCATCTGTTGGTCACCCGAAATATTCGCGTCGCAAGAGGAATTGCAGAGCTGCGGGGAGGCAAAGCAATGGTTATGCTCACAAATTTCAGCAATGAGTACAAACATGTGAACAAAGGAACAACGGTCGCATACATCGAAGAAATTGTCGAAGCCACCAGTGCTTTCACCCTCGCCGATTCTGCGGAACCTGCTCAGAGGAACCAAGCCCCTCCCATAGCTTTCGACGTCAATCCCAGACTTCCGAACGATAAGCAAGAACAGCTCAAGGCCCTGCTCCTGCAATACGAAGATTGCTTTTCGTCGTCATCGAAAATTCGGCAGACCCCAATCACGAAACATGGTATCATAACCGAAGAAAATGCCAGACCACTCCGTCAGAGTCTGTACAGGGTTTCGACGCGAGAATGTGAGGCCATGAAGAGACAAGTTGATGAAATGCTGCGGGATGACATTATCCAGCCGTCCAAGAGTCCATGGGCATCTCCCGTGGTGTTAGTGAAGAAAAAGGATGGGACCCTACGTTTCTGCGTCGATTATCGCCGCCTGAACAAAATCACAAGAAAGGACGTGTATCCTCTCCCACGAATAGACGACGCACTTGATCGGCTTCATAACGCCAAGTACTTTTCGTCAATGGACCTCAAGACTGGCTATTGGCAAATCGAAGTCGACGAAAGAGACCGAGAGAAGACAGCGTTTATAACACCGGACGGCCTCTTCGAGTTTAAGGTGATGCCCTTCGGCCTTTGCTCAGCGCCTGCAACTTTTCAACGCGTTATGGATACAGTACTGGCAGGATTGAAGTGGCAGACTTGCCTTGTTTACTTGGACGACGTCGTCGTGTTTTCCTCGAGTTTCGACGAGCATCTTCGGCACCTTGAAGCTGTACTTCAAGCCATCAAGACTTCGGGACTCACACTCAAGCCAGAAAAGTGCAGATTTGCGTATGAGGAGCTCTTGTTTCTGGGGCACGTTATCAGCAAGTCTGGAGTTCGTCCCGATCCACGGAAAACAGCCGCCATCGCAGACTTCCCGCCACCCACTGACAAGAAAGCCGTGCGCCGATTTCTGGGCCTGTGTGCCTATTTTAGGCGGTTTGTGAAAAACTTCGCCCGCATCGCCGATCCTCTCACTAACCTTACCAAGGCCGACGTGGAGTTTAAGTGGGAAACGCCGCAGGAACACGCTTTCCAGGAGCTTAAACATTGCCTCCAGACGCCTCCGTTACTTGCCCATTTCGACGAATTCGCCGAGACAGAAATACATACTGACGCAAGCAGCGTAGGTCTTGGCGCCGTTCTTGTGCAGAGGGCTAACGGACTTGAAAGGGTTATTAGTTACGCCAGCCGATCGCTATCCAAAGCAGAAGCAAATTATTCCACAACAGAAAAGAAGTGCCTCGCCATCATCTGGGCTACGTCGAAATTTCGCCCCTACCTCTACGGCAGACCCTTCAAAGTTGTGAGCGACCACCACGCATTGTGTTGGCTAGCCACCTTGAAGGACCCTTCAGGTCGCCTCGCACGATGGAGCCTGAGACTTCAAGAATATGACATTACTGTCATTTACAAGTCCGACAAAAAACACTCCGACGCAGACTGTCTCTCTCGTGCGCCTGTCGACCAACCGCTACCCGACGACCCGGATGACGACTACTTCTTAGGAACGATAACTACCGACGACTTCGCTGAACGACAGAGGGCCGACCCGGAACTTAAGACCCTAATAGAATACCTCGAAGGCAGGACCGCCGAAGTCCCAAAGGTATTCAAGCGCGCACTTGCGTCGTTCTTTCTACGAAACGGTCTTCTACAAAAGAAAAACTTTTCACCGCTTCGAGCTAAGTACCTCCTTGTGGTGCCTTCAGCTCTGCGACCAGAACTCCTGCAGGCCCTGCACGACGATCCGACGGCAGGGCACCTCGGTGTTTCTCGCACGCTCGCAAGGATACAAGAAAGGTACTACTGGCCACGTCTTACCACCGATGTCACTCGTTATGTGAGAACATGCGGGGACTGTCAGCGACGCAAGACACCGCCGACAAGGCCAGCGGGACTTCTGCAGCCAATTGATCCACCTTGCCGACCTTTCCAGCAGATTGGTATGGACCTACTGGGGCCGTTCCCGACGTCGGTTTTCGGAAACAAGTGGATCGTGGTAGCTACCGACTACCTCACCCGCTACGCCGAGACAAAAGCCTTGCCAAAAGGCAGTGCATCCGAGGTAGCTAAGTTCTTCGTCGAAAATATCGTCCTACGTCACGGCGCCCCGGAGGTCCTTATCACCGACAGAGGAACGGCATTCACTGCCGACTTAACTCAAGCGATCTTGGCATACAGCCAAACAAACCACCGCCGGACGACAGCGTACCACCCACAGACCAACGGCCTCACCGAGCGGCCTAACAAGACGATCGCCGACATGCTGTCAATGTACGTCGATGTCGAACACAAGACGTGGGACGCCATTCTTCCGTATGTGACCTTCGCATACAACACGGCGGTGCAGGAGACGACGCAGATACCTCCATACAAACTGGTCTACGGAAGGAGCCCGGCAACGACGCTCGATGCCATGTTACCCAACGTCACCGACGAAGAAAACCTCGATGTGAGCGAGTGCCTTCAACGCGCCGAAGAAGCCCGACAACTTGTGCGTCTCCGTATCAAGAATCAACAGACGACCGACAGCCACCGTTACAACCTTCGACGACGCTTCGTGGAATACCAGCCCGGTGAACGTGTTTGGGTGTGGACGCCGATACGCCGACGTGGACTAAGTGAAAAGCTTTTGCGACGGTACTTCGGACCGTACAGGGTGGTTCGACGTCTCGGCCCACTTGATTACGAGGTTGTCCCCGACGGCATCACGAACTCTCAACGACGCCGATCGCGACCTGAAGTCGTCCATGTCGCGCGCCTCAAGCCGTTTCATGCGCGTTAACAAACTGAACCAGTTTTTTTTTTGTATTATTGTTGTATCATAATTTATTCATTGTACTTTCTTGCATTATTATTGTACTTTCAACTTTAGTTAAAGCATCGGGACGATGCCTTTTTTTGAGAGGGGGGCAATGCTACGTTCCATTTCCCAAGTTTTTGTTATCATCCCAAAACACCACACGATTCTCAGCGCAAACCGCGCCTGCAGTTTTCTAGAAGGTTCCGGACTGTAGTAGATCATTTCGATAAGATCACGCCCACTGTGCGAACGGTACAGATTGTTCTGGAACTTACGCCACCGCCAGCGATAACGCTAGAACATTCGGCGGCAAGAGTATAAATGCCGACGCGCTTCGCCGCCTGTCAGTTGTTGATCGAAGGCCGACGCTCCGTTCGCCGCTATCAGTCCGAGACTGCTATCTGTGCGAGACTGCTGCTGTAATTGGACTTTCCTTTTACCGGGCACAGGTTCGCCCAAATAAACAGTTAAATCCCAACACGAAGTCTCCTGTCTTCGGCCACGTCACGACCCCGTGACAATATTTTCAGAATCGGAACAACATGAAAAAAAATTATAACTGCATTTAAAAAAATTGGCAATTTGGTACATCTTTCAGCAGTTAAATTGGCAGTTAAAGTTAATAAATGATGGTTTTACATTGTCATACGTATTCAAGGCGTTGGACCTCTCGTTACATCATCTTGCCTAATTAGCATTTATCCTTTATGTTCTTTTATTCTTTTAAGTACAGGTGTGAAAATATTTGTGTGTTTGTTTTTTCTCAGCTGTCCTATGCGATATGTTCATCATATCACTGCTGAATGTGACCGCTTTCCTTTCTGATATTGCTGTTTTGTTATCTATTCCTGTTCATCTCAGTCTACGAAAACATCCCATCAGAACAGTTGGTGCCAGGAGACGTACTTATTGTGCCTCGCAATGGATGTGTGATGCAGTGCGATGCTGTCCTCACAGCTGGAAACTGCATCGTCAACGAAAGCATGCTTACAGGTATGTTCCAGCTTTTATGAAATATTTTTTTATATAGAACTTCCTTTTATTTTTTCTGCTTTCTTCTCTCTCGTGGCTGCAATGGGGGACAAAAATGCTCCCGTATTTCCTTTTAATCAGGTGTGCAAATTTATAAGCAGTCTCAATGTTTCCATATTACACCTGAATTTCATTTGCTTTTTGGAGCATTGCCATGACTTGGCTGCATTAACGAGAGTGGTAAAAGGCCAGATAAAATGAAAATTTGCATAAGGGAGGAAGCAGAGTTTTAGACTGTACATGAAAAAAAATATATATTTGTGCTCCTAAAAGGCATACCGATTCATCGTAGTCCTAGGAAACATACATATACAGTTTTTTTTTCACTAAACCTGTAAGAAATGTGGCCACTAAAACTCGCGGGAAATGAAGCAAAGCCTGCAACGATGAAAGCCAGGAATGATTCCTCACTGCGACTATAAGGGCTGGATGGCACTTTGATTGTGCTGAACATTTCAAATGCTGTAGTTCAGGATCTGCATATTGTATGTGCTAACGATGAGATATGCACGTCATCTTTTTGCATTTTTATTTAACCGCAGTTAAGGGGAGATGTCACTTAAGAAATGCAAATTTGTTTCTAATATTACATGTTCTTTTTTAATTGCCTTCACAAGTTGAGTTTCTCTATTTTTGGGACAATAAAGTGAAGATTGTAATTAAATTTGAAGTAGGTTAAAATTGATTCTAAGGAGCACAGTGGCTACTAAAGACTAAGAAGAACTCATTGTATAGAGTCTCCTGGAAATTGTCAACTGCCTGCTTGCCATTGCATTTCGTCTGAGGGGTTCACTAAAGCCACATGCTGAAGATGACCATGATTGCCGAGCTCTCATGATGAAGTCGTCTTGAAAAAACATATCTTTTCCACGTGGATGAGCTTTCACTTATTTCTCTGAAATGTGTTTCTCTCGAGGTCCATTTTCGGGCAACTTCTTGAGTTTGGACGTCATATTTTTGGTACTTCTGATAGCCCGATCGGGGTGACATTTTGCCCACATATTGCTCAACATGTGAAGGGTGCAATTATCTTTTTTAAAACTTGATATGACTTGTATAATTATTATGAACATAAAGTAAGCATTTAGTATGGGCTGAAGATTCTAAGAATGTTTATATAAAAATTTTTGTTGTCTATTAAAATGTCGTATATGCACTTTCTTGATATACTCGGCGACAGCTTTTCTTGACATTGGAGCGAAGGCTACGGAGGCGGGGCCTCCGCACATTTGTGTTACTACGCAAGTAGTCCGGCAGCTTGCAGCCGATTTTGGTTCCAGTTTCGGTTTTCGCTTGCTCGCTGCGCTAGTGTGTTTAGCAAACTGTATGCATGCAAAATGGGAACGTCTGAGTTAAACTTTGATGAGAGTGCTTACATGCAGCTAGTTACTGTGCTGTTTATATACTGGTACATATAAAATTTTCCGTTGTTCAGAACGTTTTCCCAGCATTATTCAGCCTTTATAACAGTGAAGTTTAGGTTCCGTGTTCAGCCCAGTATATACGGGTACGCGCCACACGTGATCGAATGTTAACGTTTACGGTATTGAGCCCTGGTACAGGCGAAATGGAAGGTCGGTTGCGGCACAATCCGGCCATGGACCTGTCTTGTTTCAGTTTTGCTGTATTCGGTTTATGCCCTCAAAGGCTGTGAGCAATAATCGGCGCAGACTGCGCCTCAGTGTTCGAGAAGCCTCACAATTGTTGTAGATCGTTGTTAAGATTGCGCGCAAGACGCCAACAGTGAAGCTTATTTCAGAGCTTGCGCGGCCACCAGTGATAAGGCTGGAAAGTTCGATGCGTGATGTATAAAAGATGGCGCGTCCCAACGATGAGCAGCTTTTCCACGGCCGATGCTGTGCTCGCCGCTGCAAGAGCAAGCAGCAGACGCAGCCGGCGTGCGGAAAACGTAGTGCCGTCCAAGAAATAAAAAAGAAAAAAAAACTATGACGCACGATAACTTCTTTTCCATGAGCAGCGTCCCATACTTGTTCTATCCTTATAATGAAGAAAGTTTTATTTATTCGGGCCAAGTAGCTATTAGAATCAGAAAATAAAATAAGTACTATTTCCTGGCGCGCGCGCATGCAGGCGGTTCAGCTCTATAGCTTCCACAGTGCTGTCAAGAAAAGCTGTCGCCGAGTATAGTTATTTGCATTTTACAGTTAATGCAGAGCATTGTGAGCCATTAATAGCTCAGAACTATAAAAGCTTAGTGGCAGAAAACTTTGTCCAGAACAAACTATATATAGGTACATACTTTACTCATTGTAATGGCATAAAACAAAAACTTTGCAACTTACCATGAAACTAATTACATATTTGAAATCAGCCTTGAAAGCCTATGTTATTGCCCTAGGCTGCATATCAATGCATTTTTTTCTTTTTTCTCGAATCGCATCTCCCATTGATAAGAGTTAAACCATTGGCAGTTACCAATATGGATAAGATAGTCGTGATGGCAGAGGAGTTCTACAGAGAGCTGTACAGAAGTCAAAAGAACCAGGATGGTATTAGGAGAAACTATAATAGTCCAAGAGAATTCGACAACCCACCAGTAAAGACAGAGTAAGTAAGGAAGGCCCTAGGAAGAATGCAAAGAGGCAAAGCGGCTGGTGAGGATAAAGTAGCAACGGACCTCCTGAAAGATGGCGGAGAAATTGTGTTAGAAAAATTAGCCACCTTATATAGAAAGTGTCTCTTGACGGGAAGGGTACTAGAATCTTGGAAGAATGCCAACATCATCTTAATTCATAAGAAAGGAGATGTCAAGGACTTAGAAAATTACAGGCCGATCAGCTGCCGATCAGCTTACTCTTTGTTGTCTAAAAACTATTTACAAAAATAATAGCGAATAGAATTAAGGTGATAATAGAGTTCAATCACACAAAGGACCAAGGAGTATTTCGTACTGGCTACTCCACAATAGACCATATTCATACTATCAATCAGGTAATAGAGAAATGCTCTGAATACAACTGTCATGAGCCCCGTTAATTCGGGAGGCGATCGCCGGGCTAATTCCAAGCGCCGAAGTATCAGCCCCCCGAACCGCACCACGAAAGCGTGGACAATTTAGAAGTGGTCCTTTTTGGCGCGCCAGCGGACGCCGGCTGTGGCCCAAAGAACAAGTGAGAGCCGAGAGTTGATCAACAAAACAAAATTATATTCTCAATAATGACAGATCGAAAACAATACACAAGAATGCACACTCCACAATAGTTGCATACAATATGTCACCAACCAAACAACGTACTACACAGTACAATCAGCCACACTCGAAACAACGGACACAGACAACAATACGCACTACAATGCAGTCGCATGCATCGAACAACCAAGACACTTAAAGACTAAAGAGTTCGAAAACTTATTCAGTCCAAAGTTCTTGGAACAAAAGTCTGGATGATACTCTTCCGAGAATCACTCACTCAAAGTCCAGCGTTGTTGTCGTTCCGCTGCCCTCGAAGTTTCTCTTCCAGGAAACCTCGCCGAAGTTTCTCTTCCAGGAAACCTCGCGTCTTCAATCGGCCGCTCTCCAAGCTTCAAACTTCTTCGTCGGAAACACGTCGGCTTCACACACGCAGCTGTTGCCACGCGTCTTCGCTCAATAGCGGTAAACACACACTCTTGCCTGTAGCTCGAGTCGTCACCCCTCATCCCGGCTGCGGCGGCTGCATTTCCGATGGAGGCGGAAATGTTGTAGGCCCGTGTGCTCAGATTTGGGTGCACGTTAAAGAACCCCAGGTGGTCTAAATTTCCAGAGCCCTCCACTACGGCGTCTCTCATAATCATATAGTGGTTTTGGGACGTTAAACCCCACATATCAATCAATCAATCGAGTCGCCACCCCTCAGGTGGAAATCATCTTGTTCTCCTGCTTTGTCTCTACGGACAAAACCTTCGCCGACTACACGGTGGAATACCCTACGCGCTCTGGCGCTAACTTCCGTCTTCTCCTGATCTCTCATCTCGGCTGCTCGATTAAATACCTTCCGCGCGAGATTCCAGAAAGTTCTCATCATTTCGTCGGCGCGCTACGCAGCGAAGGCTGGGGAGAGGGCGAGACGGTTCGAAAGCCGTCCGCGACGGATGACTCAACCCGGCATCACCACGCCCCTTTCCATCTGGAATCTTCTAGGGCCTGCTCGGCCGCCGACACGAGGAGGCCCTAGAAGATTCTAGGGCCTCCTCGTGTCGGCGGCCGAGCAGGCCCGTCGGTGAATCCACGCTTCCGAAGAACGAGGGACGCGCGCCCCGGGGGGGGGGGGGGGGGGGGGGGTCTCTGGATGCTTGTTTTCTTTCTTTTTTTTTTTCTATCGTTGACCTCTCGGCTTCGTCGCGAGAATTTGGCGGCGCGCCCTTTTTTGAGCGCTCGTTTTGTGACAACAACCAACCCCTATACATAGCTTTTATAGATTGCGAGAAGGCGTTTGACTTAGTCGAGACATCAGCAGTAATGCAGGCACTGCGGAATCAGGGCATCAAAGAACCCTACATAAACATACTGGAGGAAATCTACAGAGGATCCACAGCCACCATAGTTCTCCATAAAGAAAGCAAAAGAATCTCAATAATGAAGGGTGTAAGGCAGGGAGACACTCTTTTCAAGGCTATTCACCGCGTGTTTACAGAGGTATTCAGGACCCTAGATGGGGAAGAGCTACCGATAAAAGTTAATGGAGAGTGCCTTAGTAACCTGCAATTTGCTGATGACATTGCCTTGATGGGTAACTCAGGGCACAATTACAGTTCATGATTACTGAACTGGACACGAAAAGCAGAAAAGTAGGTCTGAAAATTGATATGCACAAAACTAAAGTAATGTACAACAATCTCGGCAGAAAACAGCACTTTGTGATACGTGAAGAGGCGCTGGAAGCTGTTAAGGAATATGTCTACTTAGGACAGGTAATAATCGCGGACCCGAACCACGAAATTGAAGTAACTAGAAGAATAAGAATGGGGTGGAGCACATTTGGCAAGCACTCTCAAATCATGGCTGGTAGATATCCACTATTCCTCAAGAGGAAGGTATATAACAGTTGTATCTTGCCAGTACTTACCTACAGATCAGAAATCTGGAGGCTTACAAAGAGGGTTCAGCTTGTATTGAGGACGATGCAGTGAGTGATGGAAAGGAAAATAATAGGTGTAACCTTAAGAGACAAGAAGAGAGCAGAGTGGATTAGGAAACAAACGGGGGTTAAGGATATCATAGCTGAAATCAAGAAAAAGAAATGGACATGGGCCAGACACGTAGCACGTAGACAGGATAATTGGTGATCGTTAAGGTAACTGACAGGATTGCCAGAGAAGGCAAACGCATGAAAGAGAGACACAGAGTTAGGTGGACTGATGAGATTAAAAAGTTTGCGGGTATAACGTGGCAATGGAAAGCACAGGACCGGGTTGATTGGCGGATCATGGGAGAGGCCTTTGCCTTGCAGTGGGTGTAGTCGGGCTGATGATGATGATGAGGATGATTGGCATCTAGTGGTTTTGCCAAGATTGCTTCAGTTCGTCAATGTGCCCACATAAAAATAATAACTCATCCATAACCAAGTTATTGAACCTGAAGTTGGCCTATAGCTTTTATTTTCATCCCTACTTCATGGTTGAAACTTTGTTATATGGCTCGTGCAGTGAAAGCTCGGTGTGGTGAAATAAACTCTAAAATATCTTTTTTTTCCTTTGCATGGAATTCTTGCATATAACACCTTTTCTCCGGTACTTTCATGGCCTCTAGACTTCTGCACTCGACTGTGCGTCTGGTAGTAACATCTTTTAGTGATGTCACTACTCTATTGCCAATAATACTCAAAGCTCTTGCTTACCATTTTCAGGATCATCAGTTGTTCTGAACAACGTATAACGCATGTACATGTCAATAAAGTAGACACCCTTTAAACGGAACCTAAAAGGACCAGGGAAATGCATTCCATTTAACAGGAGTTCCGTTTACCAAGAGATCGCCTGGGTTGTAGAATACCAGAACGAAACCAATCTTGTCAGAAGCATGTGTTTGATTTAAGCAGGAGTTTCGTTTAAAACAGATTTTCATTTACTAAAAGTTTACTTTAATTACGAGCCTGTTGCTTCAGGATTATAAAGATGTGTGACATAGAATTAGATTTTCGAAGCCTATTCTACTTTCACTGTGTATCTTCATTCAATTATATTGGCAAAGTCCACTGTTCCCACTTTCCTAAGTTTATGTCATGAACTGCTGTTGACCTCTTATAGCTTCTTGTTGTGATTTTGTGACTTGCCAAACTAAGATGGTGAATCTAAACAGGTTGCTCAATAGAGACAAATTTTAATTGGAACATCACATGTGGCCACGTGGCAATAACCCATGTCGTCATTTAGGAAAATGCATTTAGTTCTCAGTTCTTTGAATGTGCTTCGAATGCTCAGTTCTTCGAAAGGCAAGTGCTTCAAGAATGCTCATGTGGTGCTGTACAGATTCATAGGCATAACTTGAAATCGCCATCTCTTCAATGTTGAATGTGTCGCTGGCTGCCATGACACAAGAGAGTGGTTCACTTAGCAAATCTGGGTTTGTTTTGTGTGCAAACATGCAAACATTGAACTGTTGTATTGTTCTTTATACTGGAATCCCAGCTTACCTTTTTTAATTCATTCTTCAAATTTTACCTGGGGTAGTGGAACGGCACAACAGTAGCATTGGATGTTCTTAGCTCTCATACAAGCATATTTAGCTGCAAAAAAAATGTTTTTTTTTTCTTTTGCATGGTTAACTAGGCTAAAGTAGGTTAAAGTTGTGTAAACTGCATTGTGCTTCTTTTGCAGGCGAGAGTGTACCAGTCGTGAAGACACCGCTGCCGAATCCTGGAGCTTCACAGCCAGCTCTGGACATTATGTACCACCCGAAAGAGCACAGTCGTCACACGCTCTTCTGCGGCACTAGAGTCATTCAGACGCGCTTCTACGGCACAGAAAACGTTGAGGCTGTCGTTGTTCGCACGGGTGAGTTCAGGCATTTCTTACCACTCGCTGCTCATGGCGCTGGTTAGGGCAACGCCGTAAATTTTTAGTGTCGCACATAGAACTGCAGAATGTTGCTTCCTAAGAATTCATCATAGAAAGCACAAGGCATGTTATACGTAGACATAATAGCAAGGAAACAATCCTTATAGTTCATTTTTGGTATGTTAATATTGACACGTGCGGTTCTTTTGGTTTACGAAGGAAGCCGCTATCACTTTCTGTTAAGCGCAACGCAGGCCGCGTTTGTCTTGTGTGCCACTCTGGAACGCGTTGTGACGCGTATATAGGGGACTGACACGTGCGGTTCTTTTGGTTTACGAAGGAAGCCGCTATCACTTTCTGTTAAGCGCAACGCAGGCCACGTTTATCTTGTGTGCCACCCTGGAACGCGTTACGACGCGTGTATAAAAGCCGGCGCAGTGCGCCACTGGGGGGTCTTTTTTTTTCCGTCGGCCGACGACTGTTCACGCCGCTGTTGCTGTGAGTTGTGTTTGGCCCTGTTTGGCTGGGCACAAGTTCGCCCAATAAACAGTTCGCCTGACACCGCCCTGACTCCTGCGTACTTCCTCTCAAGTGCTGCGTGTATCACAACCTCGTGACATCTGGTGGAGGTGCTTCTCGGTCCATGTACCGTACGCCCCCGTCCAGCCACGTGCGGCTTCCTTCGTAAACCAAAAGAACCGCACGTGTCAGTCCCCTATACACGCGTCACAACGCGTTCCAGAGTGGCACACAAGACAAACGCGGCCTGCGTTGCGCTTAACAGAAAGTGATAGCGGCTTCCTTCGTAAACCAAAAGAACCGCACGTGTCAATATTATAGTGTGTGCATGAGCCAGGCTTCAGCTATCCTAATTATTAATGAAGAAATATGCTTAAACAGTTAGCTCGTCAGTTTATTTGTCGTATCGAGCCACATCTGTAGACTGCGTGCACAGATAAATCATGAAGTCACCTTCTTTTCGCCATAGCACAACTCTTCAGTTTATAGCAGACGTTTGCGTTGTTCGTGTCTATCGCCTGTAATTGACAAGACACAAAATCGGTCAAATTCAAATTACCTAGGTAATGTGTTCAGAAGACAAGATAAGTAGGGTAGCAATGGTGAGCTATAAAATAGCAAGCATGGCAAAATGTTGAAGGAGGTGCTATTTTGCATTTCATGGCTGGGGAAAACGTGGTATCCATGCGTTTTGTGCATCGGCTCAAACATCCTTCTCGACATGTGAATTTAGGGCTCTCGTGCTGAGGAAAAGCCACAACACCACAGACACAATGTTTGTGCCATGCTGCCACATGTCGATCGTGCAGGAAGTTGTGCCATGTGTGGCACGATTCTCGTGATTGAGGACTGCTTTTACCACAAATGTTTCTCCTTGCTTACGGTTGCATTTTCTGGTGTCATTTTCATTTTATGTTCGTATTATATAGAGTATTTTCTTTTTACAGCAGACAGCTTTGTGTTCATCCTTAATGCATTTGGGATGGTATTTTTGTGGTTTCGAATATAGTCAGCAACTTCGGTCCTGATAGATTCGATGGAAGAAAAAAAAAAAGCCAAAATGCTCTGCAGGACAGAATTGGCGCATTATCTGAATTTAAATGCATTCCCTGAAATAAAGTGCATCTCATTGTTATGGGTTCAAGTGGAAAACTAATGTAAAAGTGGCATTAGAGCTGTTATACACAAGTAGCCAACTGAGCGTACACTGATTTTTCAGTGTGAAAAAAGTAGCATGCCTACAGCTCTGAAATGTAAGCTTGTTCGCTTTGTGCTTGTTGTCATCACTCTTGGACAGCACTTTGCTACGGTCTGTGAAAGAGCACATATCTTTAGTTATGCCCACAGCTTTCTGGTAATCTGTGCTTATTTAACAACTCTGCACTTAAGTACCTGGTGACTAATCATTAATGGATGTAACCAATAAGCTGAAGCTCAACTTGACTTTGCAACAGTCACAAAGTGTGCCATAGCTTATGCGTAGACTAACCCCCTCGCTAGTTTGTCTTGCAGTGCTATTCATTGGAATGCCAAGAAAGATCAGACTGAAAGCGGTGCTGTTCAAGAACTTATGCTGTCAGAGTTTTTGGTTGCCATCTTCTAATGGGCATTTGAAACAGCCTACCATCAAAGTCAGTCTAGGCTATTGTCATCAGCATTGTCATCAGCATTGTCATCAGAATGACCATTGGAATCATTATTGTCAATAGAGTCTAATGACAATGGCAGTGTAGCTGGCTAGGCTAGCTCTGATGTTAGGCCATTGCAAATACTGCCAGTATAATTTTGATATGGTGTATGATCGGGATGGGCAATAATTTTTTATATGAATTGGTACCATTTTTTTTTTTGGAAATATGTTTGTTACAGTAGAGCGAATTATGTGATATTTCGCTCTCAGTTACCTTTAAATTATCGAAGTTTTGCTGCAGATGGCAGAAAATATAGATGCTTCGACAGATGGCATGTCTGACATGTTTTTGACGCTAAGTGCTGCCTAACCAACCAGTACTGCTTATATTAGATTCACCAGTGGTGTCCCACATCTGTTGAATAACCAGCAGTCTCAGCATGTCAGGCAAGCGTCGATTCCACTATCGAAGCTGTGAGGATCCGGGCCCGCAGAAAGTATGGGGTGTTGGTTGTAATCGTTGGGTTGCGATCGAATTGACTGCAAAAAAATTATATTAATCAGAGCCCAATTAATGTATCGACTCTACTAAGAAAGAAGTAAGGATGCCATGATTTTGTTTGTTGTGAATCTCTTTTCACTGTCACTCACTTGCTGATGGGGCTCAAGTTGTTGGACCACATACTCTGTCCTTTGCTCATGTCGTTCCATTCCAATTTTCCAGGCTTTCTGACAGCCAAGGGAGAGCTGGTGCGTTCCATCATGTTCCCCAAGCCAGTTGATTTCAAGTTTAACCGACACATCAAGAACTTCCTCTTGTTCCTCGCGTCCCTGGCTAGCATAGGAGTCATCTATACCATTGTGCTCAAGGTAAGCATAAGCTGCATAGAGATTCACTTTGGTCAAGCTGGATGGTATTCATATTTCTAGTTTCATTGTGGCTGTCCAGGAGTTTCATTGTTTTTCATCGTTGCTGCTGTATAAAAACATAGCGTGCTGTATTTACCATCCCCACGAGGTACATTTTTGTTGACAGTGCAACAGCTGGCAAATATTTTAAATTATGATGTTTGATTGGAGGCTTATAGTGGAAGCAGCTGATTATGATAAGCGTAACTGACAATAGCTTTTATTTATTCCAGTTTTGTATGCTTAAAAAAGCCTAGGAGTTTTTCAATTTTATTTAACTGAAGAGTTTTTGTAGTCGTTGATCAATATTTAGTGTTTTGAACTTTTAAGTTATAAATCGAAGCACTGTGCGAACTGCTAAACTGGCTGCAAAAATACATAACGCAGAGAGAATATTTTGGCTATGTTTCAATGCACCCGATTTCATGTTCACTCTAGTCATCACTCCAACCACATTGGCCTGTTCCCTCCAAAATGTTGTTCTCGCAGTCTCTTCGAGGTGTGCCCGTCTCGAACATCATAGTACGCAGTTTGGACGTGGTCACCATCGTAATCCCGCCCGCGCTGCCAGCCGCGATGACCATCGGCATCGTGTTCGCCCAGTCGCGCCTGCGACGGGCACTCATCTACTGCATCTCACCGCGCTCCTATCAACATCTCGGGCTGCATCAACTGCTTCTGCTTCGACAAGACTGGCACGCTTACCGAAGAAGGGCTGGACTTGTGGGGCGTTGTCCCGGCCAGTGGTGGCAGGTGAGTGATGTGCACGACGATTCCAAGGACTTAATTGTTTCTGAGCCACACATCGCTGCAGCTCAACTGCATTGAATAGAGTTTGTTTAGCTGCAAGGCTGCAACTCTGTTCCTAGTTACAAAGTCTCTATTTGATCAGTTAAATCAAATTACATTGCCATGCTGGCCAGCTTGGACACTGCTCTGACAACACAAGACGCCAATGCCCAAAACAGTTTGAAAACAATGGCATCCTTTGAAACACCTCTTTGAGATGCAACAATAATCATCATTGATCTTTCATACATTATTTTTAGCCTTACGTGAATATTTGAATGCTTCGAATATTCAAACAAATAGTAGAGTATTCAAATTGGTTTCGATTTGAATTTAAGTTATTGAATATTTCAAAGTATTCGACATAAACGAATAGGTATATACTAAACCGCATGCAATTTCTTGTAAAGGTGGTTTCACTGCAGTATTGTAGTGCTAAGCTGTGAAAGCACTTGTCCAAAAGAAACTTGCCCTGCCGCAAAGCCCTACTTCAAATTTAAAGGGGCCCTGCCACACTTTTGGAGCATGGTCAGCAAACGCTGCCGTTTGCTGGTCGAGGCTACCAACAACACGCGGGGTAAATGTTATTGTGCAGCACGTGACCTGTAATTCACAATAAATTTCCAAAGTCTGATAAAAATTGCTCTCTTCTCTCGCAGATGACGCCACATTGTCAAAAATAGCTCAGTCGTTGCTGGGGCCTGCTGCGGATGGCCGCGACATGTCCACGCGCACATGTGCAATTGCACTGAAAAGCTGCGTATTCAAAGAAAAAAAAAAAAAGAGAGAGGAAGAGTGCTTAGGTCACGACACGCACGTGACACATTTTCTTTCCCTATGCCATCTTTCCCGGCTTTGCTTCAAGTGCTTTCATCAAGACGAGAAGGGAGAAGCGACTCCACTCATACTGAACAGATTCGAAAAATTTTTGGCAACGGTTAATTCATAAAGCAATAAACTTCTCTAGTGAATCCATTCCATAGCTACTTGAAAAGCTGTTGCAGGGTCCCTTTAAATGAACGTATTATCCTCAAATCAATAATCATTTTTTTAAGCTTGTTTTGTCGGTTTATACATTCTAGTTGTATTGAATAATGTTGCGTATTTTACAGGTTATCACTTGCATCCTACTAAAAGTCATAATAAATATGCCCATTTTTCTGTATACGTCATATAGGTGTTCGCTTTCAATTTGCTTCGAACCTAAAATTCACTATTCGCACAAGCCTACTTTTCTTACATCAGTTGTCACGTGCTCAGTACGTCCAGGTTGCTAACGATGTGCGTTCTTCATAAAAAGTGGCAAGTGCCAAACTTTCAAACAAGTGAGCAAGACGGGGATTGTTGTGAGACATTAAGGACGCCCCAAAGGCTGCATTTGTTTTTACAATAAAGGGAACAGCTTTTTGCTAGGCTTCGCTTGCCAAGGTGCGAGTTTCAAGAAACTCAGCTGTACTGAGTGCTTCGATGTTGTCTGCCTGACCATATTGCAGTGCCTGATGTAATGTCGTGTTGTTTCCTGTTGCTTTCAGATTTCAGGAACAGGTTTCCAACCCAACAAGCTTCCATTGGACTCTCTGCTGCTCCAAGGCATGGCCACCTGCCACTCCATTACGGTCATTGACCGTCAGCTGTCGGGTGATCCGCTTGATCTCAAGATGTTCGAGGCCACCAGTTGGGTGCGTAACATAGATTAGTACTATATTCACATTTACACAACTTCGCCATGTTAATTTGCTTAATTTCATTCGATGCCCTTCTAAATATAGTCTGTACTGTATGGTCAAACTAGTGACAACATAATTCTGCCTGTATTGATTGATCAATTCATTATTCTTTGTTGTGGCTGAGTGGCTTTGTTACTGCACTGCTAAATAGGTGGGCACTTGTTCAATCACTAGTCCGCATCGATTTCATTTTTATGTGGGTGAAATGCAAAAGCACCCAGTTCAGATTTAGGTGCATACTAAATAACACATTAGTCCAGATCCCCCATTGAAATGTGTCTCAAGATCCTATTTTGGTTTTGGATATGTAAATATATTCAGAATTAGGAAGCCTATTCACTTATTCACTGAAGAGATGAAAATAATAACAAGAATTTTGCTGGCTCTGTGCTCTTTGATCTTTAATATGCTTCTGAAGAAGCTGTTAGGGTGTTTTGTGTGTGTTTTAAATAACCAGGATTAAGTTCTAGGAATTAAGTTCACTTAGTCATATCAAATGCAGATGAAGTTGTCCTGTATAGTATTGGCAGTCATGTCTTGCATGGGGCTGTAGATTGGTCTTTTTTAGTGATTGTCAGTTCTAAGCCCTAATAAGAAACAATCTTGGCTGGTGCGTAGTCGTCAAATTTTATTTAGATAAAACTTGTGGAGAAAGTCATCTTATGTCATTACTATGTGACACTTAACTGGTGCTAGCACTGCTTATTTTTTATTGGCTGAAATGGGCAATGAGTTTTTGCTCTATGTTGCATCTAAACACAGGTTTTGGAGGAGCCAGACATCGACGATAACTCAAAGTACGACATCATCGCACCGACAGTTGTGCGACCAGGACCTGCCAGCAGTTTAAAAACACCATCTGTGCCTTCTTTGAATGCCGCCGGAGACTTGTCTGAGGTTTGAACTGCATTTTCTCAACACTTTGCTTAAGACATTTCCTTTATTCTAGTGACTGTTTCACATGACAGTTAGCACCTTTACGGTATAGCCCTCTAATGCATTTCTCGCAAGATCGTGGTGAGAAAAAAAAAAGAGTAAGTAACCGGGAGACATGTAACTCGAAGAAGCAGTGAAAATGGGGCTGCTAAATAATAAAACAGATGCATTGTGCACAGCTTCATCGTAGAACAACATACTCGTTCATCTGTGTATGGCGTAAAGGAGTCCTTGATGGAAGTCCAGTGTTGCGTCTGAGCAGGAGCATGGTGTAACTCTGCGGCAGGCCGGCAGAGAGGCCGAGCAACAAGAGAGTGGGTAGAGTGACAACACGTAGACCGGACTTCGGGGAGACTGACAGGAGACTGAGCTCTCACGTTTATTGCAGGTTGTGTTTTATGGAGGGGGACAGACAGTGATTTGTTCGTGGGACACAGGTCACATGGCTGGCATGGCTACGACGGATTGGCTGCAGCAAACAGGCATTGGAGAGGCCTATCTCCACCCAGTGACACTTAGAGGAACCTTTACCGCACTGGCATTTTTGTGTGCCACCAGGGGTCGCAAGACACAACACGTGGCATTTCTTTCACACTTTTTCCATGACCAGACTTTTCGAGTACTTAGATGGCCCTGTGGCAGTTAACATCACCAACCTCGTTTATCTTACTCCACAGCGCATCCAGCACAGTGACTGTTTGCACCTTATAGGGCAGAAATGTTGTAGGAACGACGTGTGAATAATACAGAGCTCTCTGTTCGTAGTATATCCAGTAAACTCTCAGTAAAGGGAAATCTCTTGAATGGAACTGCTGCTGAAAGAGCAACTGTTTCTAGTGTGATCGGTTTCATACTTCACCTCCGTGCCCCTTTTCGTCTCTCGTTAAACTCATATTAAACGAGGCATATTTTTCCTCGTCCCTTCAGGGTTCATTTATTAAGATTTCTGTACTTATCTCTAGATTCTTTGCTGGGACAAAACACCAAAAACACTACACTCAGGAGAATGATGTACGATGGTAGAGCATATAAGCAGGGTTCTTCAGTATCAAGAAGCACTTCTTGACCTCGTAGTTTGGAGCCGAAGATACTAAAATGCTGTGAGCTGGTAAAACTTAAGTACTTGGTATACATTGTTGGTACTTTAGAGAATGCTTATTGTTTGTGGTCTGCTTCATTGATAATTTTCATTCAGTGTGAGTTGGGTGGACTTTTTTCTAGAAAACAACTACTGCACAACACGTGCTACTAAATAGACGGTTGTTTATGTCCTACAGTTTTCATGTAGCCTATGCTTGGCAAAAGAACCCGCGTAGCCATTACCAGAGTAACTTGGTTTTGATGCCGGAATCGTGGTTTACTTTGGGCATTAGTGCTGCTTTGTAGAAAGGAACTCTCTGTTCTGCACAAGCATTGATGAGATCAGTAACAATAACAAATACTTATATCTAGCATTCTTTGTAGTAAAGATTCTGGATGTCAGGATGAAAATACTACCGTATTTACCCAACCGTAAGTCGAATTGAACATAGGTCGACCTCCCCCCTCCCCCCCCTTGAAGTTGCACGGCAAAAAAATAATTAAATAAAAGAGCACGAGCATATCTAATTAAAAATACATATATTTACAATGTCTAAAAAATACATAATTGAATTAAGATGGCTTCACGGCCGTGTTTGAAAGATTGTGCAAGGAAGCTAGCTTCACAAAAGTACATGGGAATAATTTTCAGAAATACTTTACACACGGAAGTAGTTTTCGATTCTGGGTCGACCTAAAATCGTGTAAATATGGTGAATGTACTTTTCTGATGCTTAAGCTTGGTTTGCTAGGAGTCATTCAGTTCTTCTTTTGCAGGTGCCTTCATCCATTGAGGTCGGCATAGTGCGCGAGTTCCCCTTCTCCTCGGGTCTTCAGCGCATGAGTGTGGTCACTCGTGTGCTGGGGTCGACCCACTTCGACATATTCTGCAAGGGCGCCCCTGAGACCATCGCCTCTCTCTCCAAGTCTGAGACAGGTTGGCATTTCACGTGTTGCCTGGGACATTTAGTCTGACAGAAGTGGAATGAGACTACTGCCCAAGAAACTTGCAGTCAGTTGCATCAGGGCTTCACATTACTGGTCGTAGAAGACTTGGCATGAAAACTTTATATGTGTAAACAAAAGGCAAATGGAAGAAAGTGTTTCACACTTTAGTTATTATGCATAAACTATATGCATGATACTGCCAACCCAGACTGCTAACTGTGTGTGTTAACATGCATGATATGAATTGTGATGGAGATTTGAAGTAGGCCAGATGATTCACATAGATCAATGAATATCATACATTCATTGCAGCAGAAAAGTAGTTGTGCAATATTTTTAATGCACAGACAGGAACGTTAACAGATCAAGCAGCATGTAGAAAACATACAAAAAGTCATACGTACCTGATATGCTCGTGGCAGTCACTTCAATAAGGCTGCCACTTTCAATCAGTTCTCTCACTTGATTTCACCCAACTAATGGCTCGTAGTTCACAGCCAGTGACCTAGGCAAAAGAAACTTGGGAATATGCTCAAACTTGGTAATGATGCTGTTATTGAAGTAATATAATAAAATATATATATTGTGCAACACTGTAGCTGACGTGCAAGCATTTGTGAAATGCCGAATGTACACAGTGGGGTGATTACCTAAGCTCAGAGAAGGTTTCAGGGAACATCTATTTTCATCTGCTTACTCACTGTTTTTAAAGACAATGTTATGTTCATTATAGATTGTCATAGCATTGAAAGTCATCGGCCATTTCTTCTTTGCATTCACAGTGCCACCAGACTTCATAGAGACGCTAACATCATACACCCAGCTAGGCCATCGAGTGCTGGCACTGGCACACCGGCCGCTGACATCGAGTTTTGCCAAGGTTCACCGACTACCGCGGGAAGAAGTCGAGAACAACCTCACCTTTGTCGGACTGTTGGTGATGGAGAACAGGCTTAAGCCGGAGACCACCTCCGTCATCCGCACGCTTCGAGCTGCCAACATCCGCACCATCATGGTCACAGGTAGGTATCGTCTGCTGAATTCAGCTTTGTTAAATCTGCTTCATTCAAGGAAGGTCAATTTGTTTTCAGTCCTTTGTCTTTAGGAAGGGTTTAGTTATAACGAGCACTGTTTGACAATTTATTCGTGAAGATTCAGCTACATTATGTTAGCTTTTCCAGCACTGTTTTGCAAACTTTAACCTCATGCAAGACAGATCTCTTAGTTTGCATCATGTTTCTTAATGCAGCCAGTAAACAGAAAATGCTTAAAAATGGCAGTTGCTGCTGAAACACAAGAACTGCCTCTAATATGGCTAACCTTGTGCTTGAGTGCTGCACTCCTGCTCGCATTTCTCGGTGGACAGCACTTCTGTTTAATGAAACATATTTTACTAGGCTCAATTTCATAGAATTTCACTGTACTTTGTGAGGACACCCACTCATTATAGTTGGAGGTAAATGGGGTCCTTCAGGATTTGTGGTAGAAGACATAGTGTAGGCTGTCATGGTGACGATCAGTCGTCATAAGTTTAGGCTCAGTGGTACACCTGATATTTTCATCGATTGTCCCTGTGGGCCATGCAGTCATGACCAGTTATTTGCAAGCTAACTTGATGGAGATTGGTAGACCCATGAAGGAATTTTCTTTTAGTACTGGTCTCCAGAACATGCACATCAAAGTGCCTTTCTTTGTTTGAGATTCCACACAATCATATTTTGCCAGTTCAGAATCTGACGTAGTGAAAAGGCATTGAGTTTTTTCTAGTGTGTAAATCCTCCCTCTTCCTATTACTCCTACGCAAGCACAGTTGTCGTTTGTCCGTGTGATGTGTGAGCAGTGCCAGAATCAGTAAATAACTGAAGTGAGCACGTAGATTGTTCCTCTCTCTCCCATATTTGTCATCATAGGTATTCCTCTCGTGCAACCTCATATTTGTGCGTCTTAAGTGCTTGGCCACAGTGTGCTAATCTTCATCATGACAGTAACACAACGATGCGCCATGTCCTTGACGTCCTTCACTGCTACCAGGTGACAACATGCTGACGGCAGTGAGTGTGGCACGTGACTGCCACATGATTGAACGGGGCCAGGAGGTGCAGATCCTCTCGTCGAGCACAGACACATCTGACATGGTGCCTGTCCTCAGCTGGCAGTCCTCCGAGGCACCACCACCATCCAATAAGTCGCATCGCAAGGCCAGTGACATGCTCCCGAACGTAAGTGACAAAGCAACTCCTCTGTATATGCACTCACATTGTCTCGTGCCCCGATTTCACACCAGCAAAAGTTGGAATGTTTTTTATTTTGCGAGCAATTATATGGACACTCTCAGCTGGAATTTGGCGCCGGCATCGGCGTCGCCATCACTCACCGTATATGTATACGTATCTATATATGTGAAAATGCAAGAAAGAAGAAAAATTCAGAAAAAGACTGGCGGGTGCATTCGAACGTGGGACCTCCGCGCCATGAATGCGAGGCGTTAACCACTGAGCCACCGAGGGGCACCTCTTTCAACATTCAAACAGCAAGCTGTTTCTATCTACCACTTACCGCTGTTGGCGGGCAGTTCGGGGGGGGGGGAACTATCGTGTTTTCAGCATTAACAGCAAGATGGCGCAATGAGCACGCGGCAGCTCTCATCTCTCACGCGTGCTTTGGCCCGCGGAGAAGACGGGAGTGGACGAACTCTCGCGCGCCCTTATCCTCCCGGTGGGGAGGATCATACGTCTTGGCTGGCGTTGGGTTTGCACTAGAATGATTCTGTTGTAGTTGCGGGGCGCACAAAGGTCACTGCAATCGTTGCACAGCCTCCGTTTGCGAAAAGGGCACGCTTTTCAGACACAGTAAAGTAACAACTGAGATGCTTATTTGCGTGCATCTGTACCTGTGAGTACGTTTCGTGCGTCATTTGTGCGTAAGAAATGCGGGGCACGTTTTGATCTGCTTGCCATTCTGCGCGTGGCTTTCCAATTCGTTGCTGTCGTGATCATTGCTTCGCCTTTGCGGTAAAGCTGTGGCTTTTTTCTCTGACTGAACACTGTGGGTGACGTCATCAGAAAAACTAACTTAGAAAAAAATGTGATTTCGGGTCTTAATTAATTTCTTAGTTTGCTGTATGCCTGCCAAGTTCTTAAAGGGGTATTGACACAAAAATTCTAAGCTGTTGTTTTTTTTTGGCACCAAATGAAAAAGCAGGTCCTCAAGAGCATTGAATGTGTACTGGTAAGTATAAGTACATCCTGCAAAATTAATCGCAACTTTTTTTTTGAAAGCTAGTCTTAGTTACTACTGTGCCCCGACGTCATGACACAGAAGGAGCTTCTTGCCGCATTCTCACACAATATGACGTGGCGTTATGGCCCCTACGATTTGTCACTTCTTTGGTGGCAAACAAAAGGCCATTTCAAGGTGAAAACCTTTACTGTTTCGTGCTCATGTCCGTCCTTCCGTCTGTGCCCTGGCACAGTGTCAGGTGGGCGGTGAGGCACGCCAAAGGACTCCAGTCGCATCGAACTTTGCAGCGCTCGCGTTTTGCTTCCATAACATCACTGTGCCCAGGGTGTCCAATCATGCCAGAAGAGAGACGTATGCATCGCATTCCGTTCTGACTGACCCTGTCTCAATGGGCACAGGTGTTCGCCGAACACACTCTGGAATTTGCAAGGTTTCCTTTAATGTTTTTGTATCTTCTAGTGCGTGATGTCGCCACAGAAGATGTGCGAGGTCACCAGAATTGATACTGTGGTCTGATGTCTCACTAGTGTTGATGTCAGCAGGTGTGCAAGGGGACAATATACTTTAGTGTCAAGGCAAACTAACTTATAATTTACTGTGCCTCACACTTGGTCAGAGCAGTCTGTATATACAGGAGATTTGTATGATGTAGTAAAGTCAGCTTCAAAAATTGGTGTCAGTGCCCCTTCAACTGCGGCGCTGCACCCTCGTTAAACCACACAGTGCAGATACGTTTCCAAGACTCAAGTATCATGTACAAGTTTGGCAAGCAGTAATTGAAAGTGAATGAAAAGACAACTTATTGCACTCTGGAGGCGAACCTGCCCCAGCAGAACCTGCTCTTCCAATAAAGCTATTGCAGCAGCCATCCATCAGTCCTCTATTTCTTTTTTATTTATTTATATCACGAGAATGTAATACTGCAATTGTTTCCTGCCATGCTCAGAACCAAGGCAGCAGCAACAACGTAAATTTACTACAAGGTGAACAGACCAGTATTGACTAACACTGAAAATATGTTGTCTGATAAAATTGTGAAAAATATCTTTAATACAGCTATGCTGCTGTCATTTTAAGCACGGCTTTCTGACATAAGTGTTCTTCTTTGTTGCATGTTGGGCACCTCAGGGCGTGACCTCCATCTCTATGGCCATCCGCTTGTTGCTGTGACGGGAAAGACTTTCGCTGTGCTGCGTGAACACTATCCAGATGTCCTGCAGAAGGTGAGGGCTTTTGCCTTTATTGTGCGTTGCGTTCGTGACTTGGCATACTTGCCATTGTCCATGAAACCAGTTAGTCACACTTCCTCCTCGAACGTATTTTTTTTAATTATTATTACACCAAGGGGGGCACCTGTCGTGATTGGCTAATGCTTATGGTGCTCGACCGCTGAACCAAAGATTGCGCGATCAAGTCCCTCACGTGGCGGCTGCATTTCGACGCTTGCTAAACGCTCAAGGTCCATGTGCTTGAGGTGCACGTTAAAGGATGCAGGTGGTCAAAATTTGTGGAACCCACCAGAGCGACATCTCTCATATTCATATTGGGGTTTTAGGATGTTAATTATTATTATTATTGTTCTTGTTGTTGTTGTTGTTGGTGTTGTTTGAAGGCACCGTAAATACATGCACAACAGTAGTCTCAGCCCGTACACGTATCGGGAGAATATCGGTACACTAAATATCATGATATATGTGTATATTAAAAAAATTTGCCTCCTGCAAGGGAGAGAATACTAATGCAGACTGGTTTGTCTATAAAAATTTGGTACTGAAAGATGGATTTTTTGTTCTTGTCATGTACGGTGCCTCTATGTCTCTCCCTCCAGCACCCACATAACCACTTCACATTCGTGTAGACTGCCATCTCCTTACAAGCCATATTTAGCTCATTCTGGTGTTTCTAAGTTGTGTATAAGGTGGTTTCTCGATACTGTTTTTCCAAATAGGCGAGTAGTTTGCAATGCTGGAGGTGGGCTCGATAAACTCAAGGCGAACGAAAATACGCTAGGTACTTAGTACATATCATGCAAGACGTGTTTCCTGCACGAGACCTTAATCTGCGGAGCTTATGCTGCGATTTCTATATGGTTACACGGCAAATGCCACTAATATGTCCATTAATTTCTCTTTGTATTTACGCATTGTTTCTGAATTGAAATGAGCTTTTGAAAATCTGCAGGTGGCTGTGTGCGGCGCCGTGTTTGCGCGCATGGCTCCTGATCAAAAGCAGCAGCTGGTGGAACTACTTCAGGAGATGGGGTAGGTGGCTTAGCACATGAATTAAAATTCACCCATGGACACTTGTTTGCATGCCTCTAGAAGCTTGCTGCTAGCATTTAGCGCAAGCTACCTTCATTTCTGTGTACAGGGCACTAGCACTGCAGCTTGAACAGTGACATACATCTTTAATACACAGTTGTACGGAAGTACAGCGTAAACTACATTTTGGAGTTTGAATCGGCCTATTGTTACAGGTGTACACAAACCTGAACTTCGTCAGAGTACAGTTAAACCTCGCTATAACGAGATGGGCTATAACGAAATAATGGATATAATGAGCAAATCCTAATTCTCCTTGAAAGTCCCCATACAAACCAATGTATTCAAAACCTCGTTTTAACGAGGCAAAAATTTGCCTGTTATGGGATATAACGAACAAATTTTGTTAGGAAGTAATATTTTGAGCCGATGTCACGACAGTGCATAACGCGAATTTGAGACGGCGCGCAACGTGAGAACTGTATTTAGCAGTTCAAAACTCCTGCCACGCGCCCTCCAGCAACGCGTGCAAAGCAGACAGCACGCGCTGTTTCCGGAGGAGAGGGCACTGCACGTGCGCCGCTTGGCTACCACCGACAGCGGAGCGCTCCGCGAATGTCTCGCCCTTTTCTTTCGTGTCTTCTTTATATTCTCCCTCTCCCCTTTCTCATGGCGCTGAGGTGCGCTTCCTAATCTTACATACCCCCTTCCCCTTGAGTAACCGGTTCCTAGAGGGTAGCGCAAAAGAGCGCCCCTTCTGCCCCTTCCTCTTCAGTCACTTTCTCTGCAAGTGTTGTTGCTCGCTGACGTGAGCCGCGTTGCTTTTGCGTGCGTGTTTCTTCTCTTTTTCGACCGCTTCCGCCTTATCTTTTATCGTGCTGCGCTCGTGATTCCAGCAACATGAATGCGCCAGGCGGGAAGCGAAAGCGCATAACGCTAGATCAGAAGGCGGCTATGATAAGAGCCGTCGAATTGGGGACCAAGAAAGGCAACGTGGCAAGAGACTTTGGCGTATCGACGAGCACACTGTCAACCATCTTGAGCAAGCAGGAGTCCATCATCGACGCTGTTGCACGTGGCGTGAAAGGAAGCGCTAAGAGGATGAGGGCACCTGCCTTTGAAGCGGTCGAAAGGGCCGTTTTTAAATGATTCTTTGACGCGCGGGCCGTGAATCTGCCGGTGAGCGGTGCCTTGCTGCAAAGAAAAGCGAGAGACTTTGCCTGCATCATGGGCTATGACAACTTCGTAGCAAGTTCGGGTTGGCTCCAACGCTTCAAGGAGCGCCACGACATTGTCGGGAGAGCGGTCTGCGGCGAATCGCAATCTGTCGACGAAGCAGAGGCTACCAAGTGGGCGAAAGAAAACATCGTGCGGCTGCTACAAAAATACAGCGCGGAGGATATTTTTAACGCGGACGAAACCGCTCTCTTTTTCAAGATGTTGCCGCACAAGACGTTAGCCCTCAAAGGCGAGCCGTGCCATGGCGGCAAACAAAGTAAGCTGCAGATCACTGCGCTACTTTGTGCAAACATGACCGGCTCTGAGAAGCTGCCAATTTTCGTAATTGGCAAAAGTGCATCCCCTCGCTGCTTTAAGGGGAAGAGGCAGCTCCCAGTCAAGTACGTAGCCAATCGCAAAGCCTGGATGACCAGGGAGATTTTTTCAAAATGGCTTTGCGAATGGGACGAGAAGCTGGCAAAGGCGAACCGCAAGGTGTGCCTTGTTTTAGATAACTGCACCGCCCACCATACCGCTGCCGTGCTTCAAAACATCGAGCCGCTGTTCCTTCCTGCCAACTGCACAGCAAAAATACAGCCGCTTGACCAAGGCCTGATTATGTCGCTGAGGCAGGTTACCGCAAGCGTGTGATAGACAAGCTCCTGCTCAACATGAGGATGAAGCGAGACACCGATGTTGACTTGTACGCTGCGCTCGAAATGCTTCAGGCGGCGTGGATGAGTGTGACGGTGACCACGATCGCAAACTGCTTTCGACACGCCTCATTTGCCGCCGCACCAGACGCCAGCGATGAGCCATCAGACGAGCCCACTGTGCCGGACGGTTTTGCCACATCAAACGAAGTCGCTGCATCATGGACGGCACTTCGTGACACCGGTGTCGTGCCTGACAGCGAGTCGTGTTGCGACTATGTGAGTGCGGACTCGGAAGTGGTGGGAACGGAGCAGCTCCTGGATGACAATATTGTGCGCGCTGTCAGTGATCGTAACAAAACCAGTGACGACGACTCTGTCAACGAACAGGAGACAAACGTGCCGACGGCGTCGGAGGCATTAGACGCAGTGGACGTACTGCGCCGCTACTTCGGCACTCACGAGGGCGGCGAAGATGGCTTGAGCATTGCGGCCGCAGCTGAGAGAGCCATCGTTTGCATCAGGAAGATGCATCAACGTCCAATTACGGACTTCTTTGCAGCTAAGTCTGCCTGAAATGCAAGCTGTGTATTTTGAAGTGCATTAAAACAGGTGCATGACTTTTTCCTTTTCATTTGGGAATGCGGTTATTTTGTTGCATACCACCGTGCGGCGGTATGCTATTTCGCCCGCTATATTTTGGGGGTAAGTACAGTGCATAATATTTGCGGTAAATGCCCGCTACGGCTATAACGAAATATTGGTTATAACGAGCAAATAGCGGCGGCCCTCCAATTTCGTTATAACGAGGTTTAACTGTAGTTTCAGAATTGCTCACATTCAAATTTTCGAGAATTGCACATCTGCATCCTCTTTAATTCAAACTGACACTTAAAGGCTGTATTTTTAAAAAATAATGGCAATCAATTGCTAAATCGATTGTTTTATGGGAGTGGCCATGGTCTTTGTACACACGTTATACACATAACGACTGAGTTATGTGTATAACTGGCATCAGTTAGGTATGGGGCATGTGTAAGAATGAAGTATGCAGTGATAGTTTGTAGTGTTGTGCCTTTGCACCCAGTGTCATTGAGACATCACACAGGTCGCAAGAAAGATACATAACAGATGGCACCACAGCGCCATTGCATATAAGTGATCTTCACTGGATTAAAGGCTGTTGTCAGCAGGAGCAGGTTTTATGAGCATCTATGCACATTTGTGTATTTCAGGTACTACGTTGGGATGTGTGGAGATGGTGCTAATGATTGTGGGGTAAGCAATTTAATTTGCTATGTTTTTGGCGTGGGCTTCGCTTGCTAATTCTGTAATATTAGTCCGGAGTTCTTTAAACATAAGCACATGTGGAAGTCCTCATATAATGAATGCTTGGAGCATACCCAAAGCTCGAAGCATAGTTTCAAAAATTTGTTGATTGAGCATCTGCGGCCTTTCTCGTCATGCCAGGGTTTATGCACAGGATTAACAGCTTTTGTTGAACTTGCGTTCTTGGCAGTTTCAAGAACAGCATCTGTTGTGCTAATTTAGAATTCTATGGTTGTCGATCAAGACCACTTTGTATGGCTGAAACACGTAAGCACATGCTGGAAAAAAGTTTTGCATTGCTCTCCACTTAGAGGCTACTCTTTCTTCTCGATCCCAGCAGCAGTGAAAGGACCGTGATGCCTAATCCTTGAGCTTCAATTTGATTCATTCTATCAAGTATGCTGCAAGTCACTGGCATCCTTTTCCTTTTTTTTTTATGTTTGCATAAAATTAAAAATTTGGTGGCGGTACTAGTACTACATTGTATATCTGTTCATGGTAGACATAAAGCGGTTCAACTTAATTGGCTGACGTATTCACAAAAACCTTTATTTCTTTCTTGATCAATGAATTTCGTGAAGGCCCTGAAGGCAGCACATGCTGGCATCTCTCTCTCGGACACGGAGGCGTCTGTGGCATCTCCTTTACATCCAAGGTGGCCAACATCTCCTGCGTGCCCACACTTATCAAGTGAGTGTTCTTGACAGAATGTGAAACAATGTGGTAGTATCAAAGAGAGACACACCTCTGCAAAGATTCGGTTTGGGCAGCATTTTAAGTTGTGAAGGACAAGTATACAGTCTTTCAGTTAGCTGCTTGCATTAATGCCTACCTAGTATCCAAGTCTTCCATCTACCAAATGGCAGGGATGACATGCATGAGGGTTTGAAATTAGCAGGTTATATTACCCAGCCAATAAGCTTTCTATTACCCTCATTCATTTAACATGCATACTTGATAGCACTTTTTTTTTTCTGTTTTCTAGCCTTCCCAGTCCCTTTACTTGCTGTGTTATTGGACAGCGCGAAGCTCACAATTTTTTTGCACCAATTCAGCCACAAATTGTATATTGTACTAGTGTGTACTGTTGCCACGAGGGTACCATAAATGCCAGCTTACACTAAACGCCAGCTTACCGAAAACACCAGCTTACCATAAACGCCAGCATACCGTAAACACCAGGTTAACGTAAACACCAGGCTAATGTAAACACTAGGTTAATGTATTTAAATACCAGGTTACTATGCACACCAGGTTACCGTGAACACCACGTGCTGTAAACTCCAGGTTACCTTAAAAAAAAACACAAGTGTACCATAAACACCAGTTTAATGTTTACTGTATTGAAATGTGTGAGCTCTACTGCAAACACCCGTACATTGCGCAGCCTATGTACTACTGTAAAAAGCAGTTTACCAGTGTTTACTGTGCATTCCTGTCACCTATCATTATCCTTTCCATTGCTTGCAGCATTGTCCCCAAATTAAGTTGAGACCTTTTCGTAAACCTCCATGTAGATCTGCTTCATAGGTAAATACCGGTAAGATGCAGCTGCTATATAGTGGTACACTACCAGTCATGATTCGAGAACACTTGCCGAGTGCGCTTCACCCCATCCTTCTAGTTGTTATGCTCTCGTGGTTTGGCTCAACGGTTACTACCTGTCCTGATTAGGCATAATCCTTAACAACTTCCAGTGTCTCGCCACCTACTGCAAAGTGCTGTTTTCTGCTTAGACTGTTGCACATTACTCAAGTTTTTATGCATATTAGTTTTCAGATACTCTTCTGCTTTTCGTGTCCAGGTCAGTAACTAGGAGCTGTAATTTGCACAAGATGTGGGCTTTGGTTCTAGCTTAAACTACCCTGGACGAGACTGTGCTAGATTTTTCATGCTGAAAGCTACATTCCCCGTGAGTACTTGGCAGCTGGCAATAAAGGTGGCACGCATTTCGTGACTTATTGCTCGAAGTTTTTCAGTATGTCGCGAATTCGCGACATCTGGCAGTAAAGGGTCATTTCAGTGTCGGGTGTGGGATACAACATGACAGCACGAAATGCAACAGACAGGAGCTCTTGTACTTTATGCTTTCCTTGTGTCTTTTCCTGTCCTGGATGCCAAAATGGAATGTCCAGGCATGTGTTATTTCACGTTATGTTTTGATCTAACCCCAGGGAAGGCCGTGCAGCATTGGTGACGTCTTTTGGCATCCTCAAGTACATGGCATGCTACAGCATGACGCAGTTCACCTCGGTGCTCATCCTCTACTCTCTCTACTCCAACCTCACTGACCTCGAGTTCCTCTACATTGACCTCTTCCTCATCACTCTCTTCGCCGCCCTGTGTGAGTAGCACAAAGACAAAGGTACCAGACCGTACCATGGTTTTCATATGGTGCAATACAAGCTGTGGAGTGCATACTTTAAAATGATACCATTCTAAAGCAATAAATAAGTTTAGACGGTAAAATTATTGCGTGAGAACTTTGTTGTTATTAATTTTGCAATGATTTCATTAGCATTAGAAATGAAACGTTCATTTACAAATTTCGTGCTGTAACTTGAGCATCTGAATGTGTGAAGACAAGGAAAAGTAAGTTTGCTACTTCCAACAATAATGTTTTGGCAGACGTGTGAAGGATTTCTTAGTGTTGCGGCTATGTCCGTTATGTTGCCTTCTAAGTTTGTCATAATTGCTCGCATGGAATTTGTCACGACTGCGATTTGTCTTTGTTGTCGCACTCGTGACGAGCAGTTTACCTCTTCATCAGTGCGGATGGACGTGAAGGCTTTACTAAGTGCCCATTCCACATTTCAAAACTAGTGTAGCACTTGTCTTTCACGACCACTCATGTGTTATGTTCACCAAATCTGAAGCCCACAATTTTTTAGTGGCAACTGTCTAAGAAGTTGTTGTATTATTCTATATTTTCAAGGTGCCTTGTGGTTGTTTGTGCATTTGCCATGGCTTAACTGAAGCAGAGACCTACGTCACATAAGAACACTTGTTTTTTACAGTTGGCCGTACCGAACCAAGTCCCACACTGGATAAGCGACCACCCCCGTCGAGCCTGATGGGAGTCACACCACTGACGTCCATCCTTAGTCAGATTATACTAGTCATTGCTGCGCAAGTTTTCGGCATCGTCACTCTTTGGAGACAGCACTGGTAAGTGCACTTACTTCTAAGGCTATTGTATGGTATTCTATTATTATTTGTGCACACATGCAGTGAAATCTCTGTAGAGAGACATTGCTCGAGCTTCTTTATATCAGGGCTCTCAAACAAGCGACTTGCAAGCCTCGCTAGCTTGTGGCCTGTGGTCTCCACATAGCAGTCTTCATTCTATTTTTTTCATTTACCTGATAAGTATGTCCTGAAGCTAGACCTGTATGACTAGGTTTAAGGCATTGTTTCCGTGAGGCACCCCATATAGCTCCTGCATGTCGAAACATAACCCTGAAACAAAAACTACCTTTCAAAATGGTTGTCTAGATTTTAGTTTATTTGGCAGTCGATACCAACACACTGTTAAAATCCTGGCACCAAATTTCTTTAAAAGATAACCTGTATTTTAGACATGGGAAAGGCTTTCTTTCAAATGGTCACACTTGCTGACAATTCATACAGCTCCCCTCACCCACCCCCACCCCCGCTCCTGTATCACCCTCTGTCCTGGCCTTTGCGGGACTAAATTGACTGCGAATCGCTGGCTTAAGTGAGTTTGAGATCCTGCTTTTGATAAAACTGCAGCTTTGGTGTTGATTATGCTTAAGACCAAGGTCACGAGTGAGTATAGGCAGAAGATACCAAGTTTCAAGTGAAAGACCAGAGCACAAAATGACTATTCGTGAGTTCGCCTCTCATACCTCTTTGAAGTGTATCTGATAATCTGGTAAATGTAATGTCGCCCACAAACCTGCTGTTACTACATCTCAAACCTCAATACAATGGGCACGTATATAACGAAGTGATGGTCATAACAAAGTAAATGAAAAATAGGCTTGCAATAGATAGTGTTAAGAATAACCTTTATAACAAACTTTTGGATATAACAAACTTATTTTTTAACCTGTAACTTTGTTATAAAGAAGTTAGAGTGATATTAATTGCTACTTGGCAGACGCATGAACAGCACTAGTGTCAGGCTTGCTCTGAAAAGCCCAAAACATTTGTGTAGTGCATGCCATTTTGTAACCACACGTTTCAATACTGATCTCTGCATCTGCTATTGTGCAGCGTAGCGGTACCATCTACACGCTAATTGTTCAAAAAACGACAGCTGTTGCTTAGTACAGATGTGAGAAGTGATTTTTGTGAGCCAACATCAGACTGCGGATTCCCCCGCTTTGAGCTGTCTTTTCTTTTTCTTGCGTGCAGGTACCATCCGCACATACAGGTTGCCGGAGAGGATGACCAAGAAGAGCTGTCATGCCACGACAATTACACAGTTTTTGCAGTGTCCGTCTTCCAGTACATCACCCTGGCGGTGGTATTCTCTCGAGGGCATCCGTATCGCAAGACAATCTTATCAAACTGTGAGTTTGTGCTCTCCATCTGCAGAGAAAAAATCAAGGCAGTGCTTTGTCATGTGCAAAGCACCACTATACTAAAGTTAATCTTGTAAGCTTTTGGTAGAGCTGTGCAAATAGCGAACTTTTGGGTGCGAAGTGAGTTAGAATATTGAAGTGTGAGTGAGAATTGCATATTTTTTTATTATTTCGTGAATATTTCAATAATATTTTTCAATACATCAAAGCAAATTTTCAGAATAAAAAGCTGGAGAAAATTCCTAAGCATACTTTTATGATATAGCAACAGAAAGTATTTTTGGTTCTGGCTAGGTTAATGAAGCACTGGCGAGTTGATGTTTCGTAGTTGTCTTATCAAGAATGAGGCAGTGCAGCCAAAGTGTTGCCACAAAACTTTATATGTGAAATGCAAAAAAAAGCTATTTCCCCAGCCTCTCCTCCTCTGCGGCGGCTGCATTTCCGATGGAGGCAGAAATGTTGTAGGCCCGTGTGCTCAGATTTGGGCGCACGTTAAAGAACCCCAGGTGGTCGAAATTCCCGGAGCCCTCCACTACGGCGTCTCTCATAATCATATGGTGGTTTTGGGACGTTAAACCCCACATATAAATCATCAAATCAGCCTCTCCTCCTCTTCGAAACCTCTTTGGAAGCTCAAACTGACGGGGCCGACAAGTGTGTACAGTTGACTCTCGTTAATTCAAACTCGAAGGGACCTTTGAGTTTCGTTTGTATTATCATGAAGTTTGAATTATTAGAAGTGCTCAGATGTATGACTGTCGGTGAGGTGACACTGAACAATATGATTAGGCATTGATTTTATTAGATTTAAGAATTTTTAAGCGTTTTTAATCCATAACGACATGCATTGAACAGAAACCAAAGGTGCAAGGTCCACAAGTTTATCGGCCATTTACTGCTGATCAGATCTTCTAAAGAAATCGTGAATTGCAATCTGCTTCTTCGATGTGTGTGCCTTCAGTGCAATGTTTTATACCAGTTGAGAAGCATCATGGTTTACCATGTGTGTGCTTTGTTTCAAACATTTGTTTACTAGCAAAGCCTTTTTTCTTGAAGGACTTAGGTGCTTATTTTCCATTTTTAGACTGTTAGGATTATATAAGCATGCAATTTTTCAAAGTTGTAGTGTGAAAGCAGCACATATTTTTCAGTGTGGAACCGCAAAATGTAGGAATTAAGTGGATGGTAGAGTTTGAATTAAAACACTTTTAAATACTATGAATGAGCAGAGGCCCAACCAAAAAATTGAATTTTGTTTTAATTAACCAAAAGTATGAAATTATCAGAGTTCAAATTATTGCGAGTCGACTGTGTTCCCTTCGTGTCCAGAGTTCCAAATCTGCCTCATAGACGTTGGATGCTAGAAATTTGGCGTCCAATTTTTTCGACTTCCTACCCGAATGTTAGGTTCAAGACATCATTACTTGAGCCCACACTTCTGCCACATTTATCATATTCATGTTGGAACCAGCGCTTTCTTGAGTCAATCATTTGCGATCCATAGCTGAGCCTGAAAGGCAGCTTTGCTGTAATATGAGAGTGTTATGGCGTGAAGCGTATTGAAAATCTGAAAGTGCCACTACCAATCGATTGTTGACTGCATTTGTCTTCGGGAAGTTCGAATAGCGAAATTCCAGTACGAATCGAATCAAATAGCAAGCACTGTTAGAAAAATATTCGAAATTTTGAATACTCGCTCACCGCTAGCTTTCGGAAGTGTATTCGCGCTTCTGGCAATAGTGCGTAGTGAAATGAGATTATTGTGGCACCAGAGCTAAAACTGAGACAGTATTTTATGCATCGCTCGATTCCTTCTCTATGTACAACAACAGAACTGCACAGGCAGAAATGATAATGTTTACTTTTGTGTGTAGCTGGGACTACAAACAAAAAAGCTTCAGTATTTGGCTATAAAGCAAGGCCTTCCTGATAAAATGTATGAAACAAATTCCATTTTTGGCACAAGGAGGAGCGAGATAGTTTGTGCAGAGTAATTAAAACAGTTTGGCACAATAAAGCGAGGTCTACTCTCAAGAAGTTTTGCCATCTTGGTACCGAATTCGGAATCGCAGCATGCCATAGCATGGGTTAACAAGTATGCAGTAATAGAAAGTGTCCATGCAACTTGCTTTTGTTGCATAATCCATCATCTTGATGTGTGCTCATTAAAGGGACCCTGAAGCGGTTTTTGGCAATTTTGTACAAACACATTGGACCAGTAGACCAAGTCTTAATGGCCATTTAGAGACCAATTTGAGCTCTCTGCGTAAACTGTGTAATTCATTACTACAGTTCAAAGCTTCGAATCACTGCAGATCGGTGCATATCACTGCGACTCAGCCAAACGCTCTTCATCCGCCCATTCGCAGAGCGACATGCTTTGACCACTCAACGTCACTGTGGCCGCTGACCTGATTGGCTGTCGTAGGCTGTAGAATGCGTGAAAGTAAGATAAGCAGCATACTGTTACTCTATATGCAACTAGTTACTGTATATGCTACCTTTAGGTAGCAAAGTTGCACCACTGGTTTCTGGGTGCCGCTCACTCGGCCTTTGGCGATTTCAGCAACGCTATTGGTCGAGCGTCTTCACGCGATTATAGGCGGTTCATTTGCACTGTGGGGAAGCCAACACCGTGCAGACGACGTCGATGCTTCGCAGACTCCTGGCAGATCAAGCGTGGTTGACATCGGCTGTTGTTATTTTGGCCGCGCTTCTTCGGTATCGTAGCCATGTTGCCTGTTTGTCACGAGAAATGTGGTAGCAAGTGCATTCTGTGTTGAATTGTACTACGTACAGCTCATGTGATGAGATGGCGGGTGCAGCGGGTGTTGCTATAGAAAGATTAGTGTTCAATGAGGAAGGAATAAATGCTTGGCTTCTATTTATCTATTCACGGCACTTCAAAAACTTGCTCTATTTATATTACCTACAGATGTTGTGAACACGCTATACATCAAGTTGGTGAGCGTGTGTCGGCTGCATACGTCCAAAAAGTTCCGACGGGTAAAATTCTAAAAATGAAGGCAGAAGTCAAACTATAAACATTGGAATCGGCAAGGTGTAGCAGCTATAGTGCATGAATTCAATGCAGCTTTCCAACTTTAAGTGAAAGGAATGTTGGACGCAACAAGGCTGTTGAACAACGATTCACGTCAGCTGTCGCGAGCCACAATTGCAATGCGTGCGTGAAACGAGAGCCGTGCGTAACACGGGCGTCGCACGGTCACTCTTGATCGCTACCCTCCCCAACTGGATTTAGTTGAAAGCTGAAATAATAAACTACAGCTGGCTTTTTCACACAGTTAACGAATGAGCCCAACGCAACGAAAAATTTAATTCCTAATTGGCTCAATAGCGCTCTAAAGTGCGAAATAGATTTGATATCTGTAAATGGGAAAAAGAGCAGTAAAAAAGACAAAGCTACTGTGTGACCAATTCTAAATATATATTATACTGGTTCAATTAGCGGACGCACTTTGTTTTATTTTATTATTAGTTATTACATACTAGGAATGTAAGCATAAAATCAAGGCTTATAGACGTCACTTGAGCAACCGCGTTTTGCTCGTACCTTCATAAGCAAGAGAATAACGCTACTCTGAAGCGCAAGCGCGCTGATCTTACGCGGTTAATGAGCGACTTTGCCGCAAGAAATTTGACCCCAAGATGGCGTACCTTGGCTTAACTCTGCTACCTAAAGGTTTACCATATACAGTATCTCTAATAGGGTGGTAGAGTGGTGGCACCCTGTCTGCATGGTTCATAAACCACTCCGCGATCATCGTCTCTGTTGCCAGACGGCGTGCGTGCTGCCGGACTGTCTGTGTGATGGCCTCTGAGACTGCGCGCAACCTGTTGGCATGCAATCTAGGAGGACTAGATTGGTAAAAGCTCAAATCGTTGCGCGCACTTATGAGAGCTCTGCGATCGCCAGTGATGCTAGCGTGCCTTATGAGTTGAGGAGGCAAGGCAGAGGTGAGGAGGAGGGTATGATGCTCGGCGTGTCACTAAATTTGTGGTGCAAATGGTTTGCGAATGCTCTAGTCTAAACACTCATAAATTTTCAAATAAACGTTTCAGGGTCCCTCCGTTTCAAAGATGGGGCACTTGAAAAACTTTTTTTTATAATATTTATCGATTTTGATGTAAATTGCTGAGCTGATGAATATTTGTTACCTGATTTAAGATATTCAATTGACGTTTTTTCCGTGATAAGTAGTTTTCGAGATATCCGAATGCCTACTTCTTTGATTAAGGCCCAATTAGCTAATTAACAGCAGTCTTTACTGCAATGTAAAACCCACATAATTTATTACAGACGTTCATAGTGTGTTGCAAAGGTATAAACCATTGTTCTAGGCCATTTCCTAGCAAAGTTGTGGTATATTGTACCGCATTTCAAATTCACTTATTGATACTTTAAACAAAAGCTCTAATTTTGAACATTTCTTTATGAAAGTATTATGACAAAATTTACCTTACCGCACATATCACATCTGTTTCTCTCAAACAAAAAATAAATATTATAACCCAGGTAGAACAAAAATATTGCTACTCCATCACACGAAGGACATGAAAAATCAGTTCCTGTTCACCCTCGAATTAAAGGGCCAGATGCACCGCTTTTGGTTTTTTGATGTAGCATAATGATCGAAGTTGACAGTGTTCAGCTATGAAAAGTTGCGAATAGGGGTGCAATGACTTCAGGTACGGGCAAAGATTTTCAGCGACAACTTGATTTTCTAGTTGATGTTTGGCCCTTTAGTGTCACGTCTCCCCCCTTGAAAAAGCCTTGTTGGCACGGAGCATGTGCTGAAATTCTTTCATGTTGTCTTCCACAGACTTGTTCATTTCGGCGTTGGTGGTGATGACAGCTTTTAGTTTGTACCTGGTGCTCTATCCCACCGAAATTCTCATCTCTGGCTTTGAAGTAAGTGTTTTTGCACAAGTTTTAAGTCGACCTTTATTTATAAGGTTCGATGTTACTTTGTTACCTGTTCTCTTATTGTTCACCTCTGCTTGCTCTACGTGGAAGCTACATCCCAACATTGGCGCGGTGTGCAAATACTTGCATACAGTACTTTGTGGGCTAATTAAAGAACTTTACGTGTTCATGTGCAATCTGAAATGCTCCACTATGGCATCTCCCAGAACTTTTGTCTAGATATGTGGGGTTTAACCTAACCAGTCAATCGGTCAAGTCTTCTTGGTTGCTGAACAAGGTTGCCCAATCAGTCAAAAAAATCTGTCTGTCAGTCTAGTTTTCTGGATTGCTGAACAAACTTTGTTCTATGAGTACGTTTCATTTTCTATTATTCTTGCATTCTATAGCTTTTTGCTTTGATAGCATATTAGCATAGCAGTTTACAGAATTAGTAAATGCAAGAAGTCTGCATTCAAAGAAGAACACTTCAAGAAGAGATGTTCCAAAAATGGAGCTGTTCTGACAGATAGATAGGACACAACGCTCAGCAGTTCTTGCACATTTATCTCATACTATTTAAAGTCTTTTTAAAGCCTCCTGATGCTCTGGTATTGTAGTAGTGTAGTTTCATAATGCAGATTTTTCTCCTAAATGTCTAAGAGCATGTATATGGGTGTTCATTTCACATCTGAGCTTGAATTGAAAGTGCAATGCTAATGTGGAGCTGTGCTTAGATCATAGTGAGTACAGTTGAAATGCTGCTTTGCATACCATTACCAGCATTGCTAAGTACATCTTTCTTTGTTTTACTCTGACAGTTCGACATGACAGACATAGATATGAAGTTCCGAATGCTCTGCGTCGCCATTGCTCTTGGTCACTTCATCATTGCTTACATCTTGGAGGTAAGCAGTCAGGTTTTTTACGATGTGCAGCTAAAAATGCCGAGCACTCAAATTTTATTATGGCGAGCAACACTCATGTAAGAAACTTGTTGTATTCAAATGTCTCTTGCCTGTTCATGCATGATGCCATTATCGAAGTGTACCGAATTGAAACAAGCACACCATGCGTGATTGCCATCTTTGATTTTTCTGTAGAGCTGGTTTGACTACTGCCTTAACCTTACAAAATGGCACTATGCAAAATAAATGTGAAATCAAATGCACACTCAATTATGCATTCATGTATACAAACACTTCATCTTTTCTATATGTCATGTTCAATGGTTAAATGTGAACTAAGCTTAATCAGCTGTTACCTGAAAAGCTTGTAGAAAGAATTATCTAAAGCTCTGTCCAGCCATATTGTGGTTTCGACACATAAAACATAAGTACGTATCTAACTTTTTTTTATTTATTTGAGCAAGCTCTATCAATCAACTTTTTCTGTATTCAGTGTATTGAGTAAAGAAGCATCAGTAAGAGGTTTTTCCATTTAGATCTTTGTGATTCTTTATTGCACTTCAGTTCTGTCAATATAGCCCAGTTGTTCTCATTTCTCATAACCAGTGGTAATTCATTCCTGCAATTTCTTCATCCTATGCCCACTCATCTTATTCCTAGAGTGAATGATTGTTCTTTCTCACATTTCGCAGGACTACTTCGTGCAGGGTTTCGTTTTCAAGCAGCTCCAGCTACGATTCTTCAGCACCTCGACTCCGTACAAGGAGCTGCAAGAAGAGCTCAAGGACCAGTCGCCGTGGACGCCACTGTCACGAGAGTCGTCCATCATGAGTGGCGGCACCCGCCGAACGACACGGGACTGCATTCTCCAACCCAGTGCCTTACAGCTCGCGTCTCCGCAGGAAGACACCAGTGTCGACAGCGCCATTGTCGTCGACGCCTTCGGGAGCGAGGGATCGGCCACCGACAGGCAAAACGGAAACTGCGCAGCACCACTACCTTGTGTCACACACATGTGACGAACGTTTCCCAACACTTCTCGTGCGAATCGCTTTGTGGTGGGGCGGTTTCGGTCGTTCGTTTTCGCCATCTATCGTCGCCTCTTTTCGATGGTTGCGGACTGCAAGTGAAAAGGAGAACCGCATAGAAGTGAAATACAGTGGCATTCGGTGCGAGCAACGATTTAATAAGGGAGCGTTTTGCGATTGATATTCGTGGCAACTACACTTTTCACTTAACGATCAATGCACTCTATTATCAGCTCTCTGTAGATCGTCGTAGTAAAGTTGTGCTTTAACGTGTGATGAATATTGCGGTTTCCAACAATTCGCTAATGGCTCAATTTTCTGCTTAGCTAGCTGCATGTAGCTGCGCATATTGTAATGGATGGGGTAGGGAAATGAACTATTTGCCACTTGCCAGAGTGGCTTCTACGGCGAATTTTATACGGTCAATTTGCACGTATTTCAACTTTTACAAACTGTGATGCCTCTGATCGTAATCTCGTGCAATTGATATTAAAGTATTGTGAAGCTATTAAAGGCAAACATCGCGAGGCTACAGTGTCAAGCCTGTTAAACTTCTTTAAAAACTTGTTTGTTTTGAGGCTTGTGACACTGTTTATAGAGTCTTTCGCCGCGTTTCATTTGTGATGTATGTGATAAACCGTGGGCATGATTGATTTCTGTATGCCACTTGTTGGCGGCTATATTGCTAGAAAGCACACAATAGCCCTTCGTGTTTCAGTTATGTTAGGCAGAATCGGTGCCCACATGCACCTTGTTTTGGCTATTAAATTTGCATGTCTGAAGTACTTCAGTCCTACTACTTCAAGCTTGCTACAAGAAAAAAAGTAAACACGACTCACTCATCACAGGCACTTGGAGAATGCACATATTTATTGTCTGTTGTATTGTCTGTGTCCTTAAGTTTGCAGTTTTTTTGTTAAAAAGGAAACAATTTTGAAACAGTTTGCTTGTTAAAGAAGTACTGATACGAAAATTTGACATCTCGCATTTTCAGCCATAGTACTTAGTTGACGACCCACTTATCAAGGCTGAAAACCTCATTTTGTTTATTGTGCAATGGTCAAGTATTTGGAGATGGTTTTGTAGCTCCGAGACGTAATACCGCCTTCAGAGTGCGCTGAGAGACGTGGTACCCAGGACGATTTATTTGTAAACACAGCTGGTCATGTGGCCACACAAAACTGCGACACACTCGTTGTGCAGGGCTTCACGTCTATGTCAACGCTGCGCTGACAACTGTGGCAGGTATTGCGTGCAAAGAGCGTGGCAGCAAACAAAGAAACTCGTACCATGGGTGTTTACATCAAAACTAAGCTGACGTCACAAAGTGCTCTGTTTCACGTTCAGTTGCGTAGCGTGCCCTTTAAAATGTATTTTAAATGTTTGAGGCTAAAGTAAGACATTTAGATTTTGGAGATGATTTGTGTGCATTCATGAAAACCTGATCACAAGTTTCCTCTCCTTCAAAATCTTGCGGCAGTTCTGACTGTTCCTGGTTGAAAGGACAGGTTTACGGAGTAGTACAAGCCAGACTTGCCACCGTATCGATTTTAGTCATCTTTCGCTCTTCCACTTGTGCATGCTCATCTCATCAGCTCATTCTTTATTGCTTGCCAGATTCACACTAATCGAATACAGTAGACTCTAACTAAATGTAAATCCTTTTAACAGAAGAACTGCCTAAACGGAAAAGCTGCCTCTAACACAATGGGTTTTCCTACTTTAATTTTGCAGCCTCACTCATCTCTGAGTAAACAGAACCACTGTTAAATGGAACATATTTTCACGGCCTCTTCAGTTTCTGTTTAATGAGTTCACTGCATTTCACCTTATTCGAACACATTGTAGATTAAAACTGGATATCTAATGTTTTCACTTAGCTGCTTTCACATTTGAACCCTGGTGTAGCAGTTACAGGCAACTAATTACGTTTCATTTTACTGAATCTTTATGGCTATCTCAGGCCACGATAGATGGGAGAAATACTTGAGGCAGCCAGCTGCTTGATTCTCATAGTTCTGTGTATGTATAGATGGTTTAACTGCCCGCCAGTTATAAAAAATAGAATCCAGGTTGTACATGCATCTGGTTACGATGCTTGGTCACGTATTCATATTTGACCTCAATCAAGTCCGCACATGTTAGCTTGCCTAATTATCTTTACCTTCAAACTTTTTTAATTAACTCTAATAATCCAGAATTCTGACAGTTTTTAACTGAGGTACGTGCATTCGTGGGTTTGAAGTAACGTGAGTCTACTGTTGGTGGTGTGCTGTTAGTATACTAGCTGTGCGTAGAAGCCGCATAGCCACACACAACTTTGAGGGTTTCAGTCACTGCCCACAAAATGTTTTTTTTAATGAAAAATAAGTGTTCGTGTTTTTGAACCTAAAATCACTGTAAAGCGATCTGCTGTGCACAGCAACGAAAAGTTGTGAAGTCTAGCTATCTCTTCTTTGTTCTTGTTAGCACTGTGCGTGCTGTCATAACCATGTTGCCAATTGCTACCAGGAAATGAAAAGCTCACATTGAAAGAGAAGAGACCGAGCGGTCTCTTCTGTGTCTTTGTTTGGGTTCGTATCATTCTCTTGTTCAATCTGTACTCTGCTTTTGCTTGAAGCAGTTGCTACCTTTTAAACATTGCCTTAAAGTCTGGAAAAAGAAGGATGCGTTTGCATTTCGCCTGGCGTTTTCTTTCTTTAGCTGGACACAAAAATGTTTGTAAATTTGTCCTCATATGCATGCAAAGTTTTTCACTTTTTTTTTGTTCACTCACTTGTTGACTCACAAATTGAACCTTTACTGGATTGTGGTGGCTGATAAGAAGAGAAAAATACCACTGGTGAGGTCATCAGAGTCGGACCTCCTTGCAGTGACATCAGAGCACCAATGTCTTCAGTTTATTCACTTCAGCGAAGTTCTTATTGTGGCATCCTTCCTCGAAAGTCCGCATCGTAAAGTTCTCCCTGGGAAGTCGTTGCGATGCTGTCTTTGCTGTTGGGTCTCCTCTATCGAGTCTTCACTGTGAATTCCTCATTATGAAATCCTCACCGTGAAGCCAGTTCTTCAGGTAAAGTTGTGGCTATGAATTCATCTTGATGAAGTTTTAACAAAGACTTCATTGAGAAGCCTAATTAAGTGAATGAAGGTCATGAGGATTTAGCATCTTGCTATAGTATTTGCAGTAATATCACTACCTGGTTCTTACTGACTGTCTACCACAAGAGCTGTTGGGAATGTTCGGCGTGAATAGTGCAGGTATTTGTGCTGCCCTGGAGAGCGCAAGTGTGTATGTGTTGGTTCACGACGTGCTTCTAGTCTCTGAGGTAATAATAAGCAAATTCTTGGATAAGTGAAATAGTGGTATGGCATGCATCGTGCTTGGCTGACCTTGCCAATGGGATCTTTGGTCGCAATCGGACTGTCTTGCAATTGCCGCTGGCGAGTTGGCTAAATGAAAAAAAAAAAAAACCTAGCCCCAACCAGTCGTTTATTTCCGCTGAAAAAGCCTTACTCCTTTCATATTTTCTTTTGTTTTGGTCAAGCGAGTCGGGACTTTAAACTGACTATGGCACGGCTTCTGGGACAGGTGAAGAAGTGTTATTTACTGTTCTTAGTGATAGTCTTGTTTTTGTAGGGTTTGCTGTGCTTCACGAAGTACTGTGCTTACTTGGCATTGGCTAAATGTTTTTTATTATTATTTTATCTTGCGATGCGTACTGACAGTTATACTTATTGGCCGTCAAGCCAAACAAAGTATGACTGCGAGCTTTCCTCTTCGTGCTTGATTGAATTATTTATTATCGTTCTGCTTCCACTGCGTATTACCCCGGTGATACATTTGCTATGTCTGTGTATGCAGTGGGTAAGCATTACTCGTCTCTACTTGTAGACCGATTCTTTCCAGTTCCCTGTTGAATGCTTATAGCATGTGCGGAGAGTCTACTGTTGTGCGCAGAGCAGCCTGGGAACCGTTCACTCATTTTAAGCCATCTGCAACAAAACCACCTTTGATTGATGCAGTCACTAATGAATAATAACTGAAGTAATCTTGACAGTGCAGTAGAACTAGTAATTGTTTTGAACATCATCAAAGTAATGCCTAACATATTGAGAGTAGGGGGCACCATGCGACTGTGAGTTGTCTCAGGAATCAGTTTGGTCTCTTCTTCTCTTCTGCACTTTTATCGGCAGCCTATCAATAAAATCTGAGCAGACTCGCGTGGTAACCTTGTGGTTACAAGACATGATGCATGTTTCGGGACGTTGCCCTATGAGATTACGAAAGCTTTCTGTAGGTGCCACGTACACTTGGAGGTCATTACTGGTCGCCTTTATTGAGGCGGTTTTCTAGAGCGATCACGGCACTTTCGTGTTACTCTGTATAGGGCTCATCGGTGCTCTTGGCCAGCAATGTTTTTGTCCCTGTACAGAGCTTGCAATCTTTGCACGCTGCAGCAAGCACTGCCAGCCCTGTGCTTCTCCACGCCTGGCTGCTGAGTCGTGAAAAAAAGGCAAGTGTAACACCCTCGGAATGATTGTTTCCTGGTTTCATATCGTTTGTGGCCAATGGCGACGACAACATTCATTTCGAGCTCCACTCGCACCTCTAATGTGACAGTTCTCATGGTGGCTGCTTTGTATCCATGCTTTCTACTCCTTTGGAATTCCACTGCAACTGTCCTTCAGCAGTGGCGGCGTACTTTGCGGGACGTTTTGAGACGTCATTCAGTCCTGCCCTGTATGCCTGTACTCGGCCTATGGCCCACAAACTGTGTGTAAGAATCCACGACGTCATAAAGGGTACTTCGCATACACGTCATCACAACTTATTGATGACTAGTTTATCTTGTTTATTGCTGGTGTGTAACAAATGGCTTAGCGTTGTGTACAGGTGTCAGCAGTAGTAGTACCCGCTGCGCAGAAGTGACCACTTTTCCAAATTCAGCCATTTTCTTCTCTTTTACGGCTGTCACATCGCCGAGTGATGTAGACTGCACAGAAATGTTCAACTGTGGACCATCTTTGACTCTCTTGCTGCCAGTAATCCTTTCAATTTTATCTCGACATTTCTTCCTTTCATGCTTTATGAACAACCTGCATTCAGTGTGGAAAATAATTTCCGTCCAAACACATTGGGCAAGTGTGCATATGTGTCTGCTTCCTGTATGCTTATACATGGCTTGTGCAGAATCTCAAGTGTGCTACACGAATAGCAGGCTGGGCGAAGCAAGACTATTGCTTTTGCATGCTTCATTAGCAGTGCAGTTTTGTCATTTACGGGTTTTACACGCTGGTTTACAAGTTGAAAAAAAAGTTGAGCTCCCTAATTTCATTGCAACTTAATGCAGATGTGGCTCTTTCCTTTTTTTCTTTTTTTAATGGAAATGTTTCATTAAGGCACTACATGTTAATTAACAGCTGTTTCCCACAGTTGGAGCACATCCACCTCATCTATTGATTGTGCAGATTGCTGTGACAGCAACCGCAGCTGCTTACTGCCAGTTCGAAAATTCCTTTCCCAACTCATAACATTTTCTACGCTGTACCAGTTCTGACACCTAAGTGCGGATAAGTTGCCGGTTTGTGCCGGCTTAGCATCTGCCATGTACGAAGTTGCCTGCTTCGTGTTCTCAACAGTTTTTTTCTAGTTAAAGTGAAGCTGAGCTTATTAAGTACAGGCAGGCTTATTCGGTGGTGCTCATTGGTGTCCACCCCATTGGGTCTGAAGAGAGAAGACGATGCACGCGTAGATTACATGCCTTGGCACGGCTTAATCTTGCCGTAGTAAAGCATCGCGCAGCCGGCGGAAGTTCTATTCTGCATCAAACCTCGCCAAAATTTGTTTTGGAAGCACTCATAACTGCAGTTAGTAGATATAACATCACATGTAAGAGATATGAATAAATACAATCTGATTATCAAAAAAACACTGATATAGTAAATTATTGGTTGTAGCAAACGTAATATCACCTTTGGTTGGCCGTGCTTCATTTCAGTGACATTTGTTCTTTAAGAGACTGAATATGCACAAGCTACTCCGATATCTGCTATAATGAAAAAAATACTTTGTTTGAATGGACCCTAAAACTCTAAAAGTAACATAAAAAGCAAAATAAATTCTGACTGACAATTCACAACCATATTTTTTAAAAGTTAATTGGGAAAATAAAAATCGGGTTTTAGATGCGGTTAAAATGTAGCGGAAATTTTTCTAGCCATTTAGTGATGGAAAGAGCAAATTTTACCAGTTGTGCCACATTAAAAGTATAGAGCAAACAGAAAATCTTTGGAAGCACTTTATAGAGGCTTGAAGCCAAGAATAATGTTTTTGTGTAGAATTTTCAGGGGAGCGAGGTTGCAACTTTTTCTAAAAACGGTTTTTATCTACACAGTTACAATCAGTATAGGATATAACGGACTAATTTATGGTTCTCGTACTGCTTCTTCGTAACGAGGTTCCGCTGTGTTTCTAAAGAACGGTTGCACACATGTGGCATCGCTTCTTGTCGCAAATCAGTTCTGCGAAATGCCGCGAAGTGGTGGGCGGGTCAAGAAAGCGAAATTGATGAACACCAATCGATTACGAAGTCGCAAGGGAACCCATACGGATTTCTCAAAAAGAAAAACTAGATTTCTTAGTTGCCAGAAAATTCATTCCAGTCCAAAGATCAAACCCGAGACCAACACCTTCCCGAGGTGTTCACTCTACCGATTGGGCCAACCAGGAAGCTAGCAATTGGCAGCTTTACAAGAACTTTTTATGGATTTCTGTGTGGCTTCGTGTGAGAAACGACTGATTGCCAATTTCCCTTTTGTAGCATAACTTCGTTCCTCGATTCCATCTGCACCTTTTGCATGTGACATTACAGGTACTATTGGCACACCGACAGGCTCAAGTAGCGGTCATAGTGCAGTTACTGTGATTGTTCGTTGCTGATCCCCTGTGATCTCTTCGAGATGACACGTTAATGGATATCAGCTGTAGGCATGTCTTGCCAATCGGCGAATTGGTACAGCATCCAACGCATCATCTTCAGATCGAGTGTTCTGCACTGCAGCTGGAGAGATAACTATGGTTAATTGCACTTTGAATTTCCCATTTGCCTACTGCATCCACGTGTATACGGTCTTCCAAGTATAATGAGCATTGCCTTTCCAAGAAGTGTGTACGTGCAACATATGCTGAGGTTGTCATTGCAAAAGGGCCTTCAACTTAGCAACTGTGCTGGCCAATGGAACGTTACCAGTCACAACATGATAACGAAGTCAAAGTTAAATCTTTTTCTTACACCCATGAGAGAGGGACGCTGTAGGAACTTGCAGTTCCCTGAAACATGTGTGCTTTGTAGTCTGATTTTTCATTTATATTCTTGTACTTATAAGTGATCAAGTAAGGAAAAAAAAATGTTTTTACTGCCTCCACTTTCCAACAGTGATGCTTGCAGCAACAATGAGGGCATTTTTCTTGTTGGTATCGTGAAAAAAAAAAAATGGAAAGGCTGGATGTAAGAAAAAAAGAAGAAAAATTACAAGAAATGTGACATATCTACTGTGAAATTTTTTTTATTTGAAAAATAAAAAAATCAAACATTATGACTTTCGTTTTCTCTTTGTGCTGCTTATTCGGATGTGCCAACCATTGAAGAGCACTGTGTCTGGGTTTTTATTTTTATTTTTCATAGGGACGTCCATGTCAAAGGTTTTTTCGGATAAGGCTGTATTTATTTCACCTGGGAATTACCCATGAAGTAGTGGTTACTTCGTATTAGCAGAAATATCAAACTTAATTGCTGTGCAAGCAGAAGAAAAGGCAGACAAGACAGAGTTCACAGTATCAACTGCTTACTTTCAGTTCAAAAAGCCAATATATATAGGCAGGCACTGCGCCATCACGATGCATGCTAACCCAAGATTTTTTTTTTTAAATCGGTACCGCATATAACCACATACAGCTGATGATAAGCTGTACCATCGCGTCAAAATGTAGGCTCGACCATACGTCGGTGTTCATGCCCCCGAACGCTAAATTTAAAACTTGCATAGGTGTCCACTTGAGGTCGATTGAAAAGTTTCAGAATAGGTGCACGCTATGATTGCGTATATAATGTGAAATTGAGGAGGGGAAAGAGAAAAACCATGTAGAGTGAGATGCAGGTGACGTTTCACATGTAAGCATATGCATGCATGGCAATCGAGATAGCAAAAAAAAATGAAGTTTATTATCACGGCAGTAATTAAGGCAAGAAACTTAATTGGCAGCGCAGTTACTACATTTCCTGCATTGGTAGTAAATGTTGAGTGATTCTAGAAAAGAGGTACCTAATTGCTGTCTGCCTCTTGGGCGACACGGCGCAGTGCTTTGTAGGGGAAGGGGAATGAAAGAGGATAGGGGTGATTAGGTGTGTATATATGTGTAGAAAGTCGAAGCGTGTTCGTCATGGCCGGAGCGGCCAACAGATGGCAGCAGGGGCGTAGGCAGGAATTCCCGTCTTATCCAGGAACTCGACCAGGCTGCGGACGGGACGGGAAGAGCAGTTGTTCAAGACTGGAGGCAGGCAGGCCCTGTCTTCGGTAGGCCGTGGTGACCCTCAAGCGTTTCGGTGGTGGTAGTGGTTAGAAGATGAGAAAAGGCACCTAATTTCTGCAACCCGGTCGGGAGCACGGCGCAGTGCCTAAGCGCTTCTCAATGTTAGTAAGTAGCAATACTCCTCCCTTTCTCTCTCTCTTTGCTTACATGTGTTGACGTGACCTTAGGCGCGATGGTTCGCGCCGGCGCGAACTGTTCTCTGTTCCGCCTTCTCGTTGCTCTGGCGATCACGCGCTCGTGTTTCCCCTTCCGGCCTCCGATTGTCTTGTCGTTCAAGCGTTTGTTCGTTCGCCTAGCTCTCATACACGCTTTCTCTGGCTCCCAGGTGAAGAGCGCGCTCTTCCTGGACCTTCCATCTGAGCCAGAACACGCTGTTGAGCGAACAGCCGAATGCCCCGTAAGTAACTTCTATACTATGTTTGATATTTAATTACGAGATATATTTCGGCTGAATTCTTTCCTCCTCACCCATTCTCCGGAGAGCAGCCAGAGGGGCGGATTAGAAGGGAGGAGGGCTGGAAAATTGCTCGGACGTGAAACTTCCCTGCTTGATAAAAAAAGGGGGGGGGAAGGGGGGGTGTCTTGTCCGGTAAGCGTGGGGTAGAGCGTAAATTTGTGTTGTATACTACAGTAACTGGGGTTCTTCATCTGTCCACGTACGCCAACAATATGTTTATGTATCGGTTGCTTGGCTCATTAGAAATAACGGAGCTCAATAATCGGCCACAGATGCTAGCTTGCACTTATTGAATCGCGCTAGGACAGGTCACCGCAAAGCTGCTGGCAAGCTGTTCCTGCCTTGGCTAGGTTTTTATGCGCTATCATCTGTCTCTTTTCCGGTCCATTGATAGACTATAATACACGTGGCTAAGCTTCAGAAATTTTGAATATTTTCGTGCTGAACGGTTGTGTCACCCGCGATCTCCTAGGCACCAACGTGGCTCTCGCCGATCGGCCCGGCGTCCTCGGAATCTTTCGACCGCCTCCTCATGTTTTTTTTTTTTTTTCTTTTCTTTCAAACTTTAATTCTGTTGCTGTCACTTTTAATCACTCCTTATTCCTTCCCTTGTGATTTACTGCTGAGGTGTCGCACCACAGTGTAACCATGGAGCAGACATCGCGGGGCTCACTTATTTCTTTTTGTTTTCTTTTTCTATTTGATAGATCATTTTTTGATTGATTTTGTGGGGTTTAACGTCCCAAAACCACCATTTGATTATGAGAGACGCCGTAGTGGAGGGCTCCGGAAGTTTTGACCACCTGGGGTTCTTTAACGTGCACCCAAATCTGAGCACACGGTCCTACAACATTTCCGCCTCCATCGGAAATGCGGCCGCCGCAGCCGGGAATCGAACCCGCGACCTGCGAGTCAGCAGCCGAGTACCATATCCACTAGACCACCGCGGCGGGGCAATAGATCATTTTTTCTCCCAGGCCTTCCCCCCAAATTCAAGTTCTGGTCCACCAAAAATTGGGGGAACGAATGGTCGGAAAACACTGATTACCTTCGAAGAACGTATCGGGCGAGTTGGTTAACTCTTTTTATTAAGAAAAATGCGTGAAAAGCGCAGACGAAGAGAGAAACTAACAGCACAGGCGCATATATACTAACAACTGAAGTTTTTGTTGAAAACACAAAGATTATAGTGAAGGAAGAAAAATACAAGAACATAGACGCGTGTTCAAAAACAAAATACTCGTACATTTGCGCATCAAGATAACCAATCAGAGTATTAGTTCCGGGGAATTTCGTCGTGACGATGTCGCAAAAGTACGAAGTATACAATTTGACATTCTTGATGCCACGTGTAGAGATTTTGGCGCGACATTTGAAAATGAAACTTTGACCTTAATTTTCTCCTGTGTTGAGAAACCTCTGAAACTCTAACCAGTTCATTGTTTCGCTTTAGTCACTAGTGTCCATTTAAGGTATAGATAAAGAGAACACAAAGGGGAAAGGACATACGAGAGAGAGAAAAAAACCAACTCTGTTTCACATCACGTGGGAGTGTACGCATCACAATGAAGAACACCACAACATGAACAACACAGAGGAACAATGGGAGGCGCTGCTGTCCAGCTCGGCCATTGTTGATCAGCGCTGGCTGGTCCAACGGGTTGAGATGATGGCTAGGGCCAGCGGAGCCCTGGAATAGGGGCCCGACCATTTGGAATGCTCCGGAAAGGACATACGAAGTTCGTTTTGTCTTTCACTGGCCGTGTTCTTCGTAAACAATTATCTGCTCTCGTGCAGCTTTAGCGCGTCGGATCTGTGCACTGACACCGTTAAGGAAACCCGGTGAGGTATGTGATAATGACAGCTCTTATAGCGTGCGCATCAACGATTAAACATTGGTGCGCATTGCGTCCAAGTAGCTTCGACAGGCGAAGCGTTGCACGCTTTGTGCCGCGAGCGTGCAACGCTTGGCCATTGGCCTCGAGGGCATACCGTGGCGCCACCTACGTGATGACGTCACTCATAGGATGCCGGGTTGACTTTGTCTGCTAGAACAACGCATTTCCTGCGCTTTTGCTGTGCGTGCTTCCGTTTGTTTTGAAGCTCAGTGCTTAAAGAAGCGGTAAGACCTGATAATACGGGCCAGCAAACTACGAATTGGGGCCCCCGGTGGCGCTGTCGTGTCTAATTGACATCGTAAAATCGTGACTAAGAATCGGTGCAGCCATGGGGGACGATGCAGATGGTGTCGCAAAAGCAAAGCTGGCGCACTCCACAATTACTACCTTATCTGTGACGTCAAAATGATCGCAGCGCTGGCCTCTTGTGGAGGTCCTCGTGGCCAGTAGCCTAAGATGTAGCGTGAAATGCGCCCAAACAGCAGTTATCTCGCGTCTAGCGTACATGGTTTGCGATGACCCGGTGTATACACGGTGCACTGTAAAACGCGGCATTTCACAGATAGTACCGTGCACTGTTACCATATATCATTGCGCATTAGAGTGTGTGTTCGTGTTCATAAAAACCGTACTCGATAGTATGCTGACTATGCAGCTGTCCCACGAGAAGCGAAAACAATTCTCGTGCTATATATGCTCAGGTTCACAGCCGACGGCTCATGAGCGCATGACGACGTTGCTTGCCGTATACATGTTAAGCCTGAAGTTTCGGGTCACGTGCTCGAGGAAGGCTATAGGTAGTTTAATTTATTGTCTCCGCGAGATTCTCGACCCTGTTAATTCGCCTTTGCGTATCTGCTTTTCATCTGTTTCGGTAACGTCGATTTTTGTAAGCGGCGTAAAATAGAAACATGGCGCAGTGCCTAAAAAAAAACTTACCCGGGCATGTTTTTCATTATGAATGTCGGTTCAGATTCGGATCGAAGACTATCACCAACTTAATATTTAAAATAAAAAAAATGTACTTCTTGTAAGTCTTTGTGTAGCTCTAAATTCTGCGCTTAATGCAACTACACTACCGTATGAATCCTTTAATTTAACTCCGATATGGACCGATCACTAGCCAATGTAGGCTAACGGTCCAGATATCTTGTAATCTTTTCTTTGGTTTGTAATAAAAATCTGATTGATTGGTTGACTGTTTAATTGAAACCGAGGAAGTGCGTAGCGGGAAACCACCATATGATTATGAGAGACGCCGTAGTGGAGGGCTCCGGAAATTTCGACCACCAGGGGTTCTTTAACGTGCGCCCAAATTTGAGCACACGGGCCTACACCATTTCCACCTCCATCGGAAATGCAGCCGCCGCAGCCAACCCGCGACCTGCGGGTCAGCAGCCGAGTACGTTAGCCACTAGACCACCGCGGCGGGGCTCAGACGAGAGAACAATGTTTTGCGTTGTTTATTTAAAATTCGCTTTTCGTGCGCACGTGCGTCATGTTCGACTGTTCTTGCATCGCACCTCGCTCGAATTCGCTGATGTTGGAAGGAAGCAACAAAGGAAAGATGGCAGGGAGGTAAATCAGAAAGACATCTGGTCGGCTACCCTAACGTGGGGGATAAGGGAAGGAGACAAGAAAGAGGGAAAGAAAAAAGGAGAAACTGACGGTAATTTCACTGCAGCGTGTAGAACTCTACCGCATGTCGGAGGTGTTCACACAAAGCCTCGCTCGCTGTATTCCGTGCCGACCGGTTGTACACTCGCGCATCTCCGACGTGAGCGTAGCTCTGGCCGACTGGGCTCGCCCTACGTCATCTCCTGACGCCGATCTCCGACGACAGCGTAGCTCTGACTTACTGGATTTGCTCTACGCCATCTCCTGACGCCGTCAAGAGCTCTCGCAAGTGGTGACCCGTCCTCGGACTCCTGTGGCCGTGTTTCCATCTTTCCTATCTCTCCTATCCCCTCGATATGCCGTCGCTCTCTGGCTTATTACCTCACGCCTCTTTCTCTCTCTCTACACCTTTATTCCTATCCTTTTAATCCCTCCTCACCCCCATCCCTTGTGAGCTACTGTTGAGGTGTCGCTCGCTGAAGCAGACAGTTACGGGGCTCGTGCACTTTTTTCTTCCTTTCTCTCTTAGAACCACTTAGTAGTGTTCACACAAACCTCAAGAAACACAGCAGGGCTTTCAATGTCTTGTCGGCTGTCGAGTGGTGTGGACGCTGCTGTCAATCACTCGATCGCACACCGCGGAGCTGATGAGTGAGTGCGCGATCGAGTGATTCAATTGTGAAAGATCGAGTAATGAAGCGTGGAAGCTTGGGTAAGTTGGTAGGACATAACTGAATGCAGGAACAGCGCAACCTAGAAGTAGTTACTTCGTAACTACAGAAGCGAAAAAACAAGGACAGGAAAGAGCGCTCTTTTCTGTCCTTGTTTTTTCGCTTCCGTAGTTACGAAGTAACTATACTTCTAGGTTGCGCTGTTCCTGCATTCAGATCGAGTAAGTGAGCCGAGTAAACGTGTTATTGCGTAAGTGAGATAAGAGTGAACTGAGCGTGAGTGAGTCGCGTTTCGGCAAATGAAACGTAAAAATTTTGAAAAACAGCACATGACAGCACTACCACGGTCCTCGCTTATAGAGCGCGAAGCACTCCACTGCATTATTTGGATGGCTAGCATCTTATACCACGTTGATCGGAATGACTGACAGTGCGGCATGCAATGTTTGCGGCAGCACCGATGAAAATATCGAACACCTGCTGTGCCACTGTCCTCTATTCACCTCGGACAGACAACTACTTGCCAACGCAATGCGGCCACTGGATGATCGGCCTCTTCCTGTGCAGGTGCTATTACAGCAGCGTGTCTGACTGGTGCTGACCCGCAGGTCGCGGGATCGAATCGCGGAGGCGGCGACCGCATCTTCGATGGAAGCGAAAACGCTTCAGGCCCGTGAGCTTGAATTTAGGCGCACGTTAAAGAACCCCAGGTGGTCGACATTTATTTCAGAGCCCTATACTACGGCGTCTCTCATCATTATAGTGTGGTGATTTTTGGACGTTAAATCCCAAGAATTAATTAATTACTCACACTCAGCTCACCCACTCACTCCTCTGCTGGGTACGGCGTTTCAAACCGCGAGCGTATTCGTCGCAGGAACGGCGCCTGTCTAGCTGCTACCTGAACAACTTCAGGTAGCAGCTAGACTGCGGGAATGGCACCGCCGAGGCTTTTTCGCACCTGCAGCAAAATACAAGTGCATATGTGTGTGTGTGTGTGTGGGGGGGGGGGGGGGACTTCAGGCAGCAAACTGCGGGAATGGCACAGCCGAGGCTTTCTCGCACCTGCAGCAAAAATACAAGTATACAAGTGTGAGTGGGGGGGGGGGGGGGGGTGCTGCTGCGGCAGTTGACGCTGAACTAGCGAAGAGCGCTGTCATCAGTGTCGCGAGTCTCGTGCACGCCGTGCTCGCTGCGCCACGAAACGAATCGAGTCGGTTGCAACACCGGGTATCCCTCGTCGTGCAGCGGCACCCCGTCAACACCCATGAGCCCCACGAGCTGGCATGGTCCGTACAGAACTCTCTATATATTCTTTATCGTTTTTTTTATTTAACGAGCTGTAAAACCAGCTCTTGTTCTAGTGTGCGCTGCAACGCACGAAATGCTCCAAAGAGGGATAGCTTCTTTTCCGCAATTTTCCGATCTTGTTTCTTTTAGTCTCCGTCATGTCTGTTTATCAACACCTCGCATCATCTCTACATGTCCTGCAGTAGTTGTTCATTTAGTACATGTAGCTTGTTTCGATAGTTGTTCTCTCCCGTCGCGCGTATATTTTCCTCTTTGCTCACCGTGTGTACTGCCCCGTTTCTTTTCTTAAAGTTTTGCTATCGCCCCGTTACACTATGTTCAGCGCAAACCGCGCCTACGGTGTTATAGAAGCTTCGAGGCTGCACTATAGTAGATCGTTTTGTTAAGATTACGCCCACTTCGTGAACCGTTCAGATTATTCTGGAAGCTACGTCGCCGCTAGCGATACCGCTAGAATGTTCGATCGGCCGACGCTCTGCCCCCCGCTATCAGTGCCAGTGTCTTGATGTAAACTGACTTTTCTTTTACTTGGCCACAAGTGCGGCTCCAAATAAACAGTTTAATATCCGCCCTGCAGTCTCCTCCCTTCGTCCACGTCACGACCCCGTGACAATATCTTGCCGTTGCGTTTTGATTAAACATTGTTTGTTTGCTATCCGATGTCCGTGTCTGCTCTATGAGTCCGTCAGTCATCTTGAACATCACTGCACGCGCAATCCCGCACGGGTCGACCGGCACACTAATTTGAAATGTATCACTTCGAACTCTTTCAGGCCCCCCTCCCCTCTTCCCATTCCTTCCTCCGTTCTCCGGCCGTCTCGACTGATCCCCATCGCTCTGCAAAGCCGTAACTACAGTGGCTAGACCGTGACAGCGCCCGACTTGCGCTTGGAGGCCTACTTCTGCAGCCGGTCAAGTCACGTTTGCTTCGGAATCGCTCGTCGGTGGAAAACCTGCGATCATGCTGCGCCGTCGCGGAGCAGTAGTTTTCAACTCATGGGCGCCGCCACCTTGTACTTATAAGCATTTTAAAGACGATAGTCTTTCTTGGGGACCTTTGACGCAATAATTTTGGTCTCTCTGTCTGTTTGTCCACTCTTACCGGCATCGGGTACTTGAAACGGCCGACCCCATCCACAGCGACCACCAATACTGCCCAAGGTTGAACGTTCGTGCTTGTGCAATTGTCAATAAAAAAAGCAATGATTGCGCATGTCTGGGGCACCATAACAACACGCATATATTCTGCATATGCATCTCTTACAAGAAAACGCATACATAAGTAATTTTAAGGACCGTAGCGTTTATCACGCTGCGCTTACCATGCAACGCTTGCATGGAACGGGGAGTGTTTACAACGCTTTGCTAAGGCGAGATGGTGGTGGCACCTACCCGTCGCCTCGCGTTCTACACCTTATCACCTCTGAGACGGGCGCGCACGGCCACGCGCTTTGTTTTCCCAAGGAAACTGCCAGATGGCGCTCATGTCTCACGTGTGACGTGACTTGATGCGCTCGAGGCACTCTAACGCAGCGCCTCCGGAATACCATTCACCGATTTTCTTGCGCAGAACATCAGATAAATGTTTTGTTCACTCTCTCCACACGCAAGACTATCGTCTTTCGACGACATTTGCAGATTACATGCAGATACGGGGTCATTATTTTGTAGATTTGATATGTCACAATATGAAATCAGCGTGGTCATGAAACGTTGAATGTGCCGGCAAAACGATTTCGTGCGTGTGAGTTCGCCCTAGCACTGTTTGTTTATTTGATGCCAATGCTAAACTGCAACGTTATCGGTCCAAGATGGCGATGCTTGAGCGCGTTTGGAAAATGGTGCATAGGTTTCTCTCATTCCTACTGCTGACAGCTCCTGTGCTCGTCTGATAACCCTATAAAGTAGGCATCCCGGCCGCAGTCGTCGTATTTCGATGGAGGCAAAATATGCTAGCGCTAGAGAGGGAATTAACCTGTACTGTGCGATGTCAGTGCGCCGGGGAGATGACGGAAAATTTTGGAACCAGTCCGATATATGCGGCTTGCCTCCTGTAGTCATATCGCAGTTTATATGATTTTCATCGTCTGCTGTATTATGGGCTCCATGGTTATCCCTGCCGTTCTCTTTTACAGGGCTTTTCTCGCGTTCGCTGGTCAACTCTATACTTAACCTAATTGTTACTCTTTTTTTTTCTTCGTTGCAGCAAAATGCCGAAAGCAAGGACTACCACCCGTGAGAGATGGTGTCGACTACGTGAACGCAGGGGAAGAAGACCAAATGGTGAGTATATATTTGCATTCGTTGCTGTAATTGTAAGTACTGCTCTGCGAAAGGTTCTCACCCAGGGGCGTACGTAGGCAGACGCTTTCTTCGAGGGAGAGGGGGCACCACCGGGCCAGGTGTGCCACCCCCATCATCGTGGACTCGTTGAAAGCACCAAATAATTCACAATGTCGCCATGTTTCACGGTAGGCTGCAGATCGACGTTCGGTGCAGCATAGTTGCCGAGTGCGCGGATCGTAAGGGCCCATGCCAGCAATAACGTACCGGAGTCGGCCGCACTAACTCTTGAAAGTACGGCGGTCAAAGCGCGGATATGGTGGCTATATCGCGGGCGTGTTTCCTTTCGCAAAGTCGCACAGAATAAATCGAACGACGCCAACAAGCTCCGACGCAGCGGCGAGTTGCATTGTTCTTAAATGTGGCGGTCGCTCGCTTTGCAAGCCGGAATTGACGTCACGTGCAACCTACGTAGTAACAAAAGAAAATAAAATGCTCCACCAAGGTCGCCACCGTAACCAAGGATGCAGAAATGACAGTGAAGTGATGGCGTGTTTCCCGCAGCGGCCTGTCATAGGTCCCGCCGTTCCGGACGTAAAGGTGAAAACAAGGAAACTGATTGTTTCTGAACAAAAGTCTCGGTCACGTATCCGTAACCCGCTCAGGGGATATGTTTCAAAAACATGCAACCCAACGCATTATCAAATGGCATAGGTCCGGCCGAGTAATTGGCGCCCCGATTAGGATAAGGGAGGGGGGGGGGGGCACAGCCTGTTCCTTTCGTACGTGCACTTATGCGTCTATAGCTTGAGGCCCACGAGCTGAAAACACGGGTGCAGGTAATACGCAAAGTTTTAAGCTGCCATTATCGTGGAACAAAAAGTAAAGAAAAGCTGCATTAATATTGGACGCTGGATGTTTAAAACTTTTTTTGAATTTTTTACTTATTTTTTTGATAGACCATGTGTCCATTTATGCCACTCATCTACATGTACTTTTTTTGTCACCACTCCTGCTTGGGCCCGAATGTGGACTTGCAGTACGTATAAAAAAATAAACAATGACGACAGCTTCGACAGTCGAGATATGAGGCTGACTTGGAGGTTAGGGCACCGCCTCCTACCCCCTATTTGGGGAAGTGGGAGAGTGGTTCTTAAAATTTAAAAAAAAAAAGAAAGGTGAACCCCGCAACTGTCTGCAGCTAAGTGTGACACATGTTGCCGGCACGCACGTCTGTAGTTATTCCTTGGGAGGACTTCCCGACGTCATTTGCCGCGGAGGAGGAGGTAAGAGGCGAACCGGCCGGGAGGCTTTTCTCTGGGCGGCTGTCCATGGATGAATCGGCGGGGGAAGGGGAGGCGGTCGTAGAGTCACAAAACACGTCGAGTGTTCCGAAGAGGAAGACGTTTGCGACGAGGGCGACATGAGGGTGCAGGCCTCGCATTACTGCTGCGTCGATGTGGACGGTTTTTCGTCCTGTTGTGTGCCGGGGTCCTCTCGGTTGTTGCTGTCTGCTGTCTCGCAAAGCCGGTTCTTTGGAGAAGTTTCTTAGCTGCCCGTGTGGACTTGCTGTCGAGGCGAAGATGGCTGTGCCCCTTCACTGCGCGTACTGGAGAAGAAAGACCAGTGGAAGGTGCCGTCCCTCGCCTGAGAGACAGTTAGTGCGTCACATAACCCCAATCTACACCCTCTTTCATTCAAGGATCTCGTTCCTCCTGAATAGTTGCACACGCGCATCGGGGCGCGTGTGCATCATCTTGGCCTGCGTTCTTTTTTCTTACATGAGAGTTGTAAACGTTGGATGTAAACTTCATTTATCCACGTTTTGGGAGCATGTCAACGTGCCCCGGGCGTGCCGCGGTCGGGACACGTTGACAGATACGTGTCTTTCTCGTCCACCTGTACAACATCTGCCGCGCTGTCATTCGCGTGCAGTGCCAAAACCTCCGGAATACTCAGGTACGCACCTCCACTTGCTTTTTGCCGCGGCGACCCTTTTTATATATGGAAAGAGAGAAAGAGGGTGCGTAGCCGTGCTCCCTCTCTCTTCATAAGGAGAAGACGCGGTGCCATGTCAAAAAAAACAACAAAAAACAAAACACGTGATGACGCGCTGCAACGCGTACGTGTGGTCGGGCCTACGCGACGTCCTCTCCCTCTGAAGAGAGAGGGCACACGGCTACGCGAAGCCGCGCGCCCTCTCTCTTCATAGAGGGCGCGGCGCCACGCGTCAGAAAGCCACGCGCTGACGCGCGCTGCAACGCTCGTCTTCTCCTGTCCCTTTGTCGTCTTTTTGTTCTCGCGCTATAAAAATTGTCATGTCATACCAACTAGCCCAAACCCCCACGCTGCTATGTGACGCGTACGTATGGTCTTTAGGGGCGAAGCTTCTTAGGTTGTGGGTCAGTCCCCTCGTAGTACGTTGTAGTAGGCACTTTTAATAATTGCTGACTCTATGGTGTTGTGAGTCTGTCCTTGGAAATAATATCACTAGATGGCATTAGTGATTTTCGTATAGTTGACGATCAAAGAGGATAAATGGCGCTGTTATCATGCGAAATCGTGGATATGCTGTGAATTTGTTTCCAGTGTTCGCCTTGCGTCACACGCGGCTCTCACTGCCGTCTTGACTTTCTTTCCTTTTCTCTCTCTCTCTTTTTTCCCAGCGCCGCTGTGTTTGCTGCGCATGCACGTCTTCTGCACTGACCACTGGATTTCAGCCGAAATTGGTGCGGATTTTTGAGCGACCGCGCTTTCTTCCTGCATATACGGTAGTGGCGATATGCCAGGAAATGTTTTCGTTTGAGAGGGACAGAGGGCGTTGCTATGTTCAGACATGTAGGGAGCCTACATGAACGGCCGTGCCGTTCATGTAGGCTCCCTACAGACATGGACCCTGCTTCGGGGCAGCACCGCATGACGCGTGGTCACCGTGCAACGTGGAAAAAACATTCTGCTCTTCCACCGTAATAGTACACACGCACTCACATGCATGCAGACAGACAGACAGACCAACCGGATTTCAAAACAAATTTAATTGTTTGCGCTAACCTCTACTCACTTTTGCTTTTCATTGTTTCAAAAATGCTTCATTTTTGCCTTTGTCCTTACCAAGTGATCTTGAGTTACCCTTTGTGTTAACGTGTGTATGCTGTGCAAAGATTTGTAATTTTGTGACTGATTCCTCATTTACCATGTGCATGCTATTTTTTTTTGTTAAACTGTTCTTGTTCAATGAATAATTGCTCACAGATGCATATTTGCACTCGTAATAACTGATCCTTGAAATTTGAACATGTACCCCCAACCCCCCTTAATCATGCAGGAGCTTTTAATTGGGTAGGTCTCAACCTTGAAAAAAAATTACATTTGTACAAAAATTGCTATTTTACTAATGGGTTGTTAGGATTAGATAGTTTGAAAGTTTAATATGATGAAATGGCTAAAGATGAAACCCTTTATAAGAGACACTGACATAAGAGACAAAGGTACAAAAGGCACCAGTGTGCCTACATAAAAATGGGTGTGGATAAGAAAGTGCATACAAGTTACCCTGCTTATAAGAGACACCTCATATAAAAGACAAGAATAGCAGCACCGTGCATGTCTCCGATAAAGGGGTTCAACTGTATTTATAAAAATCAAAGTGTACTGAAATATGCACACTGCACCAGCAGTCACAACTGAAACTGGCCGGTACGATTCAAATGTGTCCCACAAACGGTTTTCAAAATCTTTAGAATGTACTTTAAAAACTTAGCATTGTGTAATATGTATGCGAAGAGGCATTTATGGCAACATGCAGAGCCTGTGGAATTGGAAACCTTCAGTTTCTGTTTTGAATTCGTCTAAGGGAGATTTGAAAAAAAGGTTGTAACTTTTGAATGGCCTAAACATAATTCCTTTTGCTAAATATTCATGAATAGCTAGAGAAGTTGAAAATGCTTATTCCAAAAGAACATTTCATAACAAAAAAATCAATTTTCGAAGGTGGTGGCCTACCTTAAGAGAACAATGAATATGGATCATGATGAGTAGAATAGCCATGCTATTTCATCGTATAGAGTGACATCCCCCAAACAGGAAAAGCTGAATCTCCTTCAAATTAATGACCCATTTCACACCAAGAATTCTGAGCAGATTGTGAATGTTTTGGTATCGAATGCCAAAACTGTCGTTAAGGCGTTGTCCATAGATGTGAAAGATTTGTACTATTCTTTACCTCATGAAATGCTTCTAGAATTTGTTGAGCAGTGCATACTTGAGTATGGTGCAGTGACCTTTCAGAATACTTGTGGTATGTCAGTGAAAGGTTTTCTGGATTTATTGGCTTTGTACTTAACGTCCACATTCGTTAATTGGAATGGGAACACCTACATCCAAAAATGGGGTATTTGTATTTGTCACACACTTCGGGCGAGGCCCCGCCGATCCAACATCGACGTGCGGCAGACTCGCAGGCTTCCACTTTACGCTTCGGCCTGCGACGCCTGAGAGGCCTCGAAGTGGCGCATTTCAGATTTATTTGCGGGTTGGTCGACCCGTGCGGGGTTGCACGTGTGGTGATATGTGGGCCTGACCGACGCACTCATAGAGCAGACACGGAGTTTGATTACACATAAACAAGCATTTAATTGAAACAAGGGCAAAGGCAGGAGTTAACGAAAGTAACCAAGGAGGAAAACTGATACGCGCGATAGAAACAACAGCCACATAACAAAATGGGCTAAAAAAAAAACACTACAAAAGATACAGGCTAAAGACAAATATGCGGAATGTTGTATAAATAACGACAAAATGGAAATCAGAAAAGAGCGATACAAGGGAATAATTAATTACAGAATGATTATGGTAGCGCTTAGGAGTTTCTAAGTGCGTCGCAGCGCACACAACTACACAGTTAAAAAAAAAGCTGGTTAAAACAATTTAGCAGTTTAAAAAAAGCCACAATAAATGTTCCATACGGACCAGGCCAGCTCTTGGTGCACGTAGGGGAGTTGACTGGTGCCGCTGAAGGTCTCGCCGGCTTGGTAGACGACGAGGGTGCCCGGAATTGCAGCCGTCTCAATACGTTGCGCGGGTCACTCCGTGCTCGCCGCCTACGCGAGACTCGCGACACCGACGACCGCACTTGTTGCTGTCTGTACGTCAACTGCTCTTCCGATACAGTTCAAACCACCTCAGGGGCGTACACGTGTTCCCGTCTCATCTGGGAGCAATTTACCTTGTTTAGATCGCCGGTGCCCCTTCCGGTACCGGTGCAGGGAAGACAAGCCGGCGCCACGTTGGGTCGTTATAGTCGCCGGATGTCGTCCCCCGACACAAAGGCGCCCCTCCTTGAAGGTGGGGCCCGCGGATGCTCCGAAAATTGGAGTCGTTTGTGACAGTATTGGTTCGGCTATTGCACCCGTCCTTAGTGATATTTTTATGGCGCACTTAGATCGATTAATTGATCAGAGGTTGTCGGGAACTAAGGTTTTAAAGATCTTCAGGTTTGTGGATGATTATTTGGTTTTTTTGAAGTGTGATGCCAAAGAGTTTCAAAGTGTTGCTGTTTTGACACTTGGTGTATTTGAGACAGTTTGTCAGCCTCTGAAACTAACACATGAAGTGCCCTATGGTGATATGCTCAGGTTCCTAGATCTGTCGTTGCAATTTCAAGATGACCACGTTTGTTGGCTTTATGAGCCCAGGAGCAAAAAGCCATTGTTGCCTTTCCCTTCTGCCCATACCAAAGTAGGGAAGAGGTCTGTTGCACGAATGTGCCTTTTTAATTCGTTGAAGAAGTCCTGTTTTCACCTCATGAAGAAGAGCTTTGAGCAACAGGTTTTGCGACTGAAGGCAGCAGGCTACCCGCAACGAATGGTTACAAGCGTCGCTGAATCGCTACATAGGGACCTAAAGAAACAAAATAGGCAGCGTATTAACACTTCCCTTCAGCAGCGTAAAACGGCTGTTGTCCCCTATATCCATAGTGTGGCACACAATCTTAAAAAGATTGGTAATAAGGTGGGCGTCCGAGTGGTTATGTCTGCTCCTGAAAAACTGTCCAGAATATGTCACCAAACTTGTCCTGTTTCAAAAGAAAAGAAAGGTTGCCAAATTAAGCATCGCGATAAATATGTTGAGTGTGCGCATTCGGTTGTTTACAGAGTGCCCTTGTCATGTGGTCTTATTTATGTGAGAACAACTGAAAGATGCATTAATGAGAGGCTAAAAGAGCACCACAATAAAGTGCAGAAGGATTCTGGGGGTCACTTGGCGATCCACTGTAAGGAGTGCGGTTGTGTGCCTTATTTCGATAACACGTGCGTGTTATATCAGGACACAGATTTATTAACCCGTTTGATAGTAGAAGCGGCGGAAATGACACGCAATGATTTTGAGTGTGTTAGTGCACCCTCTATCTCGCTCACGCGCAAAGAACTATGTTTTTTAGATGGTGTGATGGACAATAACGGATAGTAATGTACGGAACTGGCACGTGTGCTTTTTGTTGTCTACCTTTTATTATTCTTTTTCTCTTTTCACCCCCTTTATAAACTCAGACGTTTGCAATAAACGTTTAGTTGAAGTTAAGCGCTTGTGTTGGGTGTTCTTTGTAATAGTGGCTGCACTTCCTATAGCAAGATAGACCTGCAAATCAATTCGTGCTGTAAATAACGTCTTGTTCTCGCATCTTTTGCAGGAGGTGTTTGGGTACCAGCCAAATGGCTGTCGCACCCTGGCCACCTGGTGTGGCATCCTGCTGACGGCAGGCCTGCTGCGACTCCTCTTCCACTGGCACCCCTCCTGGTGGCTTTACTGCACACATCGGCGCTGCCCTCTCCAACAGGCCGTCAGAGTGTTGCTTGTGGTGTGTTTGCGCTCGTCTTATTGGTGATTGAAGCAATGTTGTTTAACCTGTCACTGTGGTCTATGGGTTAGGGTGCTCGGCTGCTCACCAGAAAGTCACAAGATGGAATCCCAAACAAGGTGGCAAAAGCTTGAGGCCTGTGTGGGACTGTGGATAGGTTTAGCTGCACATGACAGAACACGAGATAGTCAATTTTCAGAACCCTACCCTTAACGTGGACTCTTTATGTGGTATGTCCAGTGCAGAAGAATCATAAACACCAAACCAAGCAACAACCTGAAGTGAGCCACAGGATGTGTGACAGTAATAAATAATGTGCTAGGGCAACCATATTTTCTTGAAGTCCCTGGTGTAGCCAATAACGTTTCTCTCTAAGCTTGTATGACAGGTGTTGCACCACAGAGTTAAGCCTTTTGAAATTCACTGAATGAGATAGTAAAACATTTCTCATCATCTAGCCGAACAAGATTACTTGACATTCTTTTTGTTCTTTATGCTTCAGTGCTATTTTTCCATAACCAATCCCAGTTCACAAGAAGTCTCCAGACCACGTGAATAGATATACTTCAATCTCATTATAATGAAGTTGCATCTTACACAAAAATTAGTTTGATATATCCGAAAATTCGTTATAAAGGTTTATTTCTAACATCATAATTACTGCATACTATTTTTTATTTACTTCATTATAACTGATATTTCATTATATATGGGTTCGTTATATCGAGGTAATATAGTGGTTTTGGGACCTATAACTCCAACAATTGTATTAATACTGTTCTATGATCTGCAAAAGGAACAATACATGATAAATTAACATTTGCCTGTTAGAAACATGGAGAACTTTCAGTTTTGTCTACTGACACAGTTAGCTAAGTCTAGTAAGCAGAAAAGTCGAGGAATTAGATATAAACAGAAGCCCGCAGACTGTGGCCTCTCTTCTCTGGTACTCTACCCGAACTCCATACAAGAAGATTTATTGTCTCAAAAACATTATGCACTCTTTCTTGTTTGAGCACATGAAAGTCCACTTCCTCTACACTAAAATAACTCAATAACATGTTTTTCTTGTTTTTGGAATAGTTGATTGACAAGGCAAATGAGCGGAAGCTTCTTGGGGCTGCTGGTTCACAGATGTTACGCTAAGCACGAGACAACCTGTGTGCCTGTAAAACTTATTACTATCAGCATCTCCAACCGTCTTCTCGGTGGAGCTTGAGTGTCAAGACACACATTTTCGTATATACTTTTATAAGTGGAGCACGTAAAAAAAAATAACAGAGGACAAACATCCCATCTTCTTCTCTATTTGCGTGTTCCGTGTGGGCTGTGTCATTCATTTTAATGAACTCTGGCATTTTAATCTACATTCTAAGTTTTGTGGATTGCTCTTGTGTTTTTTGCTGATCAGTAGGCTCTTAAATGGAATTCCACATTGCACTTAATTTCTCTTGTTTCATTTTTCAGGATAAGTACAAACAGCTTTTCGTAGAAAAAGTTCAAACTATCCAGTCTTCTGAAGTCAAGTAGGTATTTTTCCTGGTAATTGTTTTAAATACATGAATTCATGTCTTTTGAGTGTCCCAGGTTTGTTAATATTCATACAATAAGAACAAGTATTAATATAATCGACTGCCTACTACATTTAGCGAGAAAGCGTTCCCATGCTTCTAAAAACATTTATAGGCGCCACGAAAACTCCCCTTCCCAGTCATTCCCTAGGGGTGAAGTTTTAGAGACCATGCTTCTTTATTTGAACAACTTTGCCCGACAGATATCATTTGAGTGATTATTTATGTAATTGAAAGTTTTGAAATTGGACCCGGTGCGAGATGTTAGTGCTGCATATGGATGACATCACGAAATTTCAAAGGGTTTGTACACTTTTCTTCTCATTGCATTAAAAATAATACTCTGTGAACAAGACTTGATATGTCACACTTTCTTCTTGTGCTAGAAACTTCTTCTACTTCTCACAACAAAAAAGAACAGAGATCAGTTTGGAAATAAGAAAATGCAATTGTCAGACTTGTTCGGTCATCTGTAGTCTGATGCAAAGTGGTTTTGGAAGGAACAGACAGCATCATGTTCATGATTCGCACATAACATTTCTAGCAGTACAGTGACCCCCCGCCCCCTTTTTTTTTGCAGTGTGTCACTTATGCTATCTGTAATAGGCCAAGCAGATTCCTCTTTTCAAGAATCAAATAAACTTGATAGACTTGTGATCTTGAAACCAGGAGTGAGTATTTACTACTCCTTTTTTATTGGTTAGACATATATAAACACTGAGTGTACTGTTTACTGTGTGCATCAGCTGACATTATAATAATGAAATATGCTCTTCAGCACACAGTGCTGTTATATAAGGCAGGCTTCATCACTACGTCAGTCTACATTTTGTAGTATCAATTGTACGATGCTGATATTATCATAATTTGCAACTTTATATTTTTACTTGGAGTTTCATAAGTGTACTACAACCTTAAAAAAAGGATAAGCTGCCAATGATCTGTATATTCTGAATATTTGTGCTTATAAACTTTGTAACTTGCTGCTTTGAAGTGTTTTCAACGTCGTTTTTAACTGAACTAAAGAAACTATAGAGTTGAGCATGTCTTGTCAGATACCAAACTCGCAACAGGGCACTTTTGTTGAGCACTGCGGTAAAAAAACCATGAGCTCTGGCTTGAATTTATGGCTTGTGATTGCAGCATTAAGTACAATTTGCGTGAAATCAAACAAAAGTTCTGTTTCTTTGAGTTTTCAAGCTTTTAGTCAGGTTAAATGTATTTTGCGATGAAAGCTGCAGTCTGTGAGGTTTTAGAGCACATGACTGCATGGTACATGGAAAGCTTGCCTTTGAAAACAATGTGATACCAAAAACGCACAAAGAGCTCACATATGCCCTTTGCTGATTTAAAGGATGTGAAGCAGCACTAGTTGCATATGCTGCTGCATCTGTTCTTTGCCCTTTGTCGTTACTTTCTTGTGCAAAGTTTATGCAGATATTAAAAGGTGTGTCAGAAAAAGGTTTGAGTAATATAAGTACTTTATCAACCTGCATTGTTGTATAGACAAAGTGCTTGTATCTTTTTCCCATGACTTGTCCCTTGTGCACATTGGTGATGTAACTTAAAATAGCATTGTGCCTTGTGACTGATTTGAGCTGCACGTATCTCAAAACTAGGATTTGAACCCAAACCACCACTCATTAATGTTGCACAGTTACAATATGGTCACACATAAAACGCATACTTAGTGTGGTATGGGGTGAAAAGGGTCATTATTATTAACTTCAAATGTGTCCAGTCGGATGACACCACTATATGCGGATTGAACGAATTGCGAGGTTCAAGGTTGGAACAGAAGAGAGTGGGCAACAGCACGATGCTCTACCGACTGAGCTACAGCAGCTGTTATCCATTCTACGGGATGTGTTCATTTAAACTAGGAATTGATAGTCAGCGCCACTATGACGGCGACTGTTGAACACTCTTTTTCTGCATTCTGGTGTCGCGAAGCAGGTGACGCAATAGTATACATGAGCATTCTTGAAAGCGAGGATTTAGCTGGAGCAGCCAGGAATCGAATGCACAACCTCCTGCTTGACTTTTAATTAATGACTGAGCATAACTACAAGTAAGGGATCACTTGCTTTATCATGTTCCCCCAAAATTTCTTTTTGTGTTGACAACACTGATTGATTGATTTATATGTGGGGTTTAACGTCCCAAAACCACCATATGATTATGAGAGACGCTGTAGTGGAGGACTCCGGAAATTTTGACCACCTGGGGTTCTTTAACGTGCACCCAAATCTGAGCACACAGGCCTACAACTTTTCCGCCTCCATCGGAAATGCAGCCGCCGCAGCCGGGATTCGATCTCGCGATCTGCGGGTCAGCAACCGAGTACCTTAGCTACTGCACCACCGCAGTGGGGCATGTTGACAACACTGCTTTCGCAAACGACTGAAAGTCTTTTGCTGAGGCACATAGCTCAACTGAAAACTGTGCCAGCATGACCTGGGCAGTTCAGAACCCCCAGCTCTGTGTTTTCTCAGCGACAAGGGACATATTTGCATGTGGGGTGCTGAAAATGCCAATATAGCGTTGCAGTACTCATCGTACTCCTCTGCCATTTCAGGGTTTGCTACAGTCGACCGAGGAGTTAGTCTACTTTGAGAACAAGAAGATCCGCTACATCTGGGATGCGGAGCTCAAGGCATTCACAAGGTTGAGGGGTTTCGATAAAAATGTGACGTGTTCCTACTTTCACCAGCAGAAGGGCCTTTCGCTCCCAGAGCAAGTGGTTAGGTAGTGTACAATTATTTTGTTTCTGTTCTGAGTGTGACGCTCGTTTGTCTCTGATCTTGCCATTAGTGAAGCAGTCCCTGGCAAGACAGAGGAACCAGGCTACGGTGCCTGCCACCCCCCCCCCCCCCCTAAAGAAAAACATATTAGCTGAAAGAAAAAAAAGTGACTAACAGTAGGTAATAATAACGCAGCTACACTTCTTCTAGGACGAGTTGGTTTGCATTACTAAAGACATTGTAGGGCAGAAGAACATATAGAATGGTGAGTGCGAATTTTCTATAATATAGGGAATTCGCATCTTCCTACAAATTGTACAACCCACAGGTGGAAAACATAATTTCATCACCCATTCTGGACAGAGGTAAACATACTTGGCATTTCAATTATGATGTAGTTACTGACCTGCACATTTCTGTGTGTTACCATCAAAGCTTAGTAAAATGATCGTTCAGTGTTTTTTTGCAAATGAATACCTATCTTAAAGCTTCTTTTAATTGCGACACAAATTGCAGAACTTGTTAATGATCAAAATTAAGATGGGCACTAACAGTAGCGTGGCCAAAAAAATTTTTTTTCAGTCATACTTCATGTATATTAGTGCATGCTTGTGTATATGGTTGTGTATATATATATATATATATATATATATATATATATATAGAGAGAGAGAGAGAGAGAGAGAGAGAGACAGAGAAGAGACGCAACTTATCGCTTGTCCTAATTTTATTTCCTACCGTTTCGACCAGTGGACCGGTCTTTGTCAGGTTTTGCAAACAAGTGCCACTCGCTTGTTTGCAAACCCTTACGAACACCCGGCCCACTGGTCGAAACCTTTGGAAATAAAATTAAGACAACTGCTAAGTTGTGTCTCTTCTTTTCCTAAGTACATTTGGCTCATTGAAAAAACTGATTCAGTTATAGAAAAATGGCTGCCATCCATGCCACTTCTGTGCGGTTGTCGGTGTGCAGCCAATGTGTTCCTATAAGTTGTGCTGTGATCGGAGATTCCTCGATCAAGTATGCACACCAAACGTTCAACCCCCTGGAAACTAGAACCCCTGAATTCATTTCGTACTATGGAACACTCTTCAACGACGTCCCTGGCTTATTCCACCATTAGCCACCAACACTGCCGAGGCTGGTGATTCATGTGAGAACTGTGGACATTGCAGACAATGGGTGCACACAGGCTCTGATGGACTTAAAACAACTCGTTGAGCGGATTCTCCAGGACCGACCGAACCTTGAACTCTACATCAGCCTGCTGTTAACCAGAGCCCCAAACCGCCACCGCCGAAGTGCGATCAAAAGGTTCGTACACTGGTTCAACAAGGAAGCATCCCACTTTGTAAGCCATGTGCACCACTTGTGCCATCGGAAAGATTTGGGTCGCAGTGTCTTCTATCTCGACCACGCCTTCCATGAGATGCCTCCTAGGAGAGTCCTCGCCGCTAACGACCTTCACTCAAGCTTTGAGGGCGTAGCGATGCTGGCACTTCAGTACAGAGGACTACTCACCACCAGTCCGAGCTACTGGCACCTGCAGAACTTGCAGCTGGCCAGGAACGCTCGTTGGTGCCGGCTCTCCAGTTCCTGCTGGAAACGCGATCTCCACAAATTCTCCGTCCCCGCAAAATTCTGTGCCACCTGCTTCGAGGCCTGCCACTGGCCAAACTTCACCGACAATGGCCTACAAAAGCCGCTCGACGACCGGCACAGTCGAACGCTAACTGACTGTTCAGGTATGGTCCATTCTCCCAAAGTGAGATCACGCTTATTTATACAGATTAGGAATGCAATTGAGAAACATGTAAAATACGACCTCCGCTACTCGATGCTGATGTCATACTCAACCTGTGATTTGGTACCAAAAGGCTTGTCTCTCAAACTCTAAATCCTGCACTGACAACATTAAATTGAGAAGAACAAGCACAGTGAAGGCACTTGTTCGGAGACTCTGACAAAAACCGGTCCACTGGTCGAAATAAATGGAAACAAAATTGAGACAACTGCTAATTTGTGTCTCTTCTCTTCCCAAGTATGTTTGGCCCATTGGAAAAGCTTCTTCAGGATATATATGTATGTATATATACACACACGCACACACAAGCAAAGTTGAAAAAAAATATTAGGGAAGGGGGAGGGAGAAACATGGAGTTTTACCCACATTTTACCCCCCCCCCCCCACTTGGCTATACCCACCATTACTAAAAAGTTACATGCTGACAGATGTGCTTCCTTTGGGCGACAGTTGCTATACTTTCTATCCTCAACTCATAGTCACACATAGGCATGTAAGCCCCGCCGCGGTGGTCTAGTGGCTAAGGTACTCGGCTCCTGACCCGCAGGTTGCGGGTTCAAATCCCGGCTGCGGCGGCTGCATTTCCGATGGAGGCGGAAATGTCGTAGGCCCATGTGCTCAGATTTGGGTGCACGTTAAAGAACCCCAGGTGGTCAAAATTTCCAGAGCCCTCCACTACGGCGTCTCGCATAATCATATGGTGGTTTTGGGACGTTAAACCCAAGATATCAATCAATCAACATAGGCATGTAACCTTGCTTGTAAACTTGTTTTGGCATATAATTTGTGATGCTGTATTCATGTCCAGTAAATTGAAGACATTAATTCACATTGTAAGACTTGGGAAGCCTTGCGTTACATCACAGTTGTCATTATATAGTGTATCTAATTTGTAACTTTCTTTTTTTTTTCATGGCCCTGTTATATCTTCTGCTTCAGTTGTTTGTAATATTGTAGGTTGCTATTATAAAGTATTTAAATGCAATATGCTTTCATAACTGACAATGGCATGAAGAGAAATTGAATGTGGTATATGTATTACTGTGCCAAAGCAGCATGACATGTCATTTTAATTGCATACAATGCATCTTTTCTTTAATATAATCTGGGGAACATATACATTACAAAGTGTTTATATTGCTCCAAATTTTTTTCATCCCTGAAACCATCTCTCTAAGCCATGCAAAAAGTCGCGGCTATCACGTCTATTTCCACTCGCAGTCTGCAGAGGGGCGCTGGTTATACTCGTAATGTGTGGGCTTGCACGTACATTTGTACAGCTGATGTAAAGTGACTAATAGCATGTTAAGTATACCTATGCTTTGAAGATCTGGTGTTTATGATATTTATTTATAATGTTATTAGTATTATTATCTATTAACATATTTGAAATATTTTTTTGAAAACATGCATATAATACACGTTCATGCTTCCCTGCGACACGTAGCTTATCGTGCATGGCCTGAATCTTTCTTTGCACTTGAAATTTGTTTCTCTCTTTCAACACTTCCCATTTCTCTCTCACCTGTCTTGATTACTCCCTCCTCATGGTCCTTTTTTTTTATGGAGACACTTGCCTGTTGCGACCAATTTGTGTTTTTATTTGCTTTGTTCTCATGTGCCTCTGCCCCTGATTGAAGCTGTGCTCCTTGACTTTTTCAGAGGAGTTCTTTTTGGGGATAACGTAATTAGTGTCCAAATACAGTCAGTCTTTCGTATCCTCTTTCAAGAGGTTAGTCTTGTATACCTCTCACTTTTATTTGGTTATAGCACTCTGGTATAACCTTTGAGCAGTTGAAGAGCTTTTAGTGGCGCTTATATAGTTGGCCTAGTAAAAAAGCCATTTGTGATGCATGCTCAGCCTCCTGCTCTTTCTCCTTGTAGCCTAGCTTCCAGTTAGTATTCTCGCATCTCTTCAATAATAGACGCGCAAATTAAGGTGGACAATAGTGCCGCGGTGCCTGATGTGGCTGGGCCTAAGCATTGCTGCGAACTGCAGATAGCGGCTAGACTTCAAAACCTGCCTTGCTCAGTTCTTTTCTGTCAGTATACCAGGCACAATATATGTATGTTCTGGTTTCATATCAACTCTGACAAATTACAGATGCTCGCCTGTAACATCAAAACCAGTTATTGGCTTTTAATTGATGCTCATTTGACAATTTATATGATATAGTACTGTGCAAGATTTCTTTAGTGCTGCTTGAAAAAGAAAGACTTGCAATAGACAGTTGACAGTACAGTTCTAGTGTAAGGAATAGAGAAGTTAAAGTCCTGCTCAAGAAGTATCTGTCTTTACATTAAACTGTTTTTGGGCCAGTTGTTCTAAGCTCGGTGCTTCTTCATTGTTTAATTGCTTATGTGTCTTTGCCTCTCTCGTTCAGGTTCTCGAGCCTTTCTATGTGTTTCAAGTATTCAGCCTAATCATCTGGTTTTATGATGGCTACTACTACTATGCCTCATGCATCATCGTCATGTCTGCATTGTCTCTAGTCACAAGCGTGTACCAGATAAGGCTGGTAAGTACAGTAGTTACGGCTCATTGAAACGTTTCCTTACTTCATCGATAAGTTTTTATTGGCCTGTGATACATTTATTTCTTTTACTTTGTCAGTAAGAAGATGCATCGTTTGATATTTACACAAAGTGTTGCATGCCTGATTAGGTATGCTTTGAATTTTGTGGCATGGGTTTGTTTATAACATGCAATACATACACAACTGTTTTTGTGTTGTTATACTCTGAAAACTACGAATGAGATTTAGCAGTTAGGAGTTTTTGCAGCACATTTCTTGTTTCTCTTACTTTCTTTAAATTGCGACATTTTAAGGTTCAAACTAGGAATTGATAATTTTTCCTTCACACACTCCTCGTAATCATGCCTGACATAATTGTTCAGCAAAGTGGGAGCGCGGGAGGAACACACACGAATAAAAGAGGTTGTGCTGTGTGCCTCCTCTTCGCTTCGTGTGTGTGTTCCTCCCACGCTCTCAGTTCGCTGAACAATTATGAATTACAAACTTGCCCACCTTCCATTCTGTTGCTATGCCTGACATGTATGGATTCCATCTGATTGAAGTTGGTCACTGGCAACTTCCTTTGTTTGCGATCGCTTACACGCCCCTTGTATGCACTCTTACAGAGTCAGAAGGCTTTGAGCGACACTGTACATGCTGTGGATGTGGTCACAGTCAAGCGATGCGAAGGAGGTGTGTCACGATCACAATCACTACATCATTCGTCATTTTATTTATCTTGTAGCTTCAACTAAAGGAACTTTATCATGTTTGTCTATTGCATACCAACAGACATAATGGGCAGGTCTTTCATTATCAATAATGTTTGTGCAAATTATGAGGTTCCTTAATCACCGTTGAGCCTATAGTCCTTCTTTATTTTAGCGTCGCGGTGATTTATCGAAAGGTTTGAAGACACTGCGATTGAGGACTAAAGGTGAAATAGAGTACAAAGAGAATAAGCTGACATATTTCCGTGTATTTTCTTGCACACTTGAAACCTTTTATTGCAGAAGGAGGCCTCATGCATTTCTTCAACTCGCTCAGCCTTTGCTTCATATATAATGTAAGGTACCCTTCATAAAAAGCTGCCATCACTATAGATGGGAGGAGACACTGTCAAAGTCCGAGATTTTCTGGAAACGAAGTTGGTGTGGAGAATTTCAAACGTGCACCCCACAGCGGTGGTGTAGTGGCTACAATGATTGGCTGCTGACCTGGAGGTCGTGGGTTCGATTCTGGCAGTGGCAGTCGCATTTCAGAGTAGGCGAAATTCCCGAGGCTCATGCACTGTGCGATGTCAGTGCACTTTAAAGAACACCAGATGGTAGAAAGCTCTACAGCCCTACACTACGGCATGCCTCATAAACATATTGGGGTTTTGGCATATAAAACCCTCAATAATGTTAACTTCAAACGTGCATCACGACACTTTTTTAATTTTCTTTTAATTTAGTGCATAGCGCTCTAGGGGCTTGGCTTAAGTAATCACTACAACTTACCTAAATTGCAAAAAACCCTTCTGAAACATCTGGCTGTGACCAGCACTGTATAAGAGAGGGAGCCACCACCTTGGCAAATCTGTGATTGCTAAGCGAATCACTGGGTTGTCCATATGCTATGCACTTCCTGAGGCTTCGTGTTAGTGGAGCTGCATTAGGCATGGGGTTTAGAATGACTCCACGGCCTACACAAGAATGACGTTTGCACTGAATTTAGCATGAGATTTAGAACTGCATCATGAGCTACACAAAAACAAAATTAGCACGGCATTAACCACTGAATTAGAGCTGGATTGGAGAACTAGTACTAAATTAAGAACTGGATTTAGAGTTTTTGTCTTGTAAACATCAAATTGCCTCAACAGTGGCCCTTTTCAGCATTTCAAGAAGATAATTTTCTAGTGCTGACCCTGCTTAAAGTACATATATTCAGAAATGGTCACCTTACATTGCTGTACATATTCAAATCATCAGGCAGCTTGCTATGTCATTTTTTCTGATTAATAATATATACCATTTGTGTCTTCTTACATTAAGTACAAGTCTGAAAGAGATTTTATTTTTTTCCTCAGCTGTCGCAGGCAATATGTATGTCATCTCATAGTGGGATGCAACCCCTTTCCTTTCTCATATTGCTGTTTCATTATTTGCTTCTGGTCATCTCAGTCTATAAAAAGATCCCGTCAGAGCAGTTGGTACCAGGAGATGTCCTTATCGTTCCTCGCAACGGGTGCGTGATGCAGTGCGATGCTGTTCTCAGAACTGGAAACTGCATTGTCAATGAGAGCATGCTCACAGGTACGTTTTAACCTTTGTGAAATTCTTTTTTGCCAAGCTTCTTTCTTTTTTGTGTGTGCTTTTTACACTTCCATAGCTGGCACTGAGAGCGAAAATGCTCCTGTATATTTTTTATAGAATACATAAACACTTTCCAGATAGCCATATCTAGTAGACTCTTGGTAAACAAAATGCTCCTAAGCGAAATCGCTGCTTAAATGGAATAACTACCTCTAATATGGTTGGTTTTATGTTTGAATTCAGCACCCCTTTTTATCTCACTGTAAACGAAACTCCTGTTAAACAAGACATATTTTGCTGGTTCATTCAGGTTTCATTTAACAGGAATATACTGTGCATTTGAATTTTATTTGCTTCCTGGAGCATTTCCATGATTCCAGCTGTTTTAGTGAGAACGGTGAAAGGTGAGCTAAAATGAATATTTGTATCATAGAGGAAGCAGAGTTTTAGACAGTATAGATACACTGCAGCAGGCTCGATGAGAAATAATTGTGCTCTTTAAATAACATGTTGATGCATCACACTGTCCCAAGTTAACGTCATGAGCAGCCGTACTCTATGTCTAGCTCTTGCACATTGGTTGCTGCGCTGGCCTGGCTGTTGACCTCTTCTAACATGTGATTTTGTGATAAACCAACTTTGATATCATGCATCCGAACAGGTCACTTAATAGAGGGGAACCTTGACTTTGACATCATGTGTGGCCATGGGGCCCTAATCAGTCAGCATGTCGACATTTAGAAAAATGGCTTGTGTGCTCAGTGTTTGAAAAAAGAGAAATGCTTCAAAAATACTCATGTTTTATATATCCATTCACAGACATAATATGAAATTGCCATCCCTTCAATATCGAATGTTTCGATGCACATGCACACATGACATGGAAGAGCACTTCACTTGCCAGATCAGGGTTTATTCAGTGTGAAATCTTGCAATGACTGATGTTATTTTGTGTTCTATGCAATCTCAATCTTTTTCTTTCCCAATCTAGTCTACGAATCAAACCTGGGGTAGTGAAATGACACAAGGGTAATATTGGATGTTCCTAGCAAGCATTTGTAGCTGCAATTAAAATGTTTTTTTTCCTTTTGCGTGGATAAACCAGGCTAAAGTAGGTCAAAGTTGTGTAAACAACACTCTGCTCCTCACGCAGGCGAGAGTGTACCAGTGGTGAAGACACCATTGCCAAATCCTGAAGCTTCACAGCCAGGACTGGGCATCATGTATGACCCGAAAGAGCAAGGCCGTCACACGCTCTTCTGCGGCACTAGAGTCATTCAGACGCGCTTCTATGGCACGGAAAACGTCGAGGCTGTCGTCGTTCGCACGGGTGAGTTCAGTCAACATATGATGATGGTTTTTCGCATCACCCGTCCCCAACACTGCAAGATGATCATCATTCACAGTCAAATTTCCTGTTTGTTGAGGCACCTAACACTTTTGCTTTAAAACTAAATCTGAACTGAAATCTGCTACAGCCATAAAGGGGGCCATAGCACATGCTTATACTAACCAGCTTGCTAGTTTATCCTGCAATGCAGTTTGTTAAAACACCAAGAACATGCTGTGTATGTATAATCAGTGTGCTTTCGTCACTGGACCAAAAGTCATCCTATTCAAAAACTCGTGCCATCAAAATTCTCGGTCGCCATCTTCTAATAGGCCCTAATACCAGATTCAGTCGAGGCCATTTTCATTAGAACCAATGACAATGGCGGTGATAATTCTCATAAGCATTGTCAATAAAATCTAACGACAATGTCAGTGATGCTGGCTAGATAAACTTTAGTGATAGACCATGGCAAATGCTGCCAGTATAATTTTGGTTTCAGATATTATTGAGTTGTGCAATAATTTTTATATGAATTATTATTTTTTTATAATGTCAATTACAATAGAGTGGATGGTGTGATATTTCATCACCAGTTTCTCATAAACTTTTATATGAATTTCAAATATTTGAATTTTTTATATGAATTACCATTTTCTTCATTATGCCCATTACAATAGAGTGAATGCTGTGACATTTCATCACCAGTTTCTTTTAAATTCTCAAAATATCTCTGTAGAAGGCCAGAAATACAGGTGCTTCGAAAAATGGTCGTGATCAAATAAACTGAGAAAACTTTTAATTGAAGTACAATTAATTGCCTACTGTGATAAGAAAAGAAGTAAGGATGCCATGGTTATCTGTTGTACATCTATTGTAACTTTTTTTCACTGGTATGTACTTGCCAATGTCGCTTTAGTAGGCTTGTGTGAATAGCGAATTCTGTAGGTTCAAAGCGAACTTGAAGCAAATAGTGATGTTGGTCGAATGATTTCGAATCAGTTTCAAATAGTATATATATATATATATATATATATATATATATATATATATATATATATATATATATATATAAATCACATATTATAAAGAAAAATGGGCTTATTTGTCATGACCTAAGGAACCTGCACAACATATAAAAAAATATTGAAACAAGGCTTATGCAAACGCCATTTTTTTGCATCAAGGAAAGTGGAAACAACTTTGAAAAGTAGAATGGTCGTACTTTCAGTAGAATGCAACTGATAGCCTGTAAAATACGTTACTCTTTAAAATTTGCTAGACTTGTAGCATATAAGTTGGTGTTTTTTAAAATTAAAGAATGAATCGATGCGAGGGTAATATTCTCGTTTAACCTTGAAATGAGGCTTCTCGGCAATGCAGATCTTTTCTTAAGTACATGTTTTCATGGCTTAGCATTACTTTACTGCAGTGAAACCACTTCTACAGCGTGTCACATGCGGACTAATAGTATGCATCTTTGACTGTTGGGTGAGTTTGTGTTTTGACATGGAAACCATCTTGAAAGTGCAACTAAACAAGACAAATAAGAAAGAACGGACGAGACTTCACTATTCATTCGTTTCGAATCAATCAAAACTTTCAACAATGTGGCTTCGATTCGAAGCGAATTCGAATACTGCATTATTCGTTCGAACATTCGAAGCATCTGAATATTTGCACAAACCCATACTTGAGTTGTTGGACCTCATGCTCTGTCCTACACTCGTTTTCTTCTGTTTCACTTTTCCAGGCTTTATGACAGCCAAGGGAGAGCTGGTGCGTTCCATCATGTTCCCCAAGCCAGTTGATTTCAAGTTCAACCGGCACATCAAGATCTTCTTGCTGCTCCTCGCATCCCTGGCCGGTATGGGAGTCGTCTATACCATTGTGCTCAAAGTAAGCATATCTGCATTGAGACTTGCTTTGGGCAAGCTAGATGGTACTCACATTTCTTGTTTCACTGTGGCTGTCCAGCGGTACCATTGTTTGTCATTGTTGCGGCTGCTATCTGAAAGCATGCTGTTGTATTTACGAGTCTCATGGGATAAATTTTCTCTTGGCAAACTTTGTTACGTAAATGTGACGCTCGGTTGGAGAGCTCTTAGTAAATGTTTCGGTAGAAGCAGCTGCTGATTGAAAGTGTAAATGAGAGCTGCTTTTGTTTCTTTTTCTTTTCCAATTGTATATATTTAACTTGGCCAAGATTTTTTCCAGTTTTCATTTAACTCAGGAGCTTTTCTAGCCATTGACCAAACTTTAGCGCTCTTAGATTTTTTAATTTACACATAAAATGGAAGCACTGTAAACTGCTAAAACTCGCTCAGAAATTTATAACGTGGGTAGAAATACTCTTTCCATTTTTCACTGCACTGAATTTCATTTCCACTTTAGCCATTACTCCTACTACAACGACCTGTTTCCTGCCAAATTTTGTTTTTGCAGTCTCTTCGAGGTGTGCCGGCCTCAAACATCATAGTACGTAGTTTGGACGTGATCACCATTGTCATCCCACCTGCGCTGCCAGCCGCGATGACCATTGGCATCGTGTTCGCCCAGTCGCGCCTGCGACGGGCACTCATCTACTGCATCTCACCGCGCTCCATCAACATCTCGGGCTGCATCAACTGCTTCTGCTTCGACAAGACTGGCACGCTAACTGAAGAAGGTCTGGACTTGTGGGGCGTCGTCCCGGCCAGTGGTGGCAGGTGAGTGATGTGCACGATGATTCTGAGGACTTAATTGTTGTTGAGCCACTTGTCAGGGCAACGCAGACTTACTGAACTGAATTTGTTTGCTGTAGGGCTAATAATTATGACACAATGATATCATGACAACAATAATCATGACTCATCTCCCACATCTTTTTAACGACTATACTCTTTCTTGGGATACTTGAACACCTAAATCTGGGTCTGTCTGTCCGTCTGTCTGTCACACGATTCAGCTGCACGGCCAAAGTTTAAGCACTTGCTGAACGCCCAGCCATCTGGTGGCTGCGTTCATACTTGTGAGTATTGTCGATCAAAAAGCAAATATTATGCATATCTGAGGTACAACTCCAATGTATAAGTATTAGGTAGTGTGTTTCTTTACTAGAAAATACATAGCTACGTAATTCTAAAGGCTCTAGTGTTTCTTACTCTGCACTAAAAATGCGAGGACATGCACAAAAAAGACAGTTTGCTGGAGACAATCGTTTCTCAATGACGTTTGCAGCAAAGCACGCAGATACGCTGCCGATTTCTTTTTTTGCATTATAGTCACATTCTTGATAGTTTCAGATAATGAACAATATGCATGTTACAAATGTGACATGACATTCTTGATAAAAAGTGGTGATTGCCAAGCTTTCAAGAAAGGGGGTGCAAGTAAGCAGGATGAGGATTGTTGTGAAGCATAAAGATGCCCTGAGGCGGCATCTATTGGTGCTCTGAAGGGAACAGCTTTTTATTATATAGCTGTGCTTAGCAAGGTGCGAGTTGTGAGAAACTTGGCTGTGCTGAACTGAGCAGAAAGATAGAACTTTGGGCGTTGTTCCTCCACTACACTGTATACAGAATCTTTAAATTTCATAGAAGACGTCCTTTCTTGAAGACACTCTACCTGCGCTGGTTTGTACCACGTGGCGGTGTTTTCAGAAATGCATTTCACTGATGCATGTAGTATAATTTTCAAAGAAAAGCATCAATGTTTGGCGCATTTAGTACACTCCTCTATTCGTGCAGGAGAAATCTTGCAGTTTATCTTCCGAGCGTAGTAAGATATCGCTAGCGTAGATAAACTAGCTTGGAATAAGCAGTGCCAGGTCTTCAAAACTTTTTGTGCGTTCTTGTGATAAAATTATTAACTCCTTTTTGCCTTAGAAGAAGAGTTTATGATATGCAACTACGTTTCAGTGAAATTTGCAGTTACTCTATGGAAAGCTATAATTAACCAGCACTGCTATTGCTATGAAGTTGTCTGCTGGCCAATCTGCAGTGACGAATCTAGTCTCATGCTGTCTCCTATTGCTTTCAGATTCCAGGAACAGGTTCCCGACCCAAGCAAGCTTTCATTGAACTCTCTGCTGCTCCGAGGCATGGCCACCTGCCACTCCATTACAGTCATTGACCATCGGCTCTCGGGTGACCCGCTTGATCTCAAGATGTTTGAGGCCACGAGCTGGGTGTGTAATGTAGAGTAGTACTACATATTCACATTTGTATGTACTACTTTGCCATGTTCTTTTCCTTTATGTAATGTGATCCCATTCTAGAGTTGGTCTGTACTATATGGTCGAACTGATGGCAGCATAATTTTGCCTGTATTGATTTATTAAGTCATTACTCCCCCTTGTGGCTTAGTGGCTTTGTTACAGTGCTGCTAAATATGAGTGCCTGTATGAATGTCAGCCACACTGATTTTATTTTGATAGGGGTGAGATGTGAATGCAACTGGGTGCTCAGATGTAGGTGCCTATTCAGTAACACTCAGGTGGTCAAACATTATTCCGAAGCTCCCACGTGAATGTGCCTCGTAATCATATTGAGGCTTTGGATATGTAGATGTTTAGAATTTAATTAAGCAGTTTGTTCATTTATTTATTTATTGAAGAGATGAGAATAATAACAAGAATTCTGCTGGATCAGTGTCTTTAATCTTGAGCGTTTTTCTGAAGTGGCTGTAAAAAGACCCCTGACACCAACTTTAGAAACTCGAGATGCTTGTGTTGTTTGGGAGTCATGCATGTGGAGGTACTTCTGACCGATTATTAGTGACGAACAGTTGCCTGTACGTAAGATATTTTAATTTTGTTTCAAAGTGAGGGTGAGCGGTCGTCTGACTTATCAGCACCAATCGACATCTTCTCTGGTTTGACGTACACAGAGGTTTCGCATGATATTACACAAGTAAGGCGAGGATGATTCGACGCCAGAGAGCATTTGCGGGGGGCGCGCAATACTTCGACAGGCACCCGACGAGGATTGTTGTTCGTCACCCCTCTCGTTCTGTTGTCTGGCTGCTGTCAAGGTGGTCTTGGTTGCTTATTCAGCCAGTTACGCTCTTCTTTTTTTCTGAAGGGGACACGCCTCATAGCACCCACATCATTTCATTCTTCACCATCCATAGCTCCACCGATTTGAAAATGACGCATTCAGCTTCGCTGAAGCTTGACTGCACGTAGTCTCAGGGGCTCCTCTGCTGTGAGACACTAGTTTCTGATGGCATTTAGACGAGCAGTTTGAACTGATGTGAGATTGTCCTGAAATAATTAAGCTAGCATTAATTATACGATGCATTAGAGCACTTATAATTCAACTTCGGAATTACGAGATTGAAGCTACAAATTCCTGTAAAAAATATGCAAACAAATTTTCAGCTGTCAAAGGTCCTTTAAGGTTTTTGTTCCCTATGTATAACCACAAATTAAATTCATTTAGTTATATCACATGAAAGATGAAGTTGTCTTTCTTTTAATATAAGCAGCCATCTCCTGTACGTGGCTATAGATTGAACTTTCTAGTAGTTTGGTAGCAGTGTTAGCTTTAAGACCTCATAGAAAACAATTGAGGCTAGTGCATATTCGTGAACTTGTTTCATGAGCAAGAACTTATGAAAGAAATCCAAGCATTCTCCTCGAAGTGAATAACGACGAGTGGGCAAATCCTACCTCCTAAGGTCCATAATGTCTACGTTGAACTCGTCAACTAGTATAAAGGATTTCTGCTTTGTTAAATATAGATCTGTTGCAATTATTATCGACATTAATGTGTAGTTAAACTTTTCGTTTGTGTGCGTTTCACATATATTTCCTGGGAATTTCTCACATTATGTAAATTGAGAGACATAAAGGGCCATAAAGAGGCAATTGCAAAGCTCGGTCCTCAGGTCTATAATGTCTACGTTGAAGTCCCCGACTAGTATAAAGGCTTCATGCTTGTAGGTGTTTTATAATGTTCTATCACAATTATAATTGTTGTTCATCTGTTAGAAATATTTTTTTTTATTCATATACACGTTTCGACTATAGCGATGGTTTTCTAACCACCATGACAGCGGAAAGTGAGTTTTGATGACAAAGCTAGTTCCAAAGTCCATAATGTGCACATTAAAGTCGCTTAGTAGCATAAAGGGTTCATGCTCCTAGGTGTTTTATATTGTTCTGTCACAATTATGATTGATATTGGTCTGTTAAACATTTTTGGGGGGTCTCACATCTGTGTTTCATATCCGCGAATCTTCGCATGATGCATGTGGATGCCGACAAAGCAAGCCCCTAAGGAGCTTCGCCCTTAAAAGTAATATTGACGAGAAAGTCAACTAGTGCTGATACTGCATTGCATAATTTCTATTGGCTGAAACTGTGAAATACTTATGTCTTTAAACGCAGACTTTAGAGGAGCCGGACATCAACGACAACTCAAAGTATGACATCATCGCACCGACCGTTGTGCGACCGGGACCAGCCAGCAGTTTAAAGGCACCATTCGTGCCTTCTGTGAATGCCACCGGAGACCTTTTTGAGGTTCAAACAGCATTTTATCAATGCTTCACTTTAGACATTTTCTCTATTCTGGTGGCTGGACCACATGTGTGCACAGTGTACTTATACAGTAAAACCACTCAAATGTATTTCTTGTGGAATCTTCGTAAGACAAAAAACCCAGAAAAACACAGCAACTGGAAAATTCAGTTCATCTGCCTCCTCAGTGCATCCAGTTCTGTTGTAGTTTGCAACGTTTCGAGCGGGCATGTTGCAGGTATGAGGTGTGAATAATACAGAGGTGTCTGTATACATAGTACATGCAGTAAACTTTAAGTAAATGAAAATTTCTTAAATAAATAACAACTAGTAGAACGATTGATTTTGTACTTGACTTCTGCACCCCTCTTTGTCTCACAATATATGGGACTCATGTAAAACGGAACATACTTTTATGGTCCATTAAGGTCCCGTTTAACAAGAGCACTATACATATACATAGATGTCTGTAGATTCTTAGCTGGGGCCTAACATCAAAAACATCATACTCAGGAGCTTGGGCAGGGTTTTTCTGTATATTGAAGCACTTCTTGACCTCATTGTTCACAGTTGAAAATTTAGGTACACAATGTGCTGGTCTAGCTTAATTATATTGATACATTCTTGCTATTTTAGGGAATGTTCATTGTTTGTGGCTTGGCTCATTGTTAATTATCTACTCAGTTTAAATTAATTGGACTTTTTTCTAGAAAACAACTATATAAAGCATATGCCACTAGGCAGTCTAATGTCCATGTCCTACAGTTTTTATGTAGCCTATGCTAGCAAAGGAGGCCATCTGTAGTCTTGGCCAGAATTAATTTTGGTTTTGTTGTCAGAATCGTGTGTAACACCAAGCATTAGTGTAGCTTTGTAGAAACGAATTGTCTGTTCTGCACAAATGTTGATTACATCAGTGGCAGAAACAGATACATATGCCTAGCATTCTCTGTGCTACTGATTCTGGATTCTGACGTTAGGATGAAAATGCGTAAGTGCTTTTGATGCTTATAAGTTTAATTTGCTAGGAGTCATTCAGTTCCTCTTTTCCAGGTGCCTTCATCTTTTGAAGTCGGCATAGTGCACGAGTTCCCCTTCTCCTCGGGTCTTCAGCGCATGAGTGTGGTCACCCGTGTGCTGGGTTCGACCCACTTCGACATATTCTGCAAGGGTGCCCCCGAGACCATCGCCTCTCTCTCCAAGTCCGAAACAGGTTGGTCATTTCACGTATTGCCTGGGACGTATAGTCTGACAGAAGTGGAAAGAGACTACTGCCCAAGAAATTTACAGTCAGTTGCATCAGTGCTTCACCTTACTAGTTGTAGAAGACTGGGCATGAAATTATACATGTGTAAACAAAAGGCAAATGAAGAAAGTGTTTTACACTTTAGCTAATAACTATATGCATTAACTATATGCCAAATGTATGCATGTACCCAGACTGCTATGGGGTTAGCGTGTATAGCTATGATTGTTAACATGCACAATAAAAATTGTGATGGAGATTTAAAGTAGGTCAGATGGCTCCCTGACATCAATAAATATCTTAAATTCAGTGCAATAGAAAAATGGTGACACAATACACTTATTACATAGTCATGAATGATAATTGATCACATAATTAAGCAGCATGTAGAAAACATACAAAAAATTATACATATGGTTTGCATGCTCATGGCTGGACATACATTTGGCTGCCAGTTTCAATCACTTCTGAGACATCATTGCAGCCATAGCCAATCATGTAGGCAAAAGGAACTTGTCAGCACGTAGAAGTGTGGTAATGAAGAAAAATGTGCAGGAATTATTACCAACACCTACAGCGCCCAAGTTCGCCATAATCGTAGAGGGTTATTTACACATGTATTAATCTAAGAAGATGTCACGAAACAGCAGTAACACAACAGTCATACAACTAGCATGACAGATGTGTTCTATGACATGTAGCATGACGGAACATCGTACAGATGTGTTAAACGAGACACATTAACAAATGGGTATAAGCGACACCTATGTGCCTACAGTGAAATACAGGTGAATAAGAAACTGCATATGTGGTACCCTGCTTATAAAAAAACCTCTCATAAAAAAATAAAGAATTTCTGCCAGGAGCATGCCTCTTATAAAGGTGTTCACCTGTATTGTCATAGCATTGAAATCAAGCTGCCCTTTCTCTCCCGCATCCACAGTGCCGCCAGATTTTGTGGAGACACTGACATCATACACCCAGCAAGGCCACCGAGTGCTGTCACTGGCACACCGTTCATTGACGTCAAGCTTCGCCAAGGTTCATCAACTTCCGCGAGAAGAGGTCGAGAACAACCTCACCTTTGTCGGACTCCTGGTCATGGAGAACCGGCTCAAGCCAGAGACCACCTCCATCATCCGCACGCTTCGAGCTGCCAACATCCGCACCATCATGGTCACAGGTGGATGTCGTTTCCCGAACTTGGTGCTTTGTTAAAATTCACCATCAGCTTCATTGGAAGAAGGTTAATTTTTATTCTTTTGTCTTCACAAGGTTTAAATTATAATGAGCCCTGTTTTATGATTTATTCTTGGGAATTGAACTGCATTCTGTAAGCTTTTCTAGTGCAGTTTTGCTAACCTGAATCTCATACAAGACGTATTTTTTAGTTCACATCATGTTTGCTCAATGAAGTCAGAAAAATGAAAATTGCTTAAAAATGTAATCACTGCTTAAATAAAACAACTTTCTCTAATCTAGTTGTACCTGTGTTTGAATGCTGCAACCCTGTTCACATTCCTCTGGAGACAACACTCCTGTTAAATAGAACGTATTTTACTGGCACATTAAGGCCAATTTCATGGAATTCTACTGTAGTTTGTGAGAACGTCCATTCATGGTAGGGGAAGTAGCTGGTGCCACCTTCTCCTAGGTAGAGGACACAGTGCAGTTTAATCGCTGGTGCGGTCGGTCATTATTATGTTTGTAGTGTGCACGTATTTCACCGATGTATGGCCACTAGCTTGGGTTTCAACTTAGCGAGCCAACTGGGCCGCGTTTGCCATCGCCTCTCATGAACTTGCACGCCACTGCATGCGTGTGTTCAGGTAGCAAAGGTGCTGAGTGCAGCACAGCACTGCTCACAGAAAATCCACAACCCTTCATTGCCAGCGACAACATCACAAACCGTCGCAACAAGTCCACTCCCAAAGGTGGCGGGAAAAGCAAGGGTGCTTAACCACGCCATGGATGGAAATACACAATAAAGGGTACCACTAGATGGCTCTTGGTGACACACTGCTAAGAGAAAATGTCCCTCGAAGCCATGCTGTGTACTCTCAGGATCAGCAGTCACTGGGCACGATCGCTCAAAGGAGTGCAAACCCAGTTCACATTTGCTTTGATAAGTGTGACTAGGTGTAGTACAACCATGCGTGAACACACTGCACTACTCTTCAGCAAGGCATTCGAAAGACAATATGTATGAAAAGCGCCTGCCGCTGGCACAAGGCACCATCGGCAATCTCCATCCGAGTGAACCCAAAACAAAGGAGCTGATGAATGGGAAAGAAAACACGTGCATACGCCACACTGTCCAGAGCGGTGGCCCCTTCCACCCAGCGGAAAACGTCTTGTGAGGTTCACACGTGGCACCATCATAAAGATCCAGCTCCGGATGAGGGAGGTTAACATCACCTCCACTCACTCAGCATGTAGAACCGACGAAGAAAGAAGAGTCAGGATTGGATACATGGACGGCAGATATAGGAGAAAATACCTGCACAATGATGATGGGCAAGTGTCAATTCCACAAGTTCAAGCCCAATACTGCACCTGGTAACTTCATCGCATGCCCTGTGAGCTACTATGTATGCCTTTGCTAACGGTAATTCACTAGTTATTTGGACCGATCATGGTAGACCCACTTTTTCTGCATGAAAATCAGTGTGCCGTCCTTATTCCGCATAACCAAGTTTTCAATCAGGTCAGAACCTAATCAAGTGAGAAAGCAATGAGTTTTTTTTTATATAGCATACAAATCCCCCATTTCTTATGGCTCGTCACGCAAACACAGTTGTGGTTTGTCTGTGTGTTGTGAGAAGTGCCAGCCTTGGTAAATGATGACTTAATTAAGCGAGCTTGTAAATTGTTCCTCTCTATCACACATTTATCATGGTAAGTATTCTTTTGTGCAACCTGATTTTGTTGCATCTTGAGTGCATGACTGCAGTACACTATCTTTTGTCATAACCGTAACACACTGATGCGCCATATCTTTGACGTACTTCTCTGCCACCAGGTGACAACATGCTGACGGCAGTGAGCGTGGCACGTGACTGCGACATGATTGAACGGGGCCAGGAGGTGCAAATCCTCTCGTCGAGCACGGAGACGTCGGACATGGTGCCTGTCCTCAGCTGGCAGTCCTCCGAGGCACCACCATCATCCAACAAGTCGCATCTCAAGGCCAGCGACGTACACCCCAACGTAAGCGGAGAGGACTCCTCTGTACTGTAGCAAAACAGCCATTTGGGCTAGTTGGTAGCGGTTCATTATGGAAAATAGAAGCGGGGCTCAGTACGTGACACGAACTGAAAGAAAGAACAACACAAGCGCACACTTGCAAATGAAATTTTATTGAAGGCACAAGAAGTAGAGAATAAAATATTGCGCACATCTAAAGCCGTAGTCATCCCATACATTCATAAAATGTCCCATGGGTTGAAGACTGTGGCTAATCGCTTCGATGTAAAATTTGTTTTTCTTGGCTCTGAATAAACTTAATAATGCATGTAGAAATATAAAGAGAAAGATAACAGCGAAAGCAAAGTGCGTAGAAAACAACAAATGCCAGGTCAAACACAGCTCGCCTTTCGTTCAAGGTGTCATAGGAGTTGTGTACCTGATTCCACTCTCATGAGGCCGTGTATACGTGGCCCGAACTGGCCGTTGTTTAAATATTTGTTTGCAGGAGCATTACAGGGCGGTGACCTTGAAGAATGGTGCCCATTGGCGCAACTGTCCTATCAAGGCACAGGGATAAGACCACCCGTGAATTTACAGAATCATTTCACATTAAGAGATGCAGTGAAAGATGTGTTAGCCACCCCTCCATTGCCATTTCAAAGAAAGAGTACTTATATTTGGTAAAATCGTTGTACTAATCTTTCTTGTTTGTTTCATCTGCTTATATATGTTTTTTGTTTATCTTTTTTGTTCAAGCACATGCGCCTTGGTGATATTTTGATGACTTCTTGTGGAATAGCAATAGTTTTTCAGTTTTTTGTTCCTTAGGCAAGAAAACTTGTATCATGTGACCATTTTTGTTAGCTATATATGTGTTGCACCTTCAATAAAATTTCAGTTGCGAGTGTGCGCTTGCGTTGTTGTTCTCTCCTTCGGTCCGTGTCTCGTACAGCACCCCACTTCTATCTTCCATAACGAACTCCTCTATATGCTGGATATTTGTATGGCAAAGTAAAGTCATCTTTGAAAATTGGTGTTGGTGCCAGGCCTTTAACCGCAAGTTTTTACCCTCATTGAACCACATAGCTCAGTCATGTTTCCAAGACTTGAGTTGCATGTACAAGTTTGCCATACAATAACTTAAAGTGAACGAAACGATAACCTGTTCAACACTGGGGCAAAACTGCATCAGCGAAACCTGGTCTTCTAATTAACTTGTTTTGGCAGCCGTCCATCAGTCCTCTATTCTTTATTTATATATCACTAGATAATTAACCTTCTAATATTTATCCAGCCACATTCAGGGCAGAGGCAGCCCCAGCAACGTAAATTTACAAGGCAGACAGACCAGTAACAACTTAAGGTAAAAATACAGTATATGTAATTTGATAAAATGGTGAAAAAATATCTTTAATGCAGCTATGCTGCTGCATACCTCAGTGCGGTTTTCCTATATAAGTGGTCTTTGTTGCATGTTGGGCTCCTCAGGGCGGGACCTTCATCTCTATGGGCCATCCGCTTGTTGCTGTGACCGGAAAGACATTCGGTGTGCTGCGTGAGCACTATCCAGATGTCCTGAAAAAGGTGTGAGGGCTTCTTGTCTTTGTTGCTTTCATGACTTCGTATACTTGCCATTGCCCATGCAAAAAGCGTTCCCTTAAGGGTAGATGCTACTTGAAAAAAAAAGTTTCTTTAGTTTAAAGCCTAGGGCAATGAAAGCTTTGCTGTGTACATGAGTTTTTATACTCACTTCATATATGTAATCTGTTTTAAAGTAAGTTGCATATTCTTCATTTATGGTTATAGGACCATTAATTGCTCACATTGCATCACATCAACTGTAGAATGCGACGAACTAACAAGAAAGTGCACATAGGCATTTTAGTGAACAAGAAAAATAGTAAAGTGATAAGTCTTAAAATGCTAGGCCCATACTAATTGTTTACTTCAACCTCATTATAATTATGTGATACTGGGTTTTAAACGAGAAAATCGCACTTTTCACATGTTAAGGAATATTATGTGTAAACACCTGAACTACACAGCTGGTTTCCTGTTCGATTATATTCGCACTGAAAGTTTACCATTTGAACTTCCCGCAGACAAACACCGTCAGCATCCAATTGATAATAGCTGCTTCAAAATTTTAATATGCTTCATCTTATTACATTCTCATATTGCAGCAAAGCTGCCTTTCTGGCTCTGCTGCGGTCTTTAATGTATTGACTTTAGAAAGAGCTGGTTCCGACAAGGAGATAATAGATGTGGAAGATATGGGGGCCCAACTAATGCTGTTTCAGACGTGAAATTTGGGCAGGAATCTTGCAAAATCAGACCCTGACGATTTTTAGCATTCGAAATTTTAGATGTTCTTACGGTATCATCCATTGGCAGATCTGGAGTGGCCAACAAACTCTGTGCCGGTGCACTCCACTCTGGCAGTGGGCAACCAAAGAGAATCCACCAATGAAACACACACGTTCCTGCTGGAGCAAATAGCAGAGTCTGAATGGAACGCAATGAGCGCATTTCCTTTCTTGCATGAGGGGGCACAGTGATACTACGCTAGCAGAATGTCAGTGCTGTATAGTCTGAGCCGAGGCACGACCGATGCGACGTGCGTCCATTGGAGCACCCACAGTTGGCATTGTTCCAGAGAACAAGATGCTTGCGACTTCCGGTCAAATCTGCCGCTTTTCTTGGAGTAGGAAAAGTTGCTAGGTGGAGTGGATCTTGCGATGGAGCTGCTTCGAATCTAGAAGTGGAACATACTGGGAGCACTGCCAATCTACCAACGGAACAGACTTGCTTCGCATGGAGCAGAAGAAGTGCTACAGGAAGTACTCCGAATCTGCCAATAGATGACACCATTGTATATTGACGTATGCGAGGCAGACTTGCAACTCCAGACTCAAAAGGAGCGCACGCTTGACTGCCACATTAGTTGGCCTTCAACAAAGTTTAAAGAGGAGGAGAGGCTGGAGAAATAGCATCTTTGCCTGTGGTACTAAAGTGTTGTCAGCAATACTTTGGTTTCATTAAATCATGTACATAAATACAATACAGCCTCTGCATTGCTTCATTCTTAATAAGACCACTATGAAACACCACTCTGCTTCATCAATCTAGCCAATAGAAACACTTCCGTGTTGCTATTTCAAGGGGTTATGCTTAGGAATCCTCTGGAGAAATATTCGAGAAATGTTTAAAAAATATTTTGTTCGATTCACACTCGCACTTCAATATTCGAATTCCCTTCGCATGCAAAATTTTGCTACATATTCGCGCAGCTCTAATAAAAAGATTAGACTTCAAAGGAAACATAACAAATGCAGAGTTATTCTTCTATATAAATATCTATCAAACTGAAAAGATGGATATTTGTCCTCATCATGTATGGTGTCTCTATCTCTTTCCCTCAACCTCATAGCGGGCGTTCTCATCGTTCTATTTATAGGCTTCATCCACATAACTACAGTGCCTAGAGTATACTTATTCTAGGCACTATATATAACATAACCACTTCACATTGGTGTAAGTTGCCATCCCTTGGCAAGCTATATTTAGCATATCCTTGTGTTTCTAAGTTTCGTATTAATGTCGTTTCTCAATACTGTTTTCCCAATCCCAGAATGTTCGAGGTCTGCTCATTGAACTTGAGGTGCACACAAATCCGTAGGGTACTTTGTATGTTTCATGCTGGACATGTTTCATTCTGGAAACTATGATTAGCTATACTGAGTTCATCAGCTTTCAAGATGGTTACACGTCGAATGGCATTAATATGCTCACAAATTTTCTTTGTATTTACACAGTGCATGTGTTTATGAAATGAGGTGGGCTTTTGAAAATCTGCAGGTGGCTGTATCTGGTGCCGTGTTTGCACGCATGGCTCCCAATCAAAAGCAGCAGCTGGTGGAACTACTTCAAGAGAAGGGGTAGGTGGCTTGGCACATAAATTAAAAAGCACTTGTTTGCATGGCTCCGAATGCTTTCTGCCAATATGTAATGTATGCCGTCTTTATGATCATGTACAGTGCACAAACACTGCAGCTCGAATGTATGAAAGTGAAGCATGAAATACATTTCGGAGTTTGAATTGGCCTACTGTTAAAGGTGCATGTGAACCTCGAAGTCAAATACAGTAGTATGTCCCAGTAGTTTCTGGACTGTTCAAAAATTTTTAGTATTGTAAATGAGTGCACTGCTTCATTTGATCTGACACGTGAAGGCCGTATTCTTACTAGACAATGGCATTCAGTTGCTAACTTGACTGTTTCATGTGAGAAGCTGTGGTCCCTGTACTCGTGTTATGTAACAGTGACGTAAGTAGACATGAGCTATGTGTGTGGGCGTGTACCTATGGGAATTAAGTATGCAGTGACAGTTTGTACTGTTGTGTCTTTGTACCACATTGCATCGGGACGTCATGGAGGTCAAAGGATACATAACAGATCGTTCTATTTATAGGCTTCATCCACATAACTACAGTGCCTAGAATATACTTATTCTAGGCACTACATATAACATAACCACTTCACATTGGTGTAAGTTGCCATCCCTTGGCAAGCTATATTTAGCATATCTTTGTGTTTCTAAGTTTTGTATTAATTTCGTTTCTCAATACTGTTTTCCCAACCCCGGAATGTTCGAGGTCTCCTCATTGAACTTGAGGTGCACACAAATCCGCAGGGTACTTTGTATGTTTCATGCTGGACATGTTTCATTCTAGAAACCATGATCAGCTATACTGAGTTCATCAGCTTTTAAGATGGTTACACGGCAAATGGTATTATTATTATGCTCACAAATTTTCTTTGTAGTTACACAGTGCATGTGTTTATGAAATGAGGTGGGCTTTTGAAAATCTGCAGGTGGCTCTATCTGGTGCCGTGTTTGCACGCATGGCTCCCAATCAAAAGCAGCAGCTGGTGGAACTACTTCAAGAGATGGGGTAGGTGGCTTGGCACATAAATTAAAAAGCACTTGTTTTCATGGCTCCGAATGCTTTCTGCCAACATGTAATGTATGCCGTCTTTATGATCATGTACAGTGCACAAATACTGCAGCTCGAATGTATGAAAGTGCAGCATGAAATACATTTTGGAGTTTGAATTGGCCTACTGTTACAGGTGCATGTGAACCTCGAAGTTAAAATACAGTAGTATGTCCCAGTAGTTTCTGGATTGTTCAAAATTTTTTAGTATTGTAAATGAGTGCACTGCTTCATTTGATCTAACATGTAAAGGCCGTATTCTTACTAGACAATGGCATTCAGTTGCTAACTTGACTGTTTCGTGTGAGAAGCTGTGGTCCCTGTACTCGTGTTATGTAACAGTGACGTAAGTAGACATGAGCTATGTGTGTGGGCGTGTACGTAGGGGAATTAAGTATGCAGTGACAGTTTGTACTGTTGTGTCTTCGTACAACATTGCATTGGGACGTGATGGAGGTCAAAGGATACATAACAGATCGTGCCACAGCACTATTGCATATAATCAATGCTTGTCAGATTAAAGCATGTTATGGCAGCAGCAGGTTCTATGAGCATGTACTCACATTTGTGTATTTCAGCTACTACGTTGGTATGTGTGGAGATGGTGCCAATGATTGTGGGGTAAGCAATTTAATTTTCTACATTTCTCAAACGGGCTTTACTTTTTAACTATTATCATTCTTCCAGAGTTGTTCAAGAATAAGCACCTGTGAAAGTCCTCGTATAATGAATGCTTCTTAGCAATGTCGGTGCAAAGTAGAACTCTGTCGCTTGATACTTGGAGCGTACTCGAAGTTTGAAGCAGAGTTTTGAAACTGTTATGATTGAACAACTCTGACATTTCTCATCATGCCATGGTTTCGTGTATAGAATTAACAGCTGTTGTGGAACTTGCTTTCTCGACTATCTCAAGAAAAGCCGGGATATCTTGCTGAAGTGCTAATTGGAATTATGTGGCTGTCGATCAAGATGGCTTTGTGTGTCTGAAACGTTTAAAAGCTCGTGCTGGAAAAAAAAGATGTCTGCATTGCTCTACACTGTGGAGATACATGCTTTTTTGTTTGGGCATCAGTGATTGATCTGGGCATCAGTGATTGATTGAGTGATATGTGTGTTTTAGCGTTCCAAAACTACCATATGATTATGAGCGACGCCGTAGACAAGGGCTCTGGAAATTTTGACCATTTGAGGTTTTTTAACGTGCACCCAAATCTGAGCGCATGGGCCTACAGCATTTCCATTTCCATCAGAAATGCAGCCACTGCTGCAGGGATTCGATCACGCGACCTGCGGGTCAGCAGCCGAGTACCTTAGCCACTAGACCACCACGGCGGGGCGGCATCAGTGAAAGGACTGTGATACCTAGTTCTTGAGTTTGCATTCAATCCACTCTGACAAGTCTCCCCTGCTACAAGTTGCCGATGTACTTTCTGGATGTTTGCATAAAATTTTTAAAATTTGGAGGCTGTAGTACTATTATATAACATATCTTCCTGTGGTAGACATGAAGTCATTAAACTATATTGACTGACTCATTCAGGAAAACTTTTTCTTTCTTTCTCGATCATTACACTTTATGAAGGCCCTGAAGGCAGCACATGCTGGAATCTCTCTCTCGGACACGGAGGCGTCTGTGGCATCCCCTTTCACATCCAAGGTGGCCAACATCTCCTGCGTGCCCACTCTCATCAAGTGAGTGTTGCAGAACGTGCGAAAAAAGAAATGCGGATGGAGATACCACCTTGAGATTCTGACACCAAACACCATGATGTCATAGATTTTGAAGGCGTCTACTAGGTCTTACATAGTTTCAAATCAGTAAAAATGAAGTACACTGTCATCTGCAGGTGCCATAGACCTAACATACAAGGTTTCGGAAAATTCCATCAAGCCCATGGCGTAAAAATACGCAAATGAAATCAGTGACGTCATGTGTAGAGATTTCAGCATGAAATTTTATAATGAAACTTCAACCTTGATTTTTCTCCACCATTATTGAACTTATAATAGTGAAACTTGTGAGATTAGAGTTCTCAGTTTTTTTTTCTGTTTTGTCGCCTGTCCCATCGTTCACTTGCAGTGTTAGCAGGCAATGCTGAGCTCTCAATTCTTATATACAGATTCATTCACAAATTCTATTTTTTACTAGTGTGTGCCATAGACACCAGGGTACCGTAAATGCCATTGCACCCCAAACAATCGCGTACCATGAAGGCCAGTGTACCATAAACACGATTGTGTCATAGACACCAGGTTACCGTAAACACCAGATTTGTCGCGAACACAAGTTTACCGTAAACACCGCTGTTCTGTAAGCTGTACTTTAAAGGCTGAACTGTACTCTAGACGCCAGTTCTCTGTCAAAGCTACATACTACTGCAAACACCAGTGTACCAGTGCTTGCTGTGCATTAACACAAGATGTAAGTTTCTCTGTCGAACATAAGCAAGTATCTGTTTTGAAGTGTAGCACTCCGTACATGTACGTGTATTATTATTTATGGTTTTTTAGTGCTACCAACGTAGACTATGCAGTCCAGTGGCATACATAGCACCGGCCACTAAGCCCATTGCATAGACACTTTTAGTGAAAGTATTTTCTAATTGTTTGCAGAACTTTTATTTTTAGCAAATTTTGACTCTGTATTCTACGTTGCAAATGAAACTAAGAGTGCGCCCTTTCTAAATCTGTGTGGTCTTTCCGTGTCATTTAAGCATGTAGTGCGGGACACAACACAACATCATGAAATACGACCAATACAGAAGTCGCTGCTACATTTTATGCCTTGTTGTGTTGTATTCTGCACTAGATGCTGAAATGGAATACTTTGTACCAACATTCCAGACGCAACTTGTTTCATTGGCTTTTTATCTGACCCCAGGGAAGGCCGCGCAGCACTGGTGACGTCCTTTGGCATCCTCAAGTACATGGCATGCTACAGCATGACGCAGTTCACCTCAGTGCTCATACTCTTCTCCCTCTACTCCAACCTCACTGACCTCGAGTTTCTCTACATTGACCTCTTTCTCATCACCCTCTTCGTTACCCTGTGTGAGTATCACAAAAATGAGGGTACCAGAATGTACCGTAGTTGCTGCACAGTGTAATCCAAGCTGCAGAGCATGTAATTCAAAGGGACATCGAAGTGAAGTGATGAGTTACATTAGATTGTTAAATTAATTTTGGGGAACTTTTGATCATTTTATTAGTATTATAAGTGAAAGCTGCATAGCTTCTTTTACTCATTTTGTGCTGAAACAACCGGAATATAAGATGAAAATGCATAAGTGAGTTTGCAGCTACCAGCAAAGATACATTAGCAGACATATGAATGCTTTCTGTGTTGTGGCTCTGTCTAGTTATGGTGCCTTCCAAGTTTGTCATGATTACTCACACCGAATCATTCGTGGCTACGCTTCATCTTCGTTGTTGCGATCGTTATCAGCGGTTTATCTCTCGTCAGCTGATAGCCTATCAGCACCGCAGGTAGGTTTGAAGGCTTTCCCAAGTGCCTGTTTCATATAGCAAAAGAAATATGCTTTTCCTCTATGAGTCCTTTTGTGCTCCATGCTCACCAAGTCATAGGGCGATGATTTTTCAGTGGCCTGAGATTTGGAACTCTCCGAGAAGTTGTCATAATATTCTACACTTCGAAGGTACCTTTCTGTTGCTTGTACATTTGCCATGGCTTGACCAAAGTGGAGGCTAGAACACTAAGAAGTGCTTGTCTTTTGCAGTTGGCCGTACGGAACCATGTCCCACGCTGGACAAGCGGCCACCCCCTTCGAGCCTGATGGGAGTCACACCACTGACGTCGATCTTTAGTCAGATTATACTAGTCATTGCTGCACAAGTTTCTGGCATCGTCGCTCTATGGAGACAGCACTGGTAAGCGCACTAGCTTCAAGGCTGTTGTCGACTGGTCACGGTATTTAGTTAGTCTTTGTGCAAACCTTGCAGTAGAATCTCGGCAAAGGGACATTGCTCGAGTTTCTTTAGATAAAACTGCAGTTTTGGTGTTCTTTCAACTCATGTCAAGGTCACGAGCTTTATTCTGGGCTGAAGATATCAAGTTTCAATGAAAGACAGAAGCACGAAGTGTCCATACAAGAAGAGTTTGCTGCAGTGCACTCGTACCTCTTTGAAGGTATGTTTGGGAGAAGCAGTGTTACCAGCAAACCTGCTGCTGCTATGTGAATTGCTGCTTCGCGCATGAATGAACACATTAGTGCTAGACTCTCGCTCGAAAGACAAAAGCACTCGGGTAGTGCATGCCATTTTTTACCACACATTTTGATGAAATTTCTGCAGCTGCTGTTGGACAGCATTGTAGCACCATCTACACGCTGACCGCTCGAAGAATGACAGCTGTTGCTTAGTACAGGTGTAAGAGTAATCTTTGTGAAACGATATCGGGCCTTAGAGTTCCCCGCATTGAGCTCTGTCTTTTCTTTCGTGCAGGTACCATCCGCACGTGCAGGTTGCCGGGCAGGATGATAAGAAAGAGCTGGCGTGCCACGACAATTACACAGTTTTTGCAGTGTCTGTCTTCCAGTACATCACCCTGGCCGTGGTATTCTCTCGAGGGCATCCGTATCGCAAGGACAATACTATCCAACTGTGAGTCTGGGCTCTTCCATTGCACAAAGAAAAAGCAAAGCAGTGCTTTCTTATATGCAAGCACCGTTATCAGAGCTAATCTCACACGTTTTTCGAAGTTTGTTGATACGTCTGGCAATTGTACACAAAAAAGTGTGATTACTGTTGTACTAGAACGAAAATCAAGACAGCATTTTACACAATGCTCGGTTCCATTCACAGCTAACAAAGGCAGCTCTTACTCAGGCAGAAACGATAACGTATAATACTTTCGCATGCTACGACCAGAAAATATTGAGCATACGCCATTATAGCTAAGCTTTCCTAATGAAACATGTGAAACTTATGCAATACGGTGTTGCAAAAAGAATTTCTTTAAGCGGCCTTGCCTACAATTTTTTCAAGTAATCATCAAATCACTTCATACAAGAAGTTTATGGCCTCATGAATTTTTAGAATCTGTCACGTACTAATGGAGTTGCAGGAAAGTTGTGGAGTTACAGGGCACAGTTTAAGTGCTTTCTCTCTCATTTCGTACCAGCGAGTACACCTAAAGGCTTCACAGAAGGGGATGACAAGGGAGAAGAAGCTACATTCATCTGAGCGTGCACCGTGTCCTTTTTGTTCTTATATCTTTGAATACTGTGACTTATAGTCAGTGTAATCACGTGCACGCTGATGTAGTTATACTGTGTGTAATTCTAGCTCAGAGTGCAGCACAGACACGTCACTACATCCCACAGTAGATGTGGCAACTCACGCTGCTCAAATCAGCAGTGTCCGTGGACTTTGTGTTTATGACATGTTAATTTCGCGTTATATGGCATTGTTTGTCGTGAGAAGAGCGAGCGATTCTCGACCTAGGCTGACTTTGAAAACTAATTGTAAATTTCAGGTGGTGTGCTGTGCTTTATTGTTTGGCTCACATGTTCTCAGGAGACTCTACTACTGATGGCAGCATTCTTTTACCATGCTCAAAAAGTACATTTGGTGCTCATTAAAAAAGGTATGCTGGCATAGGAGCACATGTTGAAATGCTATCATGTTGTCTTCGACAGACTTCTTCGTTTCGGCATTGCTGGTGATGACAGCTTTTAGTTTGTACCTGGTGCTCTATCCCTCTGAAATTCTCATCTCCGGCTTTGAAGTAAGTGTCCTTGCATGGGTAACCCATGTTTCAAGTCAAGTCTTTTATAGTACATTTATTCTGAAGACTTGTTATTGTTGTTTTGCAACCTTTTCTTCTATTGTTCACCTCTGCTTGCTATACATGGCAGCTACATTAAAAGAAATTGGTGCGTTGAAAAAATGCTTGCTTACAGTGCTTTGTGTGCCGATTAAGTAACCCTACGTGTTCATGTGCAATCTGAAATGCCCCACTATGGCTACTACCGTAACCTTCATCTTGATTTGTGGGGTTTAACCTAACCAGTCAGTCAGACAAGTCTCCTTGGTTGCCATAGAAGATTGCCCAATCAATCAAGATATCAGTCAATCCGTCAAGTCTTCTGGGTTTCTGAACAAGATTTGTTCTACAAGTGCTTATCCCTTGCTGGTATTTTCACCTTCCAATGCTTTTGATGTTGATAGCACATTGATATTAAAGTTTCCTGAATTATCAAATGCAGTCTGCAGTGAGAGGCAAACAAATCAAGATAAGATGTTCCTAAATTAAATCTGTTCACATAGGTCAATAGGTAGTGAAAATTGGAGCAGTTCTTGCTCATTTCTCCTATCACAAAGTCTTGCCGATGCCAAGGTACTCTTTCTCCTGTAATGCCGGCACTGTGGCAGTGTAGTTTCCTAATGCAGATTTTCGCTCTTATGTGTCTGAGAATACTATGTTATGCTGTTCACATCTGAGCTGCAGTTTGAGGCACAATGGTAGTGTGGTGCTGTGCTTAGATGGTAGTGTACAGTTTAAATGTTGCTTTGCATACCATTACCAACATTGATAAGCACATCTTTCTGTCATTTTCCTCTGACAGTTTGACATGACAAACATAGATATGAAGTTCCGATTGCTCTGTGTCGCCATTGCTCTTGGCCACTTCATCATCGCTTACATCTTGGAGGTAAGCAGTCACTTTTTTTTTGCGATGTGGTGCAGCTGTAAATGCAGAGCTCTCAGATTTTATTACGACGAGCAACACTCGCAAGAAACTCGTAGTTGTATTCATATGTCTCTTACCCGTACATGCATGATGCCACTAACGAAGTGTACTGAATTGAAACAAGCGTACCTGTGCGTGATTGCCATTCTTGATTCTACTGTAGAGCTAGTTTGACACTTACGTTAACCTTATGTAATGGTACATAATCTGAAACAAAGTGCATAGTGATCATGTATTCATGCATGCACATACAGACACATTGCCCATTCTATTAATATCATGTTCAATGGTTAAATATTAACTTTGCTTTAAGCTGCTTTCTAAAAATCTTGCACTGAGAATTATCTAAAGCTCTGCCCAGCCACATTGTGGTTTAGGTACGTAAAACACACAGATTTAATTGTTCTTGCTTTATTTGAGCCAGTGCTGTCAGTCGACTGTGTCTGTATTGAATGTATCCAATTAAGAAGCCACAGTAAGAGGTTTTTACATTTAGGCCTCTATAATTCCTGGACTGCAATTAATTACCGTGGATATAGCCCAGTTGTTCTTCTTTCTAAAATTACCTTGTGCTTGAAATCATGTTGTAACTCCTTCCTTTCGTTTATTCATCCTCCAATCATCATATTTCTAAAGTGAATGATTGTTCTTTCTCACATTTCGCAGGACTACTTCGTGCAGGGTTTCATTTTCAAGCGGCTCCAGCTGCGATTCTTCAGCACCTCAACTCCATACAAGGAGCGACAGGAAGAACTCAAGGACCAGTCATCCATCACGAGTTGGGGCACCTGCCGAACAGCGCGGGAATGCATGCTTCAACCCAGTGCCTTACAGCTCGCGTCTCCACTGGAAGATAGCAGTGTTGGCAGCACTATCACTGCTGACACCTTCAGCAGCAAGGCATCGGCCACCGACAGGCAAAATGGGAACTGCCGTGGCGCCACTACCCTGTGTCACGCACATGTGACGAGCATTTCCTAAACCTGCTCACGCCAATCACTTCCTGACAAGGCGGTTTCAAGCGCTCGTCTTTCCCATCCATCGTTGCCTCTTTTCAGTGGTTACAGGCAGCAAGCGAGAAGAACCACTGCAGACAAGCGAAATAGAGTGGCTCTCACTTCGAGTGACGATTTCACTCGAGAGCATTTTGTGACTACACGTCATGGCAACTACGCTTTTCACTAAAGGATCGAGGCACTCCATTATAAGCTCGCTGAGGATTCTCGTAGCGAGAATGTGCTTTAACGTGTTATGAGTTGTGTTGTTTCAAAGAACTTGCTAATAACTTGCAATTTATCTACTTTAGCACAGCCGAAGGCTGTGCAGATCAGAATCAATGGCATAGAGAATTAAACCAATTGTCGTTTGCTAGAACGGCTTCTACGGCATACTTCATGTGGTCTATTTGCACATGTTTTTACTTTTACAGACTGTGATGCTTACGATCATAATCTCGTGCAATTACTATTAAAATATTGTGAAGATACTAATAAAGAAAAACACAGTGGGGCTACAGTGTCAAACCTTTGCAACATTTTTGAAACTATATTTTGGGGTTCTTGACCCTATTAGTTCTAAGTCTTTTTTCATGTTTCATTTGCGGTGTAAGTGATAACCCATGGGCATGAATTATTTGTATATGGCATTTGTTTGTGGCCACGTCACATGAAAGCACACTATAGCCCTTCATATTCTTAGGTGCGCTACACAGAATTGGCACCAATGTGCACATGGTTTTGACAATTAAATCTGTGTATCTGATGTATTAGGTATTGGAGTAGCACTACTTCAGTCACAATGCACTCAGCTTTGCAGTCAGTGGAGATCCATTTCAGCTGCAAGATAAAAAAGTAAACATATTTCACTCATCACAGGCGCTTAGGGTAGTGCAAGTAGTTATTGTCTATGGTACTCACTATGTTTTAATGTTTCCAATGTTCGGTTAAAAATGAAAACTATTTTAAAACAGTTCGCATGTTAGAAGAGTACTGATAAAAAAACTTTACATCTCACATTATCAGTCATAATACGTAGTTAATGACCTGCATGTCATGGCTTTTGAAAACCTAATTTGCTGAACTACGTGAAACTTTAATATTTAGAGATGGTTTTGTAGCATCCATTATTGATTGATTGATATGTGGGGTTTAACGTCCCAAAATCACCACATGATTATGAGAGACGCCGTAGTGGAGTGCTCCTGGAAATTTTGAACCATCCAAGGTTCTTGAACGTGCACCCAAATCTGAGCAGACGGGCCTACAGCATTTCCGCCTCCATCAAAGATGCAGCCTCCACAGCCAGGATTTGATTCCGCGACCTGTGGGTCAGCAGTTGAATACCTTAGCCACTAGACCACCACGGCGGGGCTTTTATAGTATTCAGATGTAGTATTGCTTTCAGAGTGTGCTGAGAGATGTGGACCTTGGTTTTTTTGTAAACAAAGATGGCCATATGGGCACACAAAACAGCTATACTATTGTCATGCATGGCTTCACGTCTATGTAAGCACCGCATTGACAACTATAGCAGGTAATGCATGCAAAGAGCATGGAAGGCAGGAAAAAACTTGTGCCACAGGGGTTGCTGGCTGTTTACATAAAAACTTAGCTGATATTGCAAGACACTCTGTTTCACACTCAGTTGCATAGCATGTCCTCTAAAATTTATTTTAAATCTTCTATGCCGACATAAGCTGTTTATATTTCAGAGATGATTTGCGTGTGTTTATGCAAATCTATATCACAAGTTATTTCCCTTCTATATGTTGTGTCAGCCCTCCTTCAGTTCTAAAACTTGAATGCTGTTGTGTTACTTTTGACCTGTTCCCGATTCGAAACTACAGATTTATGAAATAGTAGCTGTGCAGATTTGGCTGCTCATTGATCTTTAGTCATCTTTTGCGCTTCCACTTCAATCTGCTCATATCATCCGCTCATTCTTTGTTTCTTGCAAGGATCACAGTAATCCAATATTTCATCTAAATCAAACGCGTAGTAGAATGAATGTTTTTTGCCTAACTGCTTTCACATATGAATTTTGGTGCAGCAATCGCTGGCAGCAAATCACGTTTCATTTCAGCAAAACTTTTTAACTTCCCGAGAACATGAAAGGTGGGTGTGAAAATTGGAGCATCGATAACAGAAGCTCTTTGTTATTCATGGTTCTGTGCACATATGGGTAATTCAACTGCCCAATGTCATTTAAAAAAAAAGTGTTGTACATGCAGCTGGTTACAATGGCTTGTCATGTACTATCTATATTATTGTCACGTACACACAAACAGGGCCAAGCAGCAATCTTAACGCAGTTACTGTGATGTTTCATCACTGCTTCCCTGTGATCTCTTCGAAATGATGCATTTAATGGATATCAAATGTAGGCATGTTTGTTGCGGTCCGGTGAATTGGCCCACCAGCTAACACGTCAGGTCTAATTGCGTGTTCTGCACTGCAACTCTGGAGAAGCCCATGGTTAATACCTTCGATTATTCATTTCTCTAATGCATCTCCGCATATACAATCTTCTAAGTATATAAGCATTGCCTTTCTGAGAAGCGCATATGTGCAACATACACTGAGGTTGTCATTGAATATGGCCTTCAACTAAGCTGTTGCGTCACCACTAGTCACAAGATAATAACAAAGTCAAAGTTAGTCTTTTTCTTACAGCCATTAGAGGAAGGACGGTGTAGGAATTTGCAGTTCTGTGCAGTGTGTAGGTAGCCCAATTTTTATTATATTCTTGTACTTATAAACGATCAAGTGGGGGGAAAAAATTTCTACTGCTTCCACTTTGCAACAGGGCATTTTTCACGTTAATATCATGAAAAAATAAAAATGCTGGATGTAAGAAAAAGAAAAGAAATTACTACCATAAATGTGACATATCTGCTGTAAAATTTGCATTTATCAAAGAAAAATAAATAATGAAACTTTCTGACTTCAGTTTTCCTTTTGCGCTGCTTGTTAAAAAGTTCCAATCATTGAAGATAGATGTTTCTGAATTGATATGTATTTTTTTACTAGAACGTCCTAGCCAAGAATTTCCTGCATAAGGTGCATTTAGTTCACGTGGGATTATCCATGAGGTAGTGACCACACCGTTTTCACCTGCGATTTTTTTTTGTTTTGTTTTGAGTCAGTAACTATACAAGCTCACATTTCTGTTTCGTATCTCCAGTATGTAATTTAATTTTCAAGGCAAATCGGCTTCCTCCCTTAGAAAGTTTCTCGTCTGAAGGCGTCAACTGACAAAGTCTTCTAAAGATATATTAAGCCAGTATAACAAGGGGACTTCTATATCTCATTTAATGAGTCTTATCAAGATGGGATTTCTTGCTCAACATTGGCCCCTATGAGCATGCCGAGGAAAAGATTGAATCTTGGTCCATAAATTGGACTCACAAGTCATTTCCTGTAACCCGCGAGAACTGTGATTCATCACAACTTCTATGTGCACATATCATTCGAAATTGCGAAGCCTAGCTATCCTCTTGTGTTGATATGAGTGTCTGTAGCAACATTGGTGGCTGTCAGCTAGTGTGAGACATCTCAAATGTCCCCTTTTGACGAGTTTTGCTCTCGATTAGTTTATCAATGTAGATGAACACAATGACATATGGTATGTTTCAGACAAAGCAACGAATCTAGGTACGGGAGCTTGCATTTTGGAAATATCTTCCTAAGTAAATTCTTTGACTATCCAGCAATTGTAGTATTTGATTCTGGCTAAGATTCAAGTTTGCGGCTGGAATCTGATTTGTGCATGGTACAGACGTGCAGAGCAATGTGTAAAAATTTCAAGTATTTGAATGCTCGACGTTGCCAACGGTGCAGCAGCGCCGTTTAGTGCAGGATGTCGCAATAACGTGCGTTATGTATACATACGAGAGGTACGTTGGTGAAAAATTAGGTAAAAAAAAAACTTGCAGAACGATGATCATCTTAGTGCTGACCGCATTATGAAACTGCACCCTGAAAGGGAATTAGCGCCGCTTGCACTGGGAAAGCGATGCTAATTAGATAGCAGACGGGCACCTGTAGTCCTCGCCTTAGCTGTTTTGCTAAGGTCTGAAAATTATCTTCCTTTCTTCCTATTTATTTCTTCCTTTTCTTTCTTTACTTTTTCAAGTTTATTTATTTTCTCCCTCCTTTCTTGCTTGTTCTGTATATTTCTCGTTCATCCCTTCCTTACTTTCTTACTGCTTCCTTTCTCTTCATTTTATTTTTCTCATTCCTTCTGTGCTACACTTAACTTTCACCCTTCAGCCTTTCCCTCTTCCTTGCCGTCACATTTCTCTACTCCTCACGCTCTGTTCTCAATTTCCAACCCCCTTTGCTACACTATATGCTATGTGGACAGCTGAGTGGCTTAATCAGATGCTTGACTACTGATCAAGAATACGGGGGTTCAAATCCCGCCTTGTAAAGAATTTTTTTCGGTGTGAAGCGCTTTACGGTCTCGGCCTGACGGCGTGTAATGTTGTCACGATCCGTCATAAACAGGTATGCCCCACGAAAATTGGGCAAGTCCCACTACTCGCCACCGGTCCATACCACGCGTATTATGAGATAAAGGCTGATCGTTACTGCCTAAAATATTGCATTTGGCCTAGTTCGGTGTCAGAAGTTATGAAGACGCGTGCTTTGCATGTTAATTGAAAACTCTTTTTTTGTGTTTTTTTTTCATCTCTCTTCTTTTAAGTGCGTAGCGGTCATTGAAAGCCTAGAACAGGGTGCTCAAAACCAGCGCAAGGGGAAATAACAAGGTCTAGATAAAAATAAACTGCAGAAATATACCCAATAATTATTTAGAACAATTTACCTAAATTAACAAAGAGATCTGAAACATCATGGCCTCCGGGATAAAAAAAACGCACGTTTACTATCTCAAAGGCCACAAAAACATCTGGCTCATAACAGAGTTTTGCAACAGAGGACGCCACTGCCACGACAAGCGAGTGATTGCTAAGAGAATCGCTACCTAGGTTGCATGGTATATATATGTGCGGTAATAAGCGCACGCATTTATCAACTAGGACAACAAAAATACATTAGCGCGGGATATGAAACGACGGTAGAGCCTATTCACAAGAACATTAGCGCAGAGTTAGCACGGAAGCATTAGCTCGGGATTTACGTGTACAAGAACTACATACGGCGCTACTTCATCCGTAGAATAATCAAGCGCTGGATTTTAAATTCTTCTGCTTCATTCCCAGTGACTAGACCACTTACCATAACTGTACTCACATCATATGTATCTGAGTTGGCTTGACCACGAATGCATGCATCTTCTGCACGCGAGTACTAAAATAAACTGAGCGCAGCGTCGTGGGGACCATGGGGAGGGTCCAGCTTAATAAGGACGCGTTTGCGGGTTGACCTGCGAGCGGCACAACAGTTAAACGAGCACTCAGGTTAGCACAAAAATTCAGATTCGCCGCAGAACACCTACCACCTACGATCAGACAGGCACGGGGGTTCGCTTTTCTGGACGAAATGTGGGAAAACCGCGTGGTTTCAGTTTCGGTGCGGCTCGTTGCGCGCCTCCGCCATACCGAGCGAGCGAGAAGTGGAGAAGCGCAAGAAATCAGCCGAGCCTTCGCGGCGCGTGCGGTGTCGCATCGCTTCGCCAGCGTCGACAATTAGGTGGCGACCGCAGGGGCGACCCCCGATTAACACCGATTAAGACCGCAGGCAGGGGTTGAGTGGGCTCGTACTCCGTCGCGCACACTCGCGCCGATCGTTATCGCTTTCGTAGGGCGTGACGTAGCCGTGACGTGTGTAGTTGTCACTTCGTTTTTCAACATGGCGGAGATGTTGGAAGTAAATAGAAATGTATTGGCCTCCTCTTTGTAGCCGAATCATTGATTCGGCGAAGAAGGCATGACCCCGCATCGAGGGAGTAACTGTTCGCAATATAAAGGTAAATGCATCCCTTACGTATTAATGGCGTGAAAGTCTTCCCGTCCTAGCAAGCCGTGCGGACTAATTGACCGTGGCCCGCGAGAGCGTTGTTCGCTAGGCCTAACATATTTCGAGGTGCATTGCATTTTTTAACGCCGCGCAAATGTGCGTGCGTTATAGTGCATCGTCGTTATGCATCGAGACGAACTCTGTCCTGCGCGTGCAACGTCTTGCGACGGGAGCGCTTGAATTGGTCAGCACACGGCGACAGATTTCCACGCGAACGTGAGAGCAGTAGCAATGGCTGGAAGTAATTAACGATTAGTAAGAAATAATTTGCACCGCATCGGCTGATTCAGTGCTCGATTCGCTTCCGGCACCTAGACCCCTCGAGACAACCCTGCCTCCCCTTCAACTGCAGTGAGTGTTGTGTTCGTGCGTGTGATTTTGCGCCGCTTTGCAGCCGTGCATTGCTCGCACGCTGGCGTGACTCCGAACCCGACTGCCTCGAAGACAGCAGCGGTGTTCAATCATTTCGGAATTCGCTCGCGAAGTGTTCTACTTTGGACCCGATCCACTAGCGCACATGCATTGTGAAATCATCGTCGCACACGCAGCCGTGCAGCTGCGCCACAACGCGCCGTGCAAAGAGATTGGCCGTAGAAAGATGAGCTTCGACGTTCCCGATGTGGGCGGCCTCGAAAGCAAATCGGCGCTTCTGCATCGGGGTAGTTCGCACCGAGTTTGTATGAAATGAATCTTGTCAAAAGCGGGCGCTTTTTTTTTTTCTCACCTTCGTGCCAACTTGGCACGCGCGCGTTGTGGATGTTTTTATTGGCACGATTAGTATCTGCTTTCCGATTCGTCCGCGCGTTGTAATGTTGAGACGAATTGAACGGCGGCCGCGGTGCCGGGAGGGTTCTCTCTACGCTGGCGATTAAAACTCAGCGGGAGGTGAGAAAAAGAGTCGTGACTGTCGCTTCCTTTCGAAGAGTGTGTGTGTCTTGCGCGGGTGCTAGATTCCTCGTCGGGAAACGTTTCGCACGGCGGCTCGCGCGTTTCTCGAGAATGCGGTGAAGAACGAGTTCTTTCGTCGTCGTCGACTAGCAGTTAGTTGCGGCGAGCCTTGACCTTTATTTTTTGCGGGCCGAACAGGACAGCGGTGCGAGGAGCCCGCATTTTTTCTCTTCTTTATTTGCGGGACGTTAGAGGAAGTAGCGCCGAACGGTTGGCGGCAAAGAAGGCCGCGAAAAATGAGCGAGAACAGAAGACGACGTGCGTGTGTGTGTGTACGACTCGCGTCAGGGAATCCGACGAAGCGCGGCCAGCATGGGGGAGGAATGGATAGGGCGTTTCGTGGTGACGTCTTGCATTTCCGCTTCGGGCTTCGATGGCTTTTCGGTCGCCGTCGTTATTGCGTCGCTGCGCGTCAGTTTCGCCCCCACTCTTTTTTTGTTTGTTTGTTTGCTGTGCCGTCGAAACAGCGTCGACAAATATACAGCCGCGATCGCGCAGCTCTCCCGTTGCCAAAAAGTGGAGCCGAACGAGACTTGAAACCGCTTTCCTCTATCGAGCGAGCGTCAACACGTTTCGCTGTTTGTTCTGAAATACGCCGAGTCGAAAAAAAAAAAAGGGGGGGGGGGGAAGGCGAGGCAAACGACGCGACGAGGCGCTAAAAGAGGAGCTAGCTCTTCGCTGGCAATCGCGTCGAGGCGGAGCGGTTTCTCACCTCACCCCCCCCCCCCCCCCGCTCATCCCTGCCTTCCCTGCACACACACACACACACACACACATTTCTTAAGAAAAAAAAAAAGACATCGGCTAACAAATTTCTGCTTCGTGTTCCGGGGAGTGTTTTGACTGCCTGCGGCGAGTTGTGGACTACCGCGCCGCCGTTTCATGACCCGCCTAGAGGTTTTCTTTCTTTCCGTTTACGCGCCACCTTTTATTTGTGAGACGAGTCAAACAACATACTTAAAGGTCTCGCCGTTCCCTACGTGTAAGGAATGCCGTACACATCTCGCGTCTCCATCTGTTATTATTTTTTTTTCTAACACTTCACTGACGCTCGTATTTGTATCACACGCGCGCACTTCCAGGGATCCTTCGGGGAGAAAAGGAGGTAGATATATCAGTGGTGCCGTTGCGAGCAGCGAAACAGGGGCATGCAAGAAAATACGAAGAAAGGGTTTCACGAAATGGCCTTTTGTATGCACCTCACTCACTCGTGTCCGCGCGCACGCGCAGCTGGCTTTCCATGCCATTGTTATTGGGCGCGCGCGGGGGCGTTTTGTTTCCCGTCCGCTGTTTGTTTCTTTGCCCCCGTCGGTTTTCCTTCCCGTCTTTCAGGGCGGCGAGAATCCGCAATCATTACTTCGCGGTCTTTGTGGAGGGAACAGAAATGGGGGGGGGGGGGAAATACTGCGCTAATGTTTTTCTTTTTTGTGGGCCTAGGTGTAGTTCGAAATCCTATGCGTGGTGCAGCTGCACTACAGCGAAAACCTTGGGACGAGCAACACGATTCCCTAGGCAATCGCGCACTTGACACCGCCTCGGCTATTGCGAGCTTGCCGAGGCGGTGACGCCCTCTTTCGTGGCTCTGGTATCAACTAGATGTTTTTTTTTTTTTCAGAAGCGTTTCTGGCGATTTCAGATGAATTAATTGAAATTAAATTCTTGCGTTATTTCTGTAGTCTTTATTATCTTAGACCTTATTAGCATACCTTGCACTGGTTTTGATTCATTGATATGTGGGGTTTAGTGTCCCAAAGTCACCATATTATCATAAAAGGCCGAGCCGTAGTGGAGGGCTCCGGAAGTTTCGACCACCTGGGGTTCTTTAACGTGCACCCAAATCTGAGCACACAAGCCTACAGCATTTTCTCCTCCATCGAAAATGCAGCCACTATAGCTGGGATTCAATCCCGCGACCTGTGGGTCAGCAGCCGAGTACCTTAGCCACTAGACCACCATGACGGGGCTTTGGTTTTGAGTTTTGCTAGCCTTGTATTAACCAGTGAGTGTCTATGCGACATGAGACTTTAGATAGACGACAATTCGGGTCCCTAAAGTGCTCCACACTGAAAAAAAAAAAGCCGTGCAGCAAGTGCACTTTTTTTTCATGTGGTCACCTGAACGAACACTTTGTGCGGGTGGGGTGATGGCAAGGTGGTGGTTGTAGTAATTGGTATCTTTTTGAATTTTTCGAGTTCTTCGTTGTCCAGGAGATGGAAAGCTGATTTGGAAGTCATCAATTTGGTGTATATGTCAGCGAAGGCTCCCTGGACGCTACAGTAGTTATTCCCAAACTGATATGTGCGACTACCCCCCAGAATGCTCTGCTGAGGCTGTAGCATCAGCTTTTGAACTCCATGCAACCTTGTGATAGGAGGTGATCTTTGTGGAAAAAATCTAAACCGTGATACAAGATGTGGGAGGAGCATTTGAGCCTGGCAAATCCTTCGATGATGTATGGAATTGGACGCGATTTAATCATCGCTGATTCTTCTCCAACTAGTGTGCTCGGAGGCGAATTTCGAAAATGTACAGCCCAGTCTTGACCCAAGCCAGAGAGAATGGCTAAATATGCTGCCGGCCCACCTGAGCAATCTCAGGCTGAAGAAGAAACATACAAGCACTTCTTTTTGCAGAAAACGAGCGAGGTGCAGAGGCAATGCACGTGCCACCTCAGCTGACTTCACACTGACAATGAAAGCTGTGGGAATCGCTTGACTAAAACTTCATCTGGTCTCTTGAGTCCTCAGACCTGCAGTATGGTTTTCTAAGGAAGACTAGCTGATGGTGTTCAGAGCGCTCAATTTCAACAAGCCGAATGTGGCATGCATCACCAGAAGGCTGCTTGATAACGACTGCCCGAATTTACCATAAAGAAGCCTGAATAATCGGAAGTTACCTCCAAGTGATAACAAAACAATTCTGCTCATATGAATGTGTGAAACAGCTGTCGTAGCAGTTGCATTCCGCTGACAAGAATAGGTCATTGATTTGTTTCTCTGCTGCACTGAGATGGCAACTGAACTTTGCTTTGTTTGTGCATTGTTGGGCGTACCTTGCTTTTTACGCTCGACTGCAAGGTTGTTCTTGAAACCTGCTACAGCGTCTACAATAACCTGCGAGTTCTCCTTGAATGTGAACCATCGTATGTCAGTAAAGTGACAGGAGTGTTGCATCTGCTAATGGCCTGTACAGCAAACACAGCGGTTAAGGTTTCACAGGAAAGTTTTGAGGCAGTTGTCTCCTCATAGCAAGACACCTCGGTACTGTGCTGACAAAAACCGGGTGACAGTTTGTTGTGACCTTCTGTTCATTCAGCAGACACGGAGACTCCACTCGTACTACGTTACATTGCTTTCGTACTACTTTACATTGGTTGGTCTTGCTTCTGCCTCCGAAGTCATTATTCGTTGTGTGCTGACTAGCTTATATGCAAGGTTGTTCTAGGGTACAACTTTCATTTGGTTGGCCTCCATGGCCATACGATGACATGTAGTTTGGGTCTTGGAGCAGTATCAGTACATTTTTATTTGTGATGCTGCTCCCACAACAGTTCTGCATCCTCTCCCATAGCAGAATGTAACTGGTGCAACCATCAATTTTATACAATGCGTCCGCCATGGTGGGGCAGTGGCTACGATGCTCGGCTGCTCACCTGAAGGTTGGGGGTTTGATCCTGGCCTCGGTGGTTGTACTTCGATTTAGGTGAAATTTTAGAGGCCCATGTATTGTGTGATATCAGTGCACTTTTAAGAACACCAGGTGGTTGAAATTTATGTAACCCTTCACTAAGGCATCTCTCATAATCAAATCTTGGTTTCGGGATGTCAAACCTCAGGTATTATTATTAATTTTATACAAATAGCCCAACTTCTCATTGAAAGCAGTCAGTGCTTTAGAGCAAAGAGACAACTTGCTTTAGATTCCATAAAAATTTGCAAGAAAGAAGTTCTTTCTTGTATGGTTGTATATTTGTGATGTGGGGGAGACAATCAGAAAAAGTTT